GTTGAAAGATTTATAAATTGGCGATTCTAGTCAAGCAAATAAAAATCGCAACTATCGAGAACCTTGAAACAAATTTTATAAATATTTCATTATATTGAATATTTTGATAAGAAACTGCATTGAGAAACCCCTCGACATAACGAAGAAAATTTAAATAATTACTTCAAGGTAGAACAATTCACTGATGAGGAATATTTTAATGACCATTCGGATTAGCTGAATAGAAGTATTAGATAACCATATAAAGAAGACTTTCATGAAATAAAATCCTTATCGTCGCCGTTACTTCTGCCGAGGAGCATAATAAAGCGGGACAGCCAGTGATTAAAAATGATATCTAAATTATTTCGAATAATCGTAATAATCGTAACTTTAATAAAACGACGTCGTTTCTACCGTAATTTATTGATTTTCTAGTTCATTTCACCATGACAAATAGTCGTATATCGTAAATATTATCTCGAATTTAGATTTTTACGGAAAACCCACTCACGGTGGCACGTACATACGAGAATAAAGTGTCTTGCTGGTTGGACAATATTTATTTACAAAGAATAACAATCTGTACAATATTCTAATAGAGAGAGTATCGTATAGCTTTATTTCATATTTTAGAAATATTATTATTTGCTTTCAGTTCCACCATATAACATTATTATTGTGGGAAAGGTGGAAAAGGTCAATATATAATTGTTGAAGGTAGGTCATATGTACTCTTATTATTTATTATTTTCAATTATCATATTACAGTTGGAGAATACTGAAAATTAGGAGAGCCTAACTATTATGCTATGTCCTATAGTGCGAGTGTAACGTTGCCTACTTGTATTCATTTCCTCGTCTTCCAAGATGTTCAAGTTATCATTTTATTAGTTAATAATAAAATTGTATTAGCATTATGTAAATTAATAAATCACATTTACCTAGGATTTATGTTTATAATAATTGCGAATAACTAACTAAATGTATCTAACGTCATTGTCCGTTAAATGCGAACATTGTTTATAGCCAATTAACTTTGTTTTATGTCACGGTTTTATATGGAATATTAAAAATCTAAAAACTCAAACGATTCAGGTAATCGGATAAATATAACCGACTACGTGTCTACAACGACGACCTTCGCAGTTTTGCAAGTACGTTATATTTAAATATAAGATAATATTGTAATATTCTCAGCATTTATCAGCTTCCTGTGCTGCAAATATTTACACCGATCCATTCCGATAATTATCTCTATTGTTGTTTTTCGGTTATCTGGCAATAGATACCGCGAATTTGCACCATCGAATGAATGCCTACACAAAAAAAGTCACGTCCTCCAGGTACTTTAATTAGCAACTCAAAAGATTTGTGTTAAAACCGGTCCCGGAATATATTATTTCTTCAAATTCTAAGTAGGTGCATAAAATACAATTTTAATCATAGACGAAGTAAAGGTGGGTATTGTTTTATAGAGCGCTGTGCCATATTGAATCGAACCTTCCCAGCGTGTAAGCAGCAGTAAAACGAGCAAGAAAAGTTTGTTGCTCCGCCCGCCGACGGTTCGGGATCACCGACTCGATCCTTTAAACCAAAAATAGTTTTGACATCCGCTCTCAAGATGCTCTCGTAAACGCACCCTTAAAAAATAAATCATTCAGGAAGCCGTTTCCCTTTGGCAAGGAAAAAACTAGGTAGGTGCTCGTAAAAAACGGACGGAAGCATTTGGGACACTAGAGAGTAATGAAAAAACACTTTTACCATTTGGATTTTGGCAGCTGAGGCTTGGTTTCGAAACGGCGTTTTGGGCGGCTCGAAATCGGCGATGCGGACTCAAAATTGCCCATCGGGTCGATTTAAAGAATAAATTTTAATCACGTTGGGACGTAAGGTGGCTTATGCACGCAAATTAAGTTACGTTAAAATTAGCAAACTGAGGTAGCATATTCTAGACATATGCATGTCTTGGTGAGTTATTTTATTTTATTTCATTTTAAACCGTAAGTGTTCTTGGAAGAACAGGTTATTGTAGGTTTTTCCCCTTTGCTTCCTTCTGGTTAAATTTGCAGGTGTGTATATACATATTTATTATACAGTGTGACAATTTAAAAACATACAATGGGCTATATCTTACGAAAGATGATATTTATTCAACATAAAAAGTACCTACGGACACTTATCAATCATTGAAAATACGTTTTTTTATTGGCTTTTAGAGCTTTTTAACATTGTATAACAAATCCTCATTGTTTATTATAAAATTGTTGGGTATTAATTTGGTAATTTTTGATACACCTTGTACAAATATTATTATTTATTCCTACACTATTGGACAGCATTTTTTGTAAGCTCTTTAATGATGTATGACAAGTAGGCGTTTGCTATTTCATTTTTTTGTTGGGGTAGGTGGGGCCTTGGAGGTCGATGAGGATCAGTTTTCTTTTATGCCATTTTAGTTTTTAGTGCCCCTTCATATCTTAGAAACAGTTTAGGCATTTTTTGATATCATCTTTCGTTTGTGACATATCGTTGTAAGTTTATAAATTGTCACAATGTATACACTTTTATTTTGTTTCACCATCGACTTCATCCCCGAAAAACGCTCTACGTTACGATAATTAATTGGATAAGATAAAGATATTGATTTATTGGAAGAAAAAGTAGGTCGTTGGATGTGCGAAATTGTTAGGCAAATTTTAACAATCGGGCTATCGTCACATAACAGTCATGTTTTTTCCAATTAAAATCTTCGATAAGCTCTAGATAATGTAGGTGGGCAGATAAAATCCTGTAAACAACAAATAGCAGTACCTATAGAAATTGTTGCCGATAGAAATTATATTGAGCAAAAATCGAATTCCATAAGTAGTACGAATGCCACAAATAAATGAAAGTAGCCTGACATAGAAAAATCCGCACATCTCGAAATGCATCCTTATTTGTACAAAATGAAACGAGCGTCGTATTTTTACGTTATACATATTGTTTCTACACGTATAGACGAACGTAGTAAAAAATATCAAGCAATTAAAATCGACCTCTTTGAGCAAACGCAAAAGGATATTCCGTAACCGTGGCATCCGAGTGGATCCAAAATTGGCCATTAAATAGAGTAATTTTTACCTGCATTCAAATCGATTAAATCATTGCAATATAATTGCCTCTGTTAATTGATTAAATAATTCAAATTGATGACTGTTAATTAGATCTCTGGATAATTATATTGGATGCCGAATGCATATTTGCAATTCTATTTTCAATTGATAAACGGATTTCCAAAATATTTATTCCAGATAAGCGTAAAATTTTGCTTTGCCTTCTCAAGGTTTGGTCGATATTTATTGTTTTCCCAGAAGAGCCTGGCAATGCTAATTAGCATAATAAATTTTAAAATATTATATAGTTTTCTATACACTATATGAATAGATATTACGTTGATAATTAATATTACACCGAATTGCTTTTTTACCGAACAATAGATTTACCCAGTCGATGTGCTAATCGAACGTATTACCACTCTGCATTACCTTGACTTTTACATTAAAACTTAGGTATGGAGTTAATTTTATCCTTGGTTGAAAGCTTAGATATTATTTATCGACAACACAGAATTGCTTTCAGGGTGTCGATCACTGTTTTTTATTGGGAAATTTTGTAAGTCTGAACGATAGACATTTTAAATATCTGATAGTGAGCCGTATGCCGTATCACGTTTGAAATTCCTAACAGGAGCGAGTTTAGGCAGATATCGAAAATAAAATTTATGTTCTTCCTGGCATTCTTCATATTATGGCTTTCAAAAACTCATGTACCGATAAATGTTTATTCGTTACGACATCGACCAGTTTATTTATTTGGCTACATTCCAAAAAATCTGGTATTTTTTGGAAATTTACAATAATAGTGGCGAACTGAGATAATTTTTGTGATTTGTTTACCTACAATATGAATAATCTAGTAATAAATATAGGAATTTAAAACACGAGAAAATAAATGGAGAAAATATACAAAAGAATTTTACTCTGATTAGGGTTCAGAGTCGACTAGGGGTACGCTTAGTTTGAAGTAGGCTGGTCCTTTGGGGGGTAACCAGGGCAACATAAAGGTTCACATAAATGACACATGTTCGATTCCGAAATATTTTTCCAATATGTGGAATATTTACAAAAATGAGAAAAATAATAGTACAAATCAATAGAACAAATAACCATGAATAGGAACATTTACCATGTTATACATTGGAGAGTCTGATGGATTATTTTTATCACTCAATTCCATAAAAATGTTAATGTTAAATTTAGGGTAAAATCTATTTTTTGATTGCAAGATATTTTGAATCTGTATTTATTCGATAGAACCCTTATAAATTTTCCACTACAAAACTGTTTGTCGTTGTCCTTTAATTTGAATACATCGTTAAGTTCCAAAGTAAACAAAGAGGATAAAAGAATTTCTATTAGCGGGAACCAAAATTAACCAGCACTCTCCTAATAGGTCCCCATTACCGAATTTAACAACATTGACCACAAGGCTAATTAATCCCCTTTATTTACAGTCATTTATCCGGTTTATCTTTAGAAGTAATATAGACGATATTCTTTATTTGCTTTTAATGCAACGTAACCGTAATGAAGTAAGAGAATAATAACAATATTTCTTAAATAAATAAACACTTGATGTATACGGAATGGTATTGCATGGAATCAAGGCGGTGTTGAAGGTAAAGAGCTACAATAAAACCTTCTTCGTTCCTCGTGCATATAGAAAGAGAGTAGAGGTTGGGAAGCGCACGTAGGTAAGTAGTTGAGTTTAAGTTAAGGTTAACCAAGTTTGCAAACTACAAATCGAGCGCAAACAAGCGCTCAGTACAAATTACTTGCGACGCGATAATACGCGTGCAAATTTACTCGAAAAGTTTATCTACTATCAGATACTCCAGAATCCCAAGAATCCATCAACGCGGGCATTCAAATCACCAAACCAAACAACTACTCGATCAAATAAAATATCTAACAAACCATGTTTAGCCAACAGGACCATGTCTGGTAGAACCCGGTGAAGCAAAGTCCGCCAATTTCACCACCGCAGTCTCACTCAACCACCTCCATAATAATCCTTATCAACGAGACACTGACAAACGAATTGATACTTTTTGGCGGAACTGTACCCGAGCGACACGGCTGTGTGTGTGTATGTGTGGAGTACACTTCGTTTCACGGCGATATTTCCACTGCGGCAAGCGAAGAAGAACTGAGTGCCAGCGGATTCGCTCCGCGAACGCAACGTAAAACCGGCTCCGGCTGCGGAGATACAGGCGCAACCGATACCGACGATACCGTCGACGTCGACACGGCACACACAGAGCACGAGCGTAGCGCAGATAGCGGAGCCGGAGCTGGAGCGGCGCGGTCGAGGCGCGGCGAAGAGCAAGAACCCTAAAGTGAAATAAACAGTAAGGTGACCGTGTTAAGGTCGACTCGGGTTTTTTGAACTTCCTTCGTTTTGAGGCTGATTTGTGGAAAAAAAACGCGCAAGGACATCGGTCAGTCGAGATGAGACGCGAGCTATCCTTCAAAATGAAGATAATCTGATGTGTGTTAAAAAACTTGTGTGACTTAAAAGCATGTGGAAAAGTAGTACCTGCTAGTAATTAAAATTTTGAAATGAAATCGAGTAGATAATCTAGAGGATTTAAGTCTGGCCGCGATTGAGTGCTGGGTACAAATTATTATTAGCAATCCACGTATCCTAGAATAACTTATTAATTAATATAAAGCTTCCAAGGGATTGTAGACATAGGATTATATGGCCCAGCAACTTTCCTTCAACATGTATAAGTAGAGAAAAAAGCTAAAACAAATAATATTTCTAATTCTTCATTATTTTTCATTCAGTTACAAATTTTAATTAGTATTAGGTACTAACTAATTCTCTAGATTTTTCAAATGGGTCATTAACACTGTACCTATAAAACAAAACATCAAATTTTCTTTTATTGGTTTTTGAAGTTATAGCAAATCTTGAATATGTACATATGTTGTTTTTATTAAATAAGAAACTTGGCATCTTTTTACTGGTTAAATATCCTTCTCCACTGATTTCTTGGAAAGAAGAAGGTAAATGGAAATAGGTAGGTAACCTTGTTGAGGTCGAAATTATTTGAACTTTCCTGATTTTCAATCTGATTCACAAAAACACCGAGGGGTCGTCTGCAGACAGACGTAGACATGTACAGGTAGAGCAAATTACCCTTCCCTTTTCATTCGTTTCCTCTTTATGCTTTGAACGAACAGAAAAGCATTATAAACCATTTAAGAGCAAGCAAGACAGATTTTAATCAGATCCTTTGGTGCCTTTTAGGCTTATTTTATAATGGCTAAATATGGTGCTTCCGTCTACACATTTTTTTATTTAATACAAAATGTTAATTTTATGCATTAAACGCAGATAAAATTGTAAATACCAGCCCGCATTCAGCGTTCTATTTTAATTTAAAAAAACGTATTTTTAAAGGAACATTTAGAAACAATTTTTCAACTTTTGTTTATCCACAACAACCAAGTTAGATGCTATATGCATAAAAATTCTCTAAAAGCCATAAAATATTAATTCATCTACATATGTACAATAATATACATAATTTATTTAAACAGATTCATATTTTGTAAAAAAAGGTTTTGCTACGTATCCTCCAGGTTTTAATATTACATTATATGATAGGACCGGATGTTGTGTCCAGATTTCCTCATCTGTAACTGAGTGGACAATGAAATGAGAATAGAATAAGCACCCATAATGGAATAGAGCATTAAATCATTAGCGTGAGTTATGCCAGCTTCGTTTACGGCTCGTGACGCAAACTTCATCCGCGTGAGTTATTGCCTAGATGCAATCTATGAATAATAAGTTAAATAAAATCGTGTATTAAAGGGACGTGTTCCTTGTAAACGTCGCTTTAATTTGCGTTTCAACTATATCTAGATGTACACCATTATTTTAGTCGAAGAAATTATAATGAGAAGAGAGTACTATTAACAGACGCATAGTTGTTCAACCAACCAAATAAGCGTTCCTCGACGCTTCCACATAATTAATTCATTCATCAAACATAGAAATAAGCGAACAAGAATAAAATGCGATTACTGACCGGAAACCAAAACAAATGCATCGTATATACGTACACCTAGTATTTCAGGCGAAATTAATTTCTAAAGTTAGCTCACCAAATGCTAACATACGCCTTAGTTATGGTCCGAATTTAGATTTAATAACATGCTGAACTTATCAATACGATTTATGTAGGTGTCCCTCATATTATTTTAACCGGAATGCATAAATGATTTATCCTTATTGGACGCCGTTCCAATTCCAATTCGCTCGACGGATTGACTTTAACGATTAAAAATATTTACAATCCGATTTTATCTCAATTTCCCCGACACTTCCAGTAAATAAGTTAAAATACGCAGTACGCGTTAAGATAACATTTCCATTAATAATAATTAAAAGCGCGAAGAAAGAACGATGCTCCATTCACCAACAACCAGCAGATATTCATCCAGGTGTTTCATGTGGACGCGCGTGTACCGAGATAAGGGCGGTAAATAATTTCGATTACGTCTTTTGTTGAGCGATTTTACGAGGTTATTGTCAAAAAAGTGGCTTTGAACGTAACGCAATGTTCACATAAATTCATTCGCCCGCTTTGTGTACGTGTGGAACACTTGTTATCATCTTTGAAATATTGCTGCAAAATTTATTTGAAGTGTCCCCCGTTACGCACAAACAATCAGGTCCGTTTCCTCCTAGTTCCTGGATACACACAACTAAATATAGCACTTTTTTTCGAAATATCAAGGCACTGAAAATGGAATAATTTTGTATTAAAATAATAAATCCAAAGCTCATAGAAAAAGTTTGAACATAATTTTTAGCCATTAAAGAAGAATAATTTTCATTCACTTTTGGCTCTTTTTTAGAGAAGATTACTTGAGCCTCTTCAATATACCATTCATTAAGTGTAAGTACACTTTATGAATATTTGAATAAACATAGACCTTAGAGAGAATTTTTAAAATATAAAAGGTACCTAAACCAATTTAATGATTTGCATGATATTATACGGGTGAAAGCCGAAATAAATTCGGATACATCCCTGTTCGGGGCGCTAAACTACGTCGCAACGCTCCTCACCTTTTACTTTACAGAGTGGAAATTACAAGGGTACCCGGGGGAAATCACGTCACAAAATACAGTAATTGCATGCGTATGAAACTCCAATGGGGTGTATCACTATCAACATTTCATCAGAACAACCGGAATTATTACCCGATTTCCGTACACCGCAGGTATACCTGCGTTCTGCGTGTGCTAGTTAACTTCGCTTGCTTGTCAAGTAATTTTTTTTATATACGTTCAGTTCCTCTGATTTAATATTCCACCGAGGTTTGACTATTTGGTGCACCCGGTGGTACAGGTGCAACCGTCTTGAAAGCTGGTCAGGTGTCTGTTAATATTCTGGAAATAATTAGGAGCAGTTGTCGATGATTCGAAGAACATTGTAATGTTTATAATTTGTTAGAAGTGTCAAAATTTTCTTCGAAATCTTCAAATCTTTAGTTCTTTTAATATTTTCCTTTGCAGGTTTTCTAAATGATCGTTTACCCAAATAATGATACCAAATACTTATTATCGTCTACAATTTTTTATAATTATTAACGTAATTGATATAAAGACATTAGAGAGTTATATGAGGTAGAATTGTCAATAAACTATCATAAAATAGGGTAAAAGATTTGTAAAGGAACAGAAGAAATGGGATTGGAGCAGAGATCAATTTATTGAGCCGAAGCAACATTTGACAAGTTCATTACTATTTATCTTAGTAACAGTCGGAAGAGCAGAAATAGTCGATAGATGTCCGGAAGGATTTACAGGCGGGGATATTACTTATTGATGACCTGATTTGCTTTGAAGCTTTTTTCATTTCTAACCGTAGTTTTCTGTATATGCTCCCTCTCTAGTCGCTTTTGTAAACTGCTCTTGTAAACATGCAATTTCACTACTTTTTCATTGGTTATTCATTCATTTTTTATGCTTATAGGAATATATTAGAATAGCTGTAAGACTATTGGTTATTGTTATTTATTGAAAAATTAATTAATTTTTGTTCTGAGTTAATAAATAATAAAATTAGTAGGTATCTACTGAATTCGATAATAATGGCTTGAAACTTACCTATTATTTCCCACCTTTAAAACAGCGAATCGTCCGGTTTTTTCAATCACCCTTTTAGAAGAGTGTGGCTTTTCACTTAAGGCAACAGTAAAACATGTACCCCTAAAACTCACTAGAAAACAAGCACCGCATTTCGGTAGTATACAAAACGAGTTATTGTCCTTCATTCAACGAACATCACTTGCAATATTGCTGGATAATCAGTTATTAGTTAAATGTCAAACGCCTGAGGGCCGACTTTGGATCCACACCTCTTCGGAATCGACGTGTTCGATTCATGCCGGACCTTTTCCGCGCGATTTTTAGGGCCGACGGTCACGCGAACCGAACTCTTCGCCGATATCGATGCCATGTTTATTCAATTCATTCATATTCCGAATCGAAATTTATTGTTTTTGACTATCGGCTTGGGTTTTGTTTTGGCCGTAAAACTGCGCGGCGTTGTCGCCTCTCCGCCCGGAAAAACCGCTTTCCACCGAGCGCTGTGGAACACTCGCTTCTCGAGTGGCTTTGAGATAAAAGTTCGATGTGTCGGGTGCTTGGAAAAGTGATTTTCTACTATTAAGCCAATTTGTTTGCATTTTTACTTATGTTCTTGATTAAATATTAAATACGAGGAGAAGTCGAAAAACCCACACTCGACGTGCAAAACACCGTGTCAATTATTTATAATTCAAAGAGAAAACCGCGAGAGCTCTGGCTCTTTCCTTTTCGAGCGAGTATTAGTTATGCGTTATTGACAAAACGCGGCCTTTTCTAGAAAATGAAATGCAAAATTATATTTGATCGTCGCCGATCAAATGTAAGGAGTGTATTTATCCCATGTGAAACGCCAATTATCAATTATCAGGTGCAGAGTATTTGCGGATGGCGTTCGAGTTTAATTGGAAAGGAGTTAATTTCACGTTTCGTTTAAAAAAAACTGATCTCACGTTTTTCTTCGAAGCGTCGCGATACCTAAATTAAGTCCGACCGGATTTGGGAAGTGTCGAAGCGTAAGAAAAAGAAATTTCGGTTTGAACGCACCAACTGAACTACAATTATTATTATAAATAAAAAAAAATTTTTAGTCATTTTTTTTAATTTATGTAACGGCTTAATTCACAAACTGGTGTGTTTTCGGTCGGTACGTGGCAACGTCGAGTTCGAATTACTGGATAATATTATCGATTCTTAGCAAGGGCGTCGGGACGCCAGGTTACGCGCCGGTCATTGGGGAATATTTCGAACTTCCAAACCATGCTGTCTAGAGCACGAAAATTTTATAAGTCCGAAACGCTCCGATAGCATCTACGATCAAGAAACCCCCAAACGAACAACCCGAATGATTAAAACTTTATGAATTTGATAGATTGAAAAAGATTTTGCAAGAGTTTCGGAACTTTCATTTAATTAATCGTTTGGTTAAATTCTATTTATTAAGCTTCTTTCTAATTTTTCCTAAGTTTTTAATTTTCTAATTAATCTCTATATTTTACTTTTTTGATTGTTATGTAAGTGTTGTTGTTTTTTATAAGAATGTAATCGTAAATAAAACATTACGAACGTGTACTGTCCTTTTTTATTACTAGTTGCTCTGTTAATGGGATTTTGAACTTTGAGCCTTGTGATTCATTTTTTCTATTCCAATTCAACGCAGTTGCTAAATTGCTTGGAAGCTTATGTATTATGCGAATTAAAAATTTGAATTAATAAACCAGAATAGTGAGAAAAAGATTCTAGTTTTAAATGAATGATTAAAACGAGTCTACTGTGAAGGTCGTAAAAAATAGGAGACACTGAAAGACAAAGTCGAGCAAGTATTTATTATACAGAAATAATTGCAACGATTGTTTGTTCATGAGTTGGCGCCGGTTTTCTCATTAAGAAAAAAATGCATATTTTTAATTATTTCCCTAGCAGTAATTCTATTTGGAATTGTCATAGAACAGATTTGGATATGTTTATTGAAATATATCTTAAATGCCTTAATTGCTCAATTAATTACCTACATATAATATAAATGGTTGCTTACCTTTCACCGAATCAATTCACCCGGTATTACTTATTACGTATATTCACATAAAACTGGTGAATTTTAAATATTGTTAAATGAGTTGCCTACATACTAGAAGAACGACATAAAACCATAATACATTCTTTCTTCGTCCATAATAAAAGTTGTTCCATGTTATAACGACATTAATGACTAATGACAGTGACAGAACTGATACTGACAGGTGATTTAGTTGTTTGTTTGGTTGTCAAGTCAGAATTAAAAAAGTAACTAAAAAGAGAAACGTCGATTTAAACAGGAATCAAACAGAGAAAATAATACATTATTTTTGACAGTTAATTCGTCACCTCACGTTCCGTACCTCTCGGAACTCCAAATTCCTGTTATTTTGTCTTGGCTCAACGCAGGTATGCTGTAAAGTGTAAACAAATGAACGATCTGATTCATGAACATTTACATTTCATTTATTATCAGTCATCCATTATTATCAGAAGTTTTATTTCAATTCGAACAATTGTTTCACTAAGAAGTTCAGTCAAATTGTCGTGCCTTGATTCATGTTTTGAAACCTGTTTTAGTGTGTTAATTAGATAAATCGTCGAGTGCAATATGACTGGGAGATTAGCAGGACAGACCATCAACGACAGGCTCCTGGCCGCAAAACACAGCTTGGCTGGGCAAGGTTTGGCCAAATCTGTCTGCAAAGCGACCACAGAGGAAATGATCGGCCCCAAAAAGAAACACTTAGATTGTAAGTTTTCTTATGAAACAGGTGGATTTTTAAAATAATTCTTCCTTCCTCTGCTTGTCGGTTTGTGGTGCAACTGCTTATGCAGTGAACGAAATGAACCGAGAAAAGCTACATTTATGTATAACATACGTATTTATTTAGATAGTTAATAGATATCCGTTAACAGAAAATAACGCCAAATTTTATTAGATAATCAAAATTTTATTATAATTAGTAGTGACCATGAATTATACAGTTGTACACTTTCATGTTTAACCTGAAATACTAGATTTTTCTCATGCGAATATTTAGTTTTGCAACCTTTTATTACAAAATAATCTGGTTACATACAACCACACAAGACCATAATTTTATATAATTCACTTTATCATCGATACGGGCGAAATGGTAATTCAATAGATTAGTTTAATTTTTTTATTGATCTAAATACATTTATGATTTAAAGCGCTAATTGTTGCAAGTACGAGCATAAATTATCAAAAAATACTACACCGCCCACTCCCTTGCGTTGATAGATGATACTCTGGTGTTATCAATTAAAACGGATAGGAAAAATGCTTTCGATAAGTTTGTCACTCTCAATAATACTCGACTCGTTCATAAATTTAAAATAAATAAATCATTTCTTGTTTAAATGTTCAATTTTCAATTACTCTAATGGCAAAGTGCAAGCCTTGAAGCTCCCAGCTATTAGAATAAGAAATTTAACAGCTCATAATAAAAACTGTACCGACCTGATTTTAATTTGTTTTCAATTAACAATGAGAATAGAGAGATGTTTTTAATGCAAATATATTTATCAATTAGAAAACATTTTTCGCTCACTATTAACTTGAATAATTTTAACCTTGAATTTAACTGTATAATGAGTGACTCTGCCAAAGTACACTAATCCCATAGTTGTAATTGAAAATTTATTAATAATCAACAGGTACATTGACATCGGGCTGCTATTTTCTTTATTCTTAGTAATAATATCACAATCTGATGTTATTTTTGTTCTGTCTCGAGCATTTGACGAATTTATGCTTTTATTTCAGGAAATGTAAATATTCGCTTTGGTTTAGTTCATAATTAATATTCTAGGCATAAACGATTTCTTAAATACAAATTAAATGGAATGAAATAGGTTTTATTAATTGGTGTATAAAGTATTGAACACCCTAATTTTAATAACTCCCAATTTTTTAGTTTAATTTAATATTCCTTTGAAAAAATATTCCAAAAATCCTTTTGCTACATGAACAATGTTATGATTAAAAAAATGGTGTGTTTTGAGCCATTTTATTTTATTTAGAATATGATAAGATAGTGTTTATGTAAGGAACTTAATTATTCCTTTGCCATTATCTTGTTTTTTACGCAATTAGCCACCAAACTAGACCAATTCGTTATATTGTAAAAAAATATATGTTTAAACACACTAATTTTTTGTATTTTTTGTGTTTAATTTGAACACAATTTTATACATTAATTTCTTGAAATGCAATTCCTTAGGGCGTTTTCACACAGTGCAATATCTTGCTGCAATATTGCATTGAAGTTTTATTGCAATATGTTGCACAGTGTGCGCTCTTTGTTCCCCTCTTTTTAAGAACAAATATACATTAGAGTTTTTAATATTTTTATATAAATTAAAACGCCATTTGCTACGTTTTTTTTTATTTTTCAGATTTAGTCCATTGTACAAATGAGCCGAACGTTTCTATCCCCCAGTTAGCAAATTTGTTAATAGAAAGATCACAAAATGCCAATTGGGTTGTGGTATACAAAGCGCTTGTGACGGTTCATCACATGATGTGTTATGGAAACGAGGTAAAAATGCAGAATGCTCACAGGAAAGCATGTATTATAATAATTTTCGCCATTCCAACACCTGTGCCGATAATTAGATATTTTAGATATTCAATAAATTACTTAAAATTTCCTAATGTCTATTGAATTGAGAGGTGTAATATTTTGGTTATTACCTTAACTATAATTTAATATTAATGGACCACTAATCTATTTCAGAGGTTTACACAATATTTAGCATCTAGTAATAGTACGTTTCAATTAAGCAATTTCCTTGATAAAGGTGGAGTTCAAGGTAAAAAATTTCAACGTTTTCTCAATAACTTCACGCGGTTTTTTATGTTTAATGCGTTTCAGGTTATGACATGTCGCCATTTATAAGAAGGTATTCTCGGTATCTAAACGAAAAAGCTTTATCATATCGAACCGTCGCTTTCGATTTTTGCAAAATAAAAAGAGGGTAATTCGATTTAATTTCGACTTATGTATATCTAGATTAACACTTGTCTTGTAGGAAAGACGATGGTATGTTGAGAACAATGAACGCCGATAAATTACTGAAAACCGTTCCGACTTTGCAAAATCAACTTGATGCGCTATTAGAATTCGATTGTTCCGCCAACGATTTGACCAATGGCGTTATCAACATGTCCTTTATGTTACTGTTCAGAGATTTAATCCGCCTGTTCGCTTGTTACAATGATGGGATTATTAATTTGTTAGGTAATTGTAACTTTCACTTGACGTTGCATATACATGAAATAGTGCATTCAACCCAAAACGTTGCAATTTATCTGATTTCAGAAAAATTCTTCGACATGAACAAGAAACAATGCAAAGAAGCCTTGGATATATACAAGAAATTTCTGATAAGAATGGATAGAGTTTCGGAATTTTTGAAAGTCGCCGAAGTAAGTTAATGCTTCATTATCACGCAATTTACTAATATTTTATGTTATTTTAGAACGTGGGTATCGATAAAGGTGATATTCCAGACTTAACGAAAGCTCCTAGCAGTCTACTGGACGCTTTAGAACAACACCTGAACTATTTAGACGGGAAAAAATCGACCTCTTCCAACCAATCGAGGTACTAATTTGAATGTAATCCTCTATCGCACATTTATATTTTTTTATTTTTAGCAATGCGAGTAATCAAAAGAACGTTAAATCCGGCGTATCGGCCTTATCTTCCACCAGCAACGCATTCGGAAATGTCGTAGCAAACGCTCGTTTCGATTCAGGTAACGGCATCGATGAACAGCTGAAACTTCAAGTCCTCGCCGAAGAAGAAGCTGCAATGAATCAATTCAAGGTACATTACAAACCCCAGTAACATCGAGATGCTCATTTACTCCGGTTGTTTCAGTCTAAAGTTCAATCTCCTCCGATTAACAATCCGTTTTTGAGCAACTCCTCGTCGTCTGGGACCGTTTCCTCGCAATCGCTGAGCTCTCCTACTTTCGATTTGTTCGCTGACGCTCCGGCGCACGCTCACGTGAAGGCTTCGGACGATTTGTTGCAGTTGTCGAATCCTTTCGCTGACGCTTTCGCGCCACAGCAAGCCTCCAACGCGAACGCCAACGCTTTCGCCAATCAACAGAACGTTTGGATGGCTAACAGAAATGGTATGAATGATTTTTTTATTGTTTATGTTACGGTCAGATGCCGAAACAAGGGCTTATCTAGATCTGTCCGGTCAAATTTTGATGCATCGGACAGTAGTGTAGTATGGGCTAGATTTGACCGGGTAAATCCTTGCTTAGGCATCTTGATAGTAACATTTACATCTCGTTTTGGAGTAACTGATTTTCTTGTTTTAAGGTTTTCCTGTTCTAAGTCCCGGAAATAATTCCGTATCGTCGGGAGGATCGTCGTTTGTTAACGATAATAATTTCGCAGCGGTGTTTGGGAATGCCGACACGAAATGTGAGTTAACTTTAAAAAAATGTAATAATCGTTAATTACACTTGTTTACAAGGTTTTACGCAAAAAAACTTAGGATAATGGGTGTGATGTATTTTTCGTTAATGGGCAAAATGTTTTTGCTATAAAAATCTAGCACATCAAATTAGCGAAATATACTAATAAAATCGGAATATAACATCCATGCAGTGCATGAAAAGAGGCTCAATTTTTTTAACAATTTTGGGTCGGTTTCGCGTATTAGTGTCCAACAATAGTCTCCTAGCTCACCATTTAGAACTATCTAGAACCATTGAACGCTCTAGAACCATTTAGAACGCTCCAGATTCATTTAGAACACTCCAAAATCATTTAGAACGCTCTAAAATCATTTATAACTCCCTAAAAAAAATTAGAACACTTTAGAACCATTTAGAACTGTCTACAACCATTTAGAATGCTTCAGAATCATTTAGAACGCTCCAAAATCATTTATAACTCCCTAAAAAAAATTAGAACGCTCTAGATTCATTTAGAACGCTCCAAAATCATTTATAACTCCCTAAAAAAAATTAGAAAGCTCTAGAACCATTTAGAACTGTCTACAACCATTTAGAATGCTTTAAAATCATTTAGAACTATCTAGATCAATCTAGAGCGCTCCAGAATCATTTAGAACGCTCCAGAACCATTTAGAACGCTCCAGAACCATTTAGAACGCTCCAGAATTATGACGTGTTGGACAAATTAAGGAAACTAGACGTGCTAATTTTTTTGCTGCATATTTGGAATAAGCGCGCCAAAATAAATTAAAAAAGTTGATTTTATACCAAGTACAGTAAAATTTTAACTAGTGTTATTGTTATTTCTATTCAGCAAACAATTTTGATCCGCTTGGTGGAGTTCTCCAGCCAGCCAACTTCAACGGCGAGAGACCTTCTCTAAACATTCTTAATAATAACGAGCACAACAATCAGCAAACTACCTCTAATGGTTTATTGACTGGTGATTTGGAATCGAGTTTGGCTTCGCTGGCTGAAAATTTGTCGATTAACAGGGGTACTGTTACGAAGTAAGTAAACAATTCGACATTTTCTCCTAAGCATTTACTAATTTTATGCTTCTCCAAATTCATTAGGAGCATACAATGGAATTCTCCTAAAAATGGTTCTAAAACGGCCAATAACTGGTCCCCTCAGCCCATTTCCGATACAACTGTTGCCGGATACAAACCAATGAATCAGTCGATGCCTCCTTCACCATTCAGCAGTTTGACGTTCACTTCTGCACAACAGCCTCAAATGTATCCACAAATGATGGTAAGTTTGTAAAATACTAATCGCTGACAGCTTTTCCCACCTACCGTGACGAATTTTTATGTCGTTTATGAACGACTAGGACGGAGTTGGAATGATAAGGAACGAGTAAAGACGAGTAGGAACGATTAGGATCGAGTAGGAAGGAGTAGGAATGATTAGGATCGATTAGGAAGAAGCAAGAACGAGGAGGAACGATTGGGATCAACAAGGAATGAGTAAGAACGAGTAGAAAGGAATTGGGATGATTTTTATCGAGACGGAAGGAATTATAATAGTATCGACTAGGAACGAGTAGAAACGATTATGATCGAATATGAATGAGTAAGAACGAGTAGGAAGGAATTGGGAAGATTAGGATCGACTAGGAATGAGTAAGAACAAATAGGAAGGAATTGGGATAATTTTATAAACGAGTAGGAAGGATCCTTTTCCTTTTTTTAACTCTATTTTCACCCCTCAATCATAAAGCATTACTTTAAATATTACTAACCTCTCCTGAATTATAACTCTAGAGTTGTTTTAAATAAATAATTGATGGTGTTTTTCTTGTAGGGTATGCGCCCGTTAACGACACCGCCGATTTTGTCTACACTTCCCGCTATGAATCAAATGAGTCCTCCGGTCAATCAGATGGGGCAACAGTCGTTGCTGTTTCACTGACTTTTTTTTCAATAATAATTCGTGAACATCAGAAAAAAAAGGAAATTTATTTTTGTAATAGTTAAGTATAAAATATATCTGTACGGGCTGGTGTAGACGAGTAACCGGTACAAAAAGTTGCTTTTGAATCGTTACTAAATTATTGAAAGAATTTGATGTGCCTTATATGCAGTTTTTATTCTGAAGCAGTATTTATGTAAATAGTTCGAGTATAATATATCGCAATGAAGCTGGTTTGTACAGGTTTTTATTTGTAAGTATAGAGTAAAAATTAAAATTTAGTCCGTTATATTTTTGCTAAATTTTAATATTTATATAAAATTTACATGTATGTATACAAAAATTTGAAGTTCTTTCTACATCAGCCTATTTTATTCTAAAATGTTATTGTAACATTAGTTTTATGTTGAACTGAAAAATTAAAAGGTAATATTTATTGCATATGGAATCATTTTGAGTTGGACATATGAATTACCGGTAATTTAAAATGGTTAAATAAATTAACAATTATTAGGATAGCATCCTTGTAAATATTTATTTTGGATGTGCAATTGAATAACATAAATTGTTATTGTTAAAACCAGGGTAATATAAATCAAAAATGTACATCAAAGAAGTTATTACGTTTTTGATTAAATTTTATATGGGTCCTTCATACAAGTTTTACACATTTTGTTAATAATTAAACATAAATTACACAGTAATTTAGTTTAGTATAATGAGACATGCTGTCATTTTAAATTAATTGAAATTTGATCTACTACTTGCACTTCCAATGAATCAAACTTTTTAAAACGTATTTATAGATAGTTTTGTTACCACGTTTTCTTGTTTGATTTAGATAAAAATCATTTTCAAATTTGTCTCTACGAGAAAGTTAATTTGTAGGATACCTTACAAAAGAATGAAATTATTTTGTACACCTACTATTTTTTATATTAATATTTTCTTGCTATCTCTACATATAATTTGAATGATTCGAATGTAGAAAACGAGGTAATAAATAATATCTAATTACTAATTTAAGACGTCGAACTGATGCCTACATATCACATGTATTAAGAGAAAAATCTATATTTTGTAACCTAATTTATTGAGATTAAATGAATAAATCTAACGTTTCAAGCATTGGGTTTTGCGGCGTTTTATGCCAGAAATCTATTTTTTCTATAATATGCACATTAAAGTGTTCACATTTAACGGTGGAATGTCACGAAGAAATGTCCATTAGTTTATTTTATTACGATTAAATATTTATAAATGCACCATTACAAGTGCGGAAAGGATTATAAAATCTAGTCATAATAATGTAAATTATTTTGAATGTCATTTGTGCATATTTAATCAGATTAAAAAATTACTATTTAATATTTACTGTGCATCTTATCTTAAGCAAATGTCTTAGAATTTTTAAATTAATTATCGTGTTAATAACACTATAAGTAAATTTCAGCTGGATCTAGTTTCTCGTCCATTTTAACTCTAAATACATTAGAAACTATTTTTTCAAAATCGAAATCATTTATAGTTGAAATTGACGATAAACTTTGAGGACATATATTTTTTCAAGTGCGTCTAATTGTAAATAGCCCACCCTTGAATTTTAAAAGACATTCTAGATGTATTTCGAGTTTTTAAATAACCTCTTGTCTCTATCATAAAAATTTTACGCCATTTATTTACTTTAGTTAAATATTTACGATACATAAGAATGTTATTTATTACACCGTTAAAGAAAAAAATGTATAAAATTGTTTAGCAATATTCGAAAATGAAATAGGCAATTAACTGTACCTTTAATTTATGTGATTAATATTTATTTTTTTGGTTAATAACTCGTTCATCACATTTGCAAGGCGGGATTGTAAACATTTAACCTTTGCAATTTACGTGTGATATCTAGTAGGGTAGACACATCTACGAATTTTATGTTTTACATATGAATTTATTCTTTTACATCCGAGTATCCCAATAGCAATCGAGTGCTAGTATTCATATTACGCCATTTACATCATATACAGGGAGTCCCAAAGAAAAGTAACCCGTTTAATCGACCTGTAATTTTTAAACACCTAATTATAAGAACATGCGGTTTTAGATATGTTTTATTTTGTTATAAGTCTTGTTACAGTGAGGCAGACATTTTGTATCACCTGTACAGGGAGATTTTGATAAAACACCCTGTACTGGTAAAAACATAATTTCTGTGTCCTTGTAACAAAAGTTATAGCAAAATAAAAGCTTGAGGCTATTAAATGAGCTTCTCTTCATTAGGACACCTTATATATTGTACCATTTACTTTCCAAACGAAATTAATGTATTTATTTTGATTACTAATATTAACTGTTATTTAAAATTTACTAATGTTAATTATTGTAATACAGTAGATGGACAATCGAATTATACCGTACGAAAAATTTGAAAGTAAACGGACTAACTTTTATGGACCTGAAATTAGTGCTTTAAAATGTATATCTCTAGATAAATATATCATTTAAGATATTATTTGCAGTACCAAGGATGGATGTTCATTATTCGAAAGGACCTTGTAATGTGCATTAATTCTTTAGAATAATGAATACTCATCTTAGCAGATATTAATGCAGAAAGGAAGCTTATCGAGATGTTAGTTGACAAAAGGCTCTCGAATTTGAGGTAAACATTTCACTTGTGATTGATAAAATTTACGAAAAATTCAACTTCATCTCAACGTGTGAAGGGTATCAAACGGATATACAAGTAATTCTCACCTAAATATTGCATCCGTTTGGTATAAGTTGTTTCCCTATAAAATATGCCTAAAATTGTCAGAAAATATTAGAAAAATTTTTATTTTGTTTCTGTTACAGAACTAATGCTAGTGTTAGTAAACGTTCCGTCCGAAATTGTTTCTAATTTTGTTGGATTTATATACCAGTTTATTATTGTTACCGTAGCTCTGTTACGATTGGCTCAATCCACTTAGTTTTACTGTTCTATTTCGATTATAATTTTTCGATTGAGTGCCTTAAAAAAATTTAATCTGTTAAAATTTACGAATTAGTTAGTCCCTCATAATTTGTGAGTGCGTTGTCTCCGGCAATTTTCCGAGCCGTCCGGAAGTTTTTCCAGGCAATGATGAAATTTCTTGGAGAAAATTTGATCCATTGAAAATGTGCATGTCCAATCTGTTGAAATTATCCGACAATAAGTGGAAAGGTCCATTATATTAGGTTTTCTTTAAACATGCTATTTGTATATACCACACACAATAAACTATAGACCACAATCACCCAATTTGGAATTTATGAAAATTGTTCTATTACATTGTATTATACACTATGTGCAACACAAAATACTTTATTCTTATATGCCATTACTTAAAGCTTATAATGTATGTATTGGATATAAATGTATAATAAAAAATGAAAACATATATCTTTATTTTTTTTATTTAAAGGAAATTTATTTCTAGATAACTGTCTATTATTGTAGTACTGAATTTGTTTTATTCAAATTTTATGTAAATTGTTGAATTTTTTATTAATAGGAAATAATTATCTAATTAAACAAGCTTTTAATTTAATCATAAATACACTGAAACCAGGTTAAAGGTAGTCGAGTGTATTGCATAGACGGACTCAGTTCGTTTAAATATTTATTCTGTTATCAATTAACCGTCGAATCAAAGTCAAGGTAAATCAATAATATAATAAACAATAAAATAAATAGAAAATAATACGCTGTTTGTATTAAGCTATGAGCATGAGCGATCCTTTTCAGCTAATTGTTTGATATATTATAATGTGTTATCAACAATATCTAATGGTAAATATTTGTTTTTAAGTTAATATATTTGAACTTTAAACTTTATTGCAGAATTGTGCAACTGAATTATCTTTTTTTGGCCTAGAAATTAAAAAAATACGCATGAAAATATTTTTTTTTATTATTATGGATTTATCTGTAACATTTTATCATTCTACAAACAACACCGTTATTATTACCTCTTCTAAAAGCACCGTTTCCTATGGTGTTTTTGTGTTTTTTTACTATAAATTTTTAAATGTACGTCAAAATTCAATGGAAAGTTAGAAATGTTACTGACAATTAGGCAACCCCTTTTACAACCTAAATGTATTTTTTTTTTTATATATTTTAAAACACTAATAGTTATTTTTGATTCTTATAACTAATAATGGTAACAAACACAAAATTTGTATCTAAGGTTAACAATAAATAAATATTCAAACCGCAGAGAAACCATAAATTTATTATGATTATTTGTGAGGTACACGCTTTAATCAAACTCAAAAGTCAAAATAGAGTATACATAACCACAAATCAAAAATTGTATCTAGGATTACAATCTAAGTAGATAAATAAAGGAAATTTTAATGCTACAGCCTCTTAAAAAATCAGTTAGCGTCTCGCTTTATCTAATTATCGTTGTTTAAGTAAGTACTTAATGAATAAATTCGTTTAAGCAAATTTACTCTCAACTCAACATCACCAGACAAAGTTAGTGGTTTTATAATGTGTCGTCGTTTTCTAATACCTTGATAAATCGAGTTGGAAAATGAATAAAAACGAGAAACAAGTATGCCCGTTATTGAGGAATCCAGAAACTTATAATCCGGATTCCCTGGATCTCTTAACCAACATCGAAGCTAGAGACTATTGGTTGCATTGTTTGGAGCAAATGGTGAAGAAATTCGTGAAGAAAGCGAAATACCTACATCCCGACGACCCGGATGCCACTGAAAAAGCAATATTGTGCTATCAAGATTTCCATAATTTAGTCCAACAATTGATTTTGGACCCCACGTAAGTTACACTCGTAATATATTTTTACCTATGTTCTCATAATTATCTCCTTAAGGATATTAAAACCTTTAAGCATTCGTAAATTGCTCGAATGTAACGAAGACAACCTCAGAACTTATTTCAAAGACCCCTGGCTGGTGCAGAAGCAAACGGAAAGCAATCACGCCCTAAGTCAATTCGATCATAGAATAGAACTCATCGATTCGATAGAAGATGTCGAGAAGAAGTGGCTGGAAATCGTTCGAGGAGTATTAACGGGGAATTTCTTCGATTGGGGTGCCAAAATCGTCACGGACATTTTAGAAACTACTCAAAATTTCGGGTTTCAAGACGCTGCACACATCATACAGAAAAGACCTTGGTATTTGGATAAATTCGATGATTTCTTCAATCAAATTAAGGTAAGATCAATTGCATAATTTATTTTGGTACAAATGGATGTTACAAACAATATTGTACAAAAATTGACCATGTTGGACTATAGTACTTTGATTCGTTCTCCAGGAGTTATCTATTGGACAAGCACCCATTGGTGCTAGGTGATCTCATTTTTATAATAAAATATTGTGGTTAAAGGACCAGCAATGCTGCATATTACATATTCATTACATTACTCTCAGCATAGTAAATAGTCCAATTAACACGTATTTCTTTCGCCAGGTCAAACCTTACAAATCCTGCGTCATCTTCGTCGATAATTTGGGTGTCGATTTCATATTGGGCATCCTGCCCATGGTGAGGGAGTTCCTTTCGCAGGGCACGAAGGTCATTTTGACGGCCAATACTTATCCAGCCTTGAACGATGTGACTTTCCAGGAGTTGAGCACTTACTGTCACAAAGCTGCCGAACACTGTTCGATATTAAAAGAAGGCTTGAAGAGCAAGCATCTGAGCTTTGTAGAGAACGGACAGAAAGGGCCTTGCTTGGATTTGGCCAACCTTTCGCCAGGTAATGCTCTTGTGTTCAAATTTGTAGAGATGTGCCTTTGGGGAATATTGGATTTATGAGTTTCTGTGTTTCAGATCTGTGCGAGCGCATGAAATCGGCGGATTTGGTGATCATCGAAGGCATGGCGAGGGCCGTGCATACGAATATGTACGCTAAACTGACGGTCGACTGTCTGAAATTGGCTGTGTTGAAAAACGAATGGTTGGCTCGCAGTTTGGGCACTGAACAATTCGCCGTTATTTGCGATTTCGAATCGGCGACTTGATTGAACTTATTTGTACCTGATGATGTGGTTATGTATACATATTTTATTGTAAATTAAAAGGCGAGTTTTATTTTATTCTAACGAACGTGTCGCTTGGTTGTTTTCGAGTTTTATTGTGTAATATACAGGTTTTTAGCAAGAAGCCTACGAGTTTATTAGAGATTGATGTGGTTTACCACAAATCCAGTTGGGGAGTTAAAATTGCATAAGTTATAAAAGAAACACTGATATGAAATTCTACATTTAAAAATGATATGAATATTGACATGTTTCTTCTTAAGGGATATAGGAGGGCGAATCAATATGAACCGGAATTTTCTTAATGCTCCCTAGGTAAAGTTAGTAACATAGGACGTCTTGATATACAGGGTGACCCACGTCGATGGTAGGTTAGGCCTTTAGGGAGAATTGATCCTGCTCTGTCGATTTAAAATATTTTTAACGTTGCGACGTTGCCACTTCTATCGAAAAGTTGCAACAACTTTGATATTTCAAATACCCTGCATTTAATATATTGTCAAAATCTACGTAAGATTTTAGGGAATTTTTGTCTAAAACACTTTTTTCCAGAATGCATACTTTTTGAGTTTAAAATTTTGAAAAATTTGATTGATGCACAGCCTTATAAATTATTTTCCTTTGGGGATCACCTTAAAGATATGGAAACGATTTCTGTAGTAGAGTTACTAGCAAGGCCAAAGTTATTTGAATATGTGTTAAAATGCTTTTTATTTTATACAGGGTGTGTATAAAAATGTGAAAAGTTGAACTTCGAAAATATCATTTTACTATACCTAATACCCTATACCTAAACCTAATAGTTTTGGAGATATTAAAAATTTTTCACTTACATTTTTTAATTATTCTCAATTAAAAGTTGGGCATGTAAATTGCTCTTGAATAATCGATTACTAATTTTGGTAGTTGCACGATATTACATGGCCAACTTGTAAAACCGAGTTATTTAAGAATAAGGCAGAAATTTGTCAAACTTTAGCGAAAACCGTATCGCAATATCTCCATCCATTCTCAAGATATACGAATAAATGTTAAAAATTCGAGTACTTCAATCATATCTATTTAACTTAGTTATATAAATAAGTGACATAATTATGGTTATCAATTTAAAAAAATAAATTAACAAATTGACAAAGAAAAAACACCTGCTACAATTACTAAAAATTTAGCTACAAATATCTCACAAATGTTGAAAATGTCTTCCATCATTTTCGATATGTATTTATCGAACAGTATTTCGCTAGAATGAACTGCTGCTTCAATTCCAGCCCTGGACAAGCTTCTAATGGCATTTTGCATTCTTAACATCATATTATACGTAGTTGTTAGTTTCTCTTGAAAAACCAGGTCTCAAAAGTCTATCTCACAGGTAAAAATCTAAACAGTTAGATTTGGTGCCGGCCAGGGAAAAAGACCTCCTCTGGCTATAACACGATTCGGATATTGCTCATCTAAATGCTGACGTACGTTACGATTGTAATGCGCCGGACAACCGCCGAACCACATGTTCCTTCTTTGTTTCCAAAGACATGTCGTTCAAAAGGGGCGGAAGAAACATATTCCAAAAACCCTTCTCCATTAAGGGTTTGGTTAAAAAAAGTGGCCCAATAATTTTTCCATCCACAATTCTCTACCATAAGTTTCAAACTCCAACGATTTTGATGATGTTCTACTTGTCGCATCCAATGTGGGTTTTGCTCGGACCAATAATGCATATTTATGCAAATTTACATTTCCTGCACTATTAAAAGTTGCTTCGTCTGTCCATAGTACTAAAATTGCAGAAAATCTGGAATTTCACGAATTATATATGTTTAACAGCCAATGACAACGGTTTAGCCTACCATCCACATCAGAATCTATTAATGCCTGATGTAAGGAAAGGTGGTAGGGATGCATATTATTCTCTCGAAGAATTTCGTGCACAATTGCTTTTGGGACACACCAGGAAATTTTTCTGGTGCTTAACGTGGGGTCACATTGCACGTAGGCCAAAAGGTTAATAATATTTTCATCGACACGTGTTTTACGAGTCCTACGAGGTGCTTGAATGGGCTTTCTTGAAGAAAGAAAATCTTGCACATACTGCTCCACAAAAATGTCTAATCTGTGGATATTGTATTGCACATTAAATTGTCGCGATGCAATTGCAGCATTTTCGAAACGAGCACAAACTATCGGAATCCACTTTTGACAGCTGTCAAAAGTAACTGTAATTTACTAATGATTTTTTAAAGCAAAATTTCGGTTTATATTTGATTCGCCTTAGTACAAGGACTTAAGGGTACAACCCTCTAAACTAAGATTAATATTAATCTTTTTATTATCAGGTTTTCTCTAGGTTTTCTCTAGGTTTTCTCTAGAATTTAGAAGTACCTCAAAATTAAGTAGTTTTGAAGAAAACCTCCCTTTCCTTCAAAAGAAACGATTGTCGTGTTTTTTATTCCAAACGAAGAATTATTAACTAAAAAAAAAGTTGACTAAAGTTAACTAAAAAACAATACTCTTGGAAAAATTCAATAAAATGTACCAATTCCCAGTTAGACAATAATTAAAGAAAGTTACTGATTAAAACTATTGTACAAACTTATAAAGAAATGTACGAGAAAATCGATAATTGAATAGACAATAAGGAGCTGGAAATATAAAAGCCGCAAGGTTAAATAATTTCCAACCCTCAACAAAACCAATTAAATTATGAATATTTCATATATTTTGTAGCGATTTAGCACCCACGTGTGCCGTTAAATTTACATATTCATAAGCCCTCATTCATCCTTGAAACAGACACGAATAAAGAGGATATCATAGAAGCTCATCAAATATTGAGCCCCTTTCTAGAATAAAACTATAACAAATCAATCGAATATAATTAGTTTTCAGATTTATAATGGAAAATAACATAATTATGACTGATTGAAGTTATACAAAGTTTTTCGCTAATTACACTATTTGCTATCAATTTTAGATTTCTTATATAAAAAAAACACCGAAATGAAACGCGTGGATTATTGGAATTTTTTACCTTCAATTTTCTTCGATTTCAGAAATTATTCTACACTATTTCCATTGTTTGTTCCTTCGGGAAATACCCAATGTATAATATATTTACCTACCTATCGATTTGGCGAACAAATTGACTTGTTGAATCGTTGTTATGGCAACCTGTTGGACTTTTCTCAGATAAAAGCCGAGATTCGAGAGGAAATTTTCTAAGAAAACCACCTGTTTGGTCGGCGAAACGAACAGGTAAGATTTTATCTCTTCCTTAACTTTTAGTTCATTATAGTTATTAGTCTTTCAAAGGGACAAGCAAAGAAAATATGTTTGATGTGCTTATACGCTTTATTAAGTTTTTTATTTATAGTTTCGGTAGAAGTTCAGGAAAATTTGAATTTTTAGAAAGTTGTTCTATTCAAAAACCTTGTCCTACCTACCCTACGGATTATTTTATAATTTATGGACCTACGAATTCAGAAAAATGTTTGAATAACTGTACCCACTGCTTTTCCTATAGGAAATATTCTTATAGAGTATCTACTAATAATACATAGTGATTTTTTGAAAAGTTTCCACCTTCGATATTTCCCCCCAAAATTGGCGTGTTTTGGCTTTTTTGCAGGAAAAATTTGTAGCGAAAATATGGGAGGTGGAAAATTATAAAAAATCACCCAGGAGGTATAAACTTATTTATTTACTAAGTATAAAAAATGTGTACATGGTCTTTTTTAAGTATACATTTAAGGAGGTAAATAAATTGCCCAATCTAGATATTTTCCGTATTAATCTTGAAATTTAACTCTTAGATAATGAACGCATAACTACTAAATTATCTAGTAAAATAACTTTCTAATAATACGATTTTATAATTAAAGAAATGTCATTTTTTTGAAATTCGACCGCACTATTTTAATCAGCGATAAACCTATCCTCTAATGTTGGTCGTAAATCTTCGAAAGTCAAAGTTCAATAAGCTGAATCAAATAAAGCAATCACTGCAAGTCGTCTCTGTAATTAGGCCGAAACTTAACCAAAATACCTCCCGTGATGAATGTACAATAAATATGTTTTGTGAATTTGTGGATAAGTTTTTAACAATAATTTTGTGCGATACTAGAAGATGACGAAAGACGAAGAGCATACGGAAAAGTGGAAAATTACGCGATGTTTGAGCGGGTATCCTTGGAATCGCTTAAAATGGTTCAATTACGAGGATTTGGTGCGCTTGATGTATCGACCGACGGATCCTTCGAGTCTGGGAGTAATAAGATTTTTATTTGGTGAGTAAAACTTTCCTCGAATCGTCCGGAAACAGGTCGAAGTAAATTAATTAATTTGTAGCAATTTTGAAAGTCTTGCTTTCTAGGATTTTTAATGTTGACGGATTTGCCGGAAGAAAGGGCAGGAGCCTTCATTGACTTACGATGGGGAAATCCCAGAGATTGCCATTTTCCATTATTTCCGTTTATGACCAATCCAGGATATTCCGTTATTTCCTTGGTATATTTGGCGTTGTGCATAAGTAAGAGCTTTAATGAAGTACATATTTAAATGGTTAATTTGTAACTCTTATTTTCATCATTATAAAATTCATTATAAACATTAAAAACTTCATTTTTTCTCATTAAGCAATATTACGTCTCTTCGGGAGATTTATTTATACATACAAGATGTTACTCTACTCTTTTTCGTTGAGAAATCCAATAATTTCAGGTTCTTGTGGAATTATGTTGGGCTACAAATTCAAATCGAGTGCTATAATTTTCGCAATGTCCTATTGGTATTTATTCCTTTTGGACAAATCGTTTTGGAATAACCATAGTTATTTATTCGGGATCGTCAGTATATTGCTCGTAGGCTCATCTGCTAATCATTATTTGTAAGTTCATTAAATATCCTCAAAATAGCGATTAAATAACCACCTAATTCGTTGTAGTTCCGTAGATGCTATGCTGGATCCTTCAATAAGAAATGCCGACGTTCCTTACTGGAACTACTTCATCTTAAAATACCAATTTTTCCTGCTGTACTTCCTGGCGGGCCTCAAAAAAATGGACTTCGAATGGTTAGAGGGGTATTCCATGGTCAATTTGGGTACACATTGGGTCTTTTCCCCCTTTAGGTAAATGCATATGAACTGATGTTAAATTATAATTAATAATGTGTTACTTATAGAATTGTATTAACCTCCGATCAAATCGATTATCTTATAGTGCATTGGTTTGGCTTCTTATTGGATTTAACCGTAGGATTTTGGATGTTAATCGAGTACACTCGGCCTGTTGCTATGGTGTTTTGCGCCAGTTTTCATTTGATGAATTCTAGGCTATTCAGCATTGGTAATATCGCTACTAATAAATACTAAATTTTAGCTACTTATACGATGCTCCTTTTAGGTATGTTCCCTTACGTATGCTTGGCGACCATGCCTCTATTTTGCGAAGAAAACTGGCCAAAGAAAATTATTTCTTTTTTCGCCAGAAGAGAATCAATACCGGACGAGAAGAGAAGAAATAGCAAAAGCGAAAATAAGCGTTTTAAACCGAAACTGAAACACAAACTCGTCGTCGCCTGGCTATTGTGCCACTGCGGTTTACAGGGTTTCTTGCCCTATTCGCATTTTATAACAAAAGTTAGTTACAACTAATGCTTCTTGCACAGACACAGTGACAAAAAAGTACCCGGAAAATTGGAGTAAAACGCAAAATTTCTAACCCTCTTTAATTTTTCTTGAATCTCCTTCAAAATATGCTTCTTTGAAACCGTAGGTACACATAGTCAGGCGTCTTTTCTAATCATAGAAACATTTTATAGGCCCTTTTTGGTACTGCTATTAATTCTTCTGCGAATTTTGTTTGATGGCATTTATGGAGTCAAAACGAGATCTCCGAAGTGGCAATTTGAGCTTGGAAAACAAAAAAAATCTACGAGTAAACAGTACATTCGTAAACAAACTTATTGTACATTAATTTTATCCATTGCAAAATTCGCAGGGCACTACTGAGATGAACTGATTCAATCAGCTACTACAACCAAACTGACTGAGAAATCTCTCTAATTTTTTGCATGCTAATTAAGAATAGTGTCACCTACATACCAGAAACTTGAAATAGTTAAAAATATTAATTACAGGTAATAAATAAATCAGAATTTCCGGGTACTTTTTTTGTCAGAAGGTACGAGTAAATTTAAATATTTTGGTTTGTAATGGTATTAGGGCTACAACAACTGGACGGACGGTCTGTACGGCTACTCCTGGGACATGATGGTCCACTCTTGGAACACAGTCCACGTCGTTATCAAACTAGTGGACAACGTGACGGGAAAGGAGCAGTTCATAGACAACGATGCTTATACAGTGACCGACAGATGGAATAAACACGCCGACATGTGCGTCCAATACGCCCAATGTCTCAAGAGGAACTTGGAAAATGCGAACAACACCGGTTAGAACATTTACGCAACACATTTACAGGTATTATTTAGTACCGTTTTCAGAGGCGAATCAGCTGGAAGGCTCCTCTTCAAAGTTCCCCAACGTCTCGATTTACATAGACGTCTGGTGTTCGATGAACAAGCGGTTCCAACAGAGGATGTTCGATCCCACCTACGACTTACTCAAAGCGAATTGGTCTCCCTTCAGGCCCGTCGAGTGGCTGATGCCTATTTTGTCAGAGTACAACGATTTCCGGAGGACTATGAACGAAATCACGGAGCACGTGTACTCCTGGTCTAATAAAAGCGATGTTTTGTTCATCGCTGATTTTCCCGGTAAGCCTTATTTTCCTAATTCAAATCCCAAACTATAAGCGAAACAAATTATTGCAGGATTGCATTTGGAAAATTTCATCGACGATAACTTGGAAAACATCACTTTGACGGTGCTGGAAGGTGAGGTGGTTTTCGAAATCGAAGACCACGATAGCTTTCAGTCGTTGGGGATAAAATTAGGGAAAGGAGAGTCGGTTCCTGTAGATACTGGCGTGTTCCATAAAGTCCACGTAATCAGTGAAACGCCTTCCTGTTATATGTATACGTTTTCTAGGAAGGAAAGCGAGGAACAGCCGGATAATCCAGTCGTTGCAAAGGGTGCGATGCACTCGCCGTTTCCTTTAGTGGAAAATTTCGGGGAAAGGGGGAACAGAATAGTGGCCATGTGGAAGCACATTAGAAATGGTATTTTTGATATTTTATTTGGAATACCATACGAAATATAGGAAGAGATGATTTGAATAAAATGCTTCCAATCGTTTATGACAGTGTGCTAGCTTATCAGCGCGCTTTAATTATCCACACTGTATAATTTTGATTTCACTTTGGGACGTGTCACGATTAAAAACCAATGTATTGTTATTAAAAATGCTTATATTAGATAATAATACAAAATAGGTTCATTCAATAAATTTTTACAATCTAAAAATGTGTACAATCTACAGGTCTACGAATTTACCATGGCACCTGGGGAAAATATTTTCTGCGCGAAGTAAGGGTCAGTGTGCGACAAGGATAGCATTCGGAATAAAGAGATGGCTATACAGGTAGTGAACGTAGTCACATTTTACTCGACACTTTGCATTAAACGGACTCAGGGGCAATTGGGATTTTCGAATGCAATTAAAAAAAATATTTAATACCGTTATTTATAAGAGATTAAGTTCAATTAGCTTACTTTTATTCAATGCAAATCTCAATATGTTTTGAATGTATAGAAATAATGGATGTTAAATTAGTTTACTAAGAATAATTATTGCGTTCGCATTCAAGCCCATCAATTTTAAACCGGATTAATTAAATATCAATCAAATATAATAATAAATCTTAATATTAATCTTATACGGGGAATAATGAATTATTGGATTTATAGGAAAATAACATAACAATGAAAATGGGTTTTTCAGAGCCACGAATCTAAAATTTTAGGAATTTCGCTCCCTTAATACGGCTCTGTGCTTAGATGTTTAAGCGTAAGACTGTCTGAACAGAATGAGTGCGGAGCGTAATTTAGGGACGAATCTACGGCGCATCTAGGGGGTGGAGCATCTCAGGTGCCATGGTAAATTCGTAGACCTGTACCTACTTATTAGTCTCTGTAAACTACGAAAAACCATTAGGTATGTTTAATTTGTAGATTTTGGTTCTTCTGATTGTTCGGTTTTTTGATGCCTCCTATTTAGACTTTTTCTTGCCGATAATAATCGTAAGCTGGATTCACCGAATTGACTTCCCAGCAGTTTTTCTTCTTCTTTATCTAACTCCGATTCCATTGTTGTTTCTTGAATAACCTCTGCAATACCTATGTACAAAAATAATGAGTAAGTGTAAATTTTACAAAACTAGGCCTTCATAATACAAATTAATAAGATATCTGAATGAAGATTATGAATTACTGAGGAAAAATTAAAAAAGTAACCTTCTTCTGTCCGATTCGTTGAGGTATTTTCAATTTTCATTACTCTCTCCAGCACTTGTACGAGGTGCCTCTCCATCTTGGAAATATCCGTCACTTTCTCGATTTGAGTTTGAGATATCCTCAATTTGTCTTTCTCGTTTTTAGCTAAAGTAGTTCGTAGAAGATGAGATAGAACGGCGTCCATCGTATCTTCCCAATTCTATGAAAAACCACCATTCATTCCATGTTCAAATCAAAATTTCGAAATTCCCTACCTGCGATTCCAAGTCCTCGACCGTCGCGCAAAAAGCGGACACCAAAGTATTTTTCAATCCATCCTCGATCTTCGTCAATTTGATGAGTTGCCCTGTGAGTTTTAAAGCGCATGTCAGCTCAATTTGCGCTTTGAGTAGCTCATCGTTGGCCTTTCGCAAGGACTCCGTCGCTTTTAATGTCTCTTTATAGGTATCTTTCATTAATATCTCTAAATTAAGCAGAGGCGTCGGTTCTTTCACTTTGAATTTCGATATTAACCGCTTTTGAATCGTTCTGAACTGAGCGCACAATTTATCCAAAGCGTTCTTAAAAAGTGCAAAAATTAATAAACTCTCTTATACGAAAAGAAACAGTAAAATCCTACCTCTAAGTAGCAAACTCGATTTCTCTTCTCGAAATGCTCTTTAACATACACCACGATTTCGTTGGATGGCAGAGCAGCATTGTAAAATACTCCAAATCCGTCGAGGTTTTTGTAATACTTTTCCAACCGGTGGATCATTTGCTCGACAATAACACTCAATAAAGAAAAGCACGATGTTTGAATTCGATATCTGTTGGACGATTTTGCTAGTAGAATCGTAACTGGTTCGGTTGAAGACGATATTGGCTCGAATGCTATTGCATTCGTGATTTTATTATCTTCTGCATATTCTAAAAGTAATAAATTTAATATACACAGTGGCAAAAAAGGTACCCGGAAAATTGGAATAGAACGCAAAATTCCTAATCATCTTTAATTTTTGTTGCATCTCCTTCAAAATATGCTCCTTTTGAAGCGATACACATAGTCAGACGCCTTTTCCAATCACCGAAACATTTTTATAGGCCCTTTTTGGTACAGCTTTTAGCTTTTCTTTGATGGAGTCGAAACGGGATCCATCACAGGATACTTCACACTAATCAGCATGTCTGCATCAACCAGTTGATATTTTTTTGAAGTAAACTCAGCTGAAGTCAAGTGCTACTTCTCTAATACTAGCATGATGATTTTCGAACTAAATTTCCTTCATTTTCTCGCCGTTATCATTGGTTGAAGAGTTCGAAGACTGTCCGGAAAAAGGCAAGTCTTTAGCGATCTCCCGACTGTCCTTAAAAGTTTTGTACCATTCGTAAATACGGGTTTTCGATAAAACAGAGTCCCCTTAAGCATTTGCATCGATTCGGCTCATGAAATTCCGTTCAAAACCCAAAATATGAGACAAACTCTTTGTTCATTATTAGAATTTCCGGGCACTTTTTACCACAGGTTAGTAAGGTTGATTTGCTTTGCTCATAATTGATAGTTTAAATGCATTTATATGCTCGCATGTAAAAGTAGTGAATAAACTCACCTGGAAACAAATCAGTCAAAGAAACAACGTTCGGATCCACATTGAGCGTGACCTTGTGTTTGGCCTCCTTTTGAGCCGAGCAAATCTCCATGACCAGGCGCAAAGGCAAGAGGGCGACGTCGTTGAAACTTTTGGGAACCCCCGCCGAAGATATGGCGGTAACTACGACGATGAGGCTCAAGCTTGGCACGTTCGCGTCCTCCTCCAGGAAGACGAAGCTCTTCAGTTTTATCACCTCCTCGCAGCCGTTGAAAAATTGGCCGCTAGGGTGCACTTTTAGCGGTTTGGCAGCGTCTATGGATACTTGGAGTTCGTCGAAGGCCAAGTGGGGAACGATTTCTACGTAAACGGTGCACATTTGGACATTGGCAACGTTGCTGGGGAACGTGCAGGGCTCTAAGTTGGGGTCGACTTGAATTTTTATAGTCATTTCCTTGTCCGCCGTTTTTTCGGTCATATGGAGCTCTATAAACATTAGAGCATATTGATAGACAAACTTAAGAATTATCCTAGTAGTACTCTAATTGTAGTAATAATTAATAAATCCATATATCGTAACTAACCATTGCCATAAGTTTCTCTAATCGTTTTATTCAAAGTGGACAGTTCCTCTTCGACTTTCAGCAAGTCTAGTTCACGTTCTACCAACGGTGGAGCTACGAATAGATTAGGTTGAGTGCCCAAGTAGCAGCACTCCAGGCGGCCTTCTTCTGATAGGAAGGCCAAGGCGCCTTTAACGTTCTTAAGGAAGGTTCTTCGGACGGAGATGGGCAGGAAGTTCAGCTTGGCTGACCACTTTAAAGTCGTGTTTTCGTACACTAGAAGATTGCTCGTGTCCGATACGACTAGGCTATAAACTCTTTCGCCTACAAATGAATGTCTTTTTTAATTCAGATTTTATATACAGGGTCTTTTAGACCAGAAACCAGTAAATTTTTGTTCCTAGGGGGAGTACTTTTGACAATCAAACAAACTTGATAGATTCATCGCCCTAAGCCCTGGCAACTCCGTAAACATAGTTTTAGGAGGGGGTCAAGTTTTTCCTATTTATTCGTTGTGATTTTGTATAACTTACATATCACATAAGTTTCGAAGCACATTGGAGAATATTCCAGTTTCTTCATGAACTTCAATCGTCCGGTATCGAATAAACAGAACAAATTTCTTTCTCCCAGAATTACGATATAATTGAGATTATTGACAGCGTCTTCGACGACCGCTATATCGAGTACGTTTTCACCTAAATTGTACGTCCATGTAGGATTGATTTTCTTGTATTTACAATTTTCTACATTGCTTTCGTCGCCTCCTTCTGATAGGGCGTTGTATCTAAAAGTAAGTAATAAAATCACAAATTGAACAGAACAAATCATAGAAAATATCATCGTTATATCGGGTGATTCAATTTACCATAACTCGCCTTGAAAATCAAACTAAATCACCCTGTACATGTACAATAAGAGTCTAAGTTAGACCTACTTGTATGAAACTACCGACCAGTTTCCGTCGACTGTGACGAAGCTGTCCGTTTTTTTCACGAAAACCAGCGGCCCGGGCAGCAGGAAATTCGACAGGGAACAGGAAAACGTGCGGTTTTCTTGCTCGAAAAACTCTAGTGTACCGTCCAATGTTTGAACGCATATGAAATCCCTGTTCCGGACGCCGCCGAATTGACCTATCGTGAAATTCGCCGCCGATCTCTCCAACCGGTGCTCATATATTTGCTCAAACGTATTTTGCGAACCTACAAATAAATTATTATACAGTGAGGACCAAAAGTCCGTCGCCCCCCCTTTAACTTTTGAAAGGTAAGAGCTTTTGTCGTGCAATTTGGGGTGTTTATATTGGGGTAAAAATACTATTTTTTGACGTAAAAATTACAGTTGAAACTTTCAAAATGACAGTTAGGCGCCATTTTGAATCTTTTTTTCTTATGGAAAGGGGGTCAAGTGACAACTCGTTTTAAAGGTAATTTCATTCTTAAGTCAACCCCCAAATTTGAAAACATTTTAATAACGCGTATTCACGTAAAGACTAATTTAGTTTTAACCCCCGGGCATATACATTTAAGAATTTATTCTGAACGTCCTATAAAATGTGTCAATTAATTGTTGCTATGGTTTCTTGGCTCTGACATTTATTTGTCAAATTTAAAGTTGATGAAAGTGACAATTTTTTCGTTTAAAGCACGAGCCATTATTTTATATTTAATTACCCTAGTTCCTTTAATACCCTTGAAGGGATATACAGGTTGCTCCATTTTTGACCGCAACATAGGTTATATAGGCCATGGGTGCGATAAAGACAACTTCCATTAGACACTTACAAAGGAAAAAGAAAGAGTGACATTTGTGTCATTGCAACTTTTCACTCTGACAACTGTTATTTTAATAATCTTTCTTTGTTCCACTCATAGAAATGACCATGTTGCAATCGGAAATGGAGCAAACGATATTAAAATTGTTAGATTGTTAGATTGTTAAAAATTACAAGATTTTAATGTTAAAAATAAAAAATAAGTTTTCTTTTATATTGAACCAGAATGGCTTTACTCTTTTTCGTGAAAAATTGTACAGAATATCTTTATTTGGTGACAAATTCCATATTGTGTATTTTTTTTTTAATTATCAATCCGTCTCTGATCGGGGTTCAACCTCCTTAAAGCCCCAATTCTTCCGCCCATGTTAGTTTGTTAGTTACCTAATTTTTTATAATAGTTTTGGACCCTTTGTAATATTCTATAAAACCTAAATTTTTTGAGATAAATCTCAATTTTTTGGTATTTATACAATTTTGAAATCACCAAACTTTGGACCAGTTTTAAACCGTTGTTAATAATAAAGTTAATTTCATAGCACATTTTTAACAGATCCAGTTAATTCAACAAAAATCTTTTTATTAGTTTTTATACTGGTAGAAAATGTTAAAGTAAAAAAATATATTTCAGTAATTTATAAAAACTGTTAAATATGGCATTCATTATGATTAGTAAATAGATTTTTAATAAAAGTAACTTCTAATAATAGTAATAATCTGTTGAAAATGTGCTGAGTTAAAAAGTGCTAAAAATGTTCCAAACTGTAGTTCACAAAACTCGCAGCAAAAATCGGTTCTGAGAGTACTAATTTTATAAAACTCGCAACTAGTATTTTGGACACTCTCAGAGAGTAAAAATTCGCGAGTTTGGTCTCAAATGGACAAAGACCTGTGAGTAACTCTCGAGAGTTGCTCTCAGGAAAAATCTCAAATGGACAGGTAGCATTAGATCGAATTGTGTATGTATTGATTTGAATAAAACATTTTAACTTACTGTAACCTGCTGCGCCGCCTTCTTTAATTTTTAATAAATGCACGGATAAACACCGAGGATTCAAAACGGCCGTTTGATATACGAGTGAACCCCTGAAAAATTTAAAACAAATTACATTCAAGAGGAACTCAAATGGATAAACACACTCCCTTATATCAGTTAATACTACATAGTATCATTTAACAGATTATAAATGTACAGGGTGTTCCATAATGACTTGCTAATTTTTAAGGGGTGATTCTTGTACCTATTTTAAGAAAAAACTTCATATGATCCTATGTCCTAAACGTATTAACTTTTGAGATACGGGGTATTAAAGTTATAAGAAAATAATCAATTTTTTGTAATAACTGTGATACTATTGTAGATATCTTTATGAAATTTGGCACACGTCTTCTATAAATCAAGATGTAGTCTTAAAATAAAATTTTTAAATTTTGCAGTCCCCATTCAATTTAGAACAAATTTGATTTCTTGACTTTTTTTCGTAAGAATCCCCGTTTCGCATAAAAAAATTAAATGCATTCATTATTTGTGCGCTGCGACTACATTAGTCGCTTTGCTGATATTAGGTTTAGGTTTAGGTGAAGTTTTTTTCTTAAAATAGGAACACCCTGCATGGTACTTACGAAACGAGCCTCCCGCAGCCGATTTGCAGAATCGGTTCCCGAAAGGCGATCTCGACGATCAGATCCTCGGGGGAGAACCCGCCGACGCCGCCGTCCTCCGAGACCCCGCAATTCGGCTTGAATATCCTCAGAACGCCCGCCTGGCTGCCCGTTATCACGTAGTCGTCGTTGCCGTTCAACGGCGTGACGATCATCGAGTTCTGGTCGAAGTCCTCCTGCTGCTCGCAGCCCGTCTGCCAGAAGCCCCTCGTCTTGAACAGGGACATTATTTTCGGAAAACGACCGCCGGTCGAATAGCAGCGGACGATTCGTCGGAAGTATCATCACGACAGGTTTGACGAAATTCGCCGTATCGATTGGAATTTGAATGCAAACATTGTGTGTATAGGGACACTGAAAAATAAATCGATAATAGTGTGCCGGTAATGCCGCGCATTTTACTAGCTTTAAATATTTTATTGTTAATTTATATGTATACAGGATAAACACATATTTATTAATGAAAAATATATTTAAAAAGAGTATAAGCTAAAAAGCTAAACAAAAATTAGGCTTAACTACAAAACAAAATGACAAATTAAAAATTTTTATTTTCTCTATTTTTTTGTTTTCCCCTTTCCTTTTCCTTTTCCTTTACTCGCCTCCTTTGTTTTACTTGAACTGCCTTTTTTAGTTTCATTGGATTCTGCTGATTTCTTTACTTTTACCTAAAAAAACAAACAGGTTGATTCATTTTAGTTTGCAATATAGGTTATACAGGATGTTTTTTAATGAAGTTTTTTTCCTAAAATGGGCCCATGAATCACCCCCTTCAGTATTAGCATGTTATTAAAAAGCCCCCTGTATAGGCTATGGGTGCGATAAAGACAATTTCCATTAGACACTTATAAAGGAAAAAGAGTGACATTGTGTCAACTTTTGTACTTTGACAACTGTTATTTTAATCATTTTTCTTTGTTCAACTCATAGAAATGACCATATTGCAATCGGAAATGCACCAAGGTGTACTTGGGTAAGTTCAAAGTTGTTTACATTACATTGGTCCATTATACGAGTTGAACAGATTATTAAAATAACCGTGGTTAGAGTGAGAAACTTGCAACCCCACAATATCACTATTTCTTTTTCCTTTATATGAGAATAATCAAAGTTGTCTTTGTTGCACTCACAGACCATACTGCATACAAATTTGCACTTATCTGTATATTTCAGCAAGCATTTAAAAAAATGACTTCTAAACAAATTGAACTTACTTTAATTAAAGAATCCGCATTTACATCATCATTATCATCTTCATCAGTTTCAGATTCATAATTATTCTCATAATCTTCGTCTCCCCGTGACGTTTTCTTTTTGGAAAATGCTGCTCCCGCCGAAAATGCCATTTTATGATTAGATTTGTTGAAGGCTCTAGTAAACGCGGCTTTTACCTGATAAATATTCAAACATTAAAAAATGCAATAATTTTGCTAAATTTCATTACAGATCCTGCATTTACTGGTTTTAAATAATATTAAATTACCTTAGCATCGACTGTGCTGAACGGATTTTTATTATTACCCCATTGGCAAAGTTCCAGGAGACTGTTTAGATCCTCTCTTAACAAATTGTATCTTTGCATAACATCGACTGATTCATTAACGCCTCCTGTACCGTTTTTAATCATAGGTGTAATTATGGCGTTTCTCAAAGGTGTCAAATAATCCAATTTTAAAGCGCAAATGTTACCGGACGTACTGAAACCGCCAAAAATCATAAAATACAAATTTACACGCGAATTTACAATTCATCACTTACCACGCTCTAGTATGGGCGTATAATTCGCTTAAAAGTCTCTTGCGCTTGTTGCGAGCAGAATTCTTCCCCAACCAAGAAGGAAAATTGATTTTATTCGTAAATTTACCGCTCATGTAATGTCCAGGCAAAACTGAAGAATATATAGCTTGACAGTCGAGCAAGGACCAGCTATTTGTACTTCGAATTTTGGCGTCTATTAAATCGCCTCTGCTAATGGCATCTGCAGCCTGAGCTACCCTTTTTAGCATACCCTTCCTAAAAGTAAACAATTACACGTAATGTAGTGTTAAGAATTAAGTAACAAACACTCACTTGGTGCTGCAATTTGGCGTCACAGCCAAATAGTTCTCTTGAACAAACAACGGCCCCAAGCTGTAATCGTAAAAGAATAATTTGGTTTTCTCAGCTAAAGGAGTTCCTTCTGTAGGAGTGAACACGGCTCGGACGACTTCCCACGGACCCAAAACAGTGTCCTTTTTGGAAGCTTGGGATTTCTTCTGAACGTCCTCTAATGTGTTGTTCTCCTCGCTGGCTGCGTACATGGTTAAGTTGTTTAAAGTTTGTCGAATATCACAACCGGTGCCCGCTATGATTTCGATTAGCACCTTTAAAGGTATGTTCAGTCCCTCTTTGAAGCATATTGACATCATGGCCCCCTGCAAATGTTTTGTATATTAGGTAAGTAATTTGTATGCGCTCTAATAATTGTATTTACCTGGATATGATTGATCTTTGGAGGAGTAAATTTCAAATCGAAACAATAGTTCACTAGAGATCTCATCTTTTGGTGATTTCTGTCGTTGCACATGCATATTATAGGAACGTTTGATGTTTTTATTAAATTTATTAATTCCTGGATGCCTCCTCTGTCTTCGTTCCCAGCCATTCCGTCTACTTCGTCCATTATTAATACTCGCTTTTTGTTTGCAGTTGCCTTACCTGAAATGAAAAGTATAATAAAATTTTATCTTGTAACATGAGAGGTAAATCACCTGCAGCAAAGCCTGCGATCGTAGTAGTTTTCAATATTTGAGCCACCTCTTCCTGCAACAGTTTCTTGCTTCTAGTATCGGACGCGTTGAAATCGACGATATCGAAACCCAGTTCTTTTGAAACTAGCGTGGCGGTTGTGGTTTTACCTACCCCAGGTGGACCGCTCAAGAGAGCTGCTTTGAAATAGGCCCCATCGTCGAATTTTGCCCAAGGCGATGGCCGGATGATTTTCTTTTTAATCTCGGGTATTTGATTTTTGTGCCAATTTAATAGCCATTTCTTTAGTTTCGCCACGTTTGTGCCATCGCCTTGCTGTCCGATGATTTCCTTCACGTTTTGGGGTTTGTATTTTTCGGTCCATGGCAAAAATGTTTCGACTGAATTCTTGTTTTCTGTCGCAAATGATTCAGTTTTTTTATTGTCATTTTGGGTTGTCACTTTTTCTGTTGGGCTTTTTTGTGTGGATGTTTTATGTGATTTAATTGTGGAGGTTGTATGAGATTTCTCATGAGATTTTTCTGGTGATTTATTGTTATCAATATCTTTGCTTTTGGTAATTTTCTTCTCAACATTCAATTTGTTAAGATTACTTAAGATCACTTTTTCTGTTGGGCTTTTTTGTGTGGATGTTTCTTGTGATTTAATAGTGGAGTTTGAATGAGATTTCTGACGAGATTTTTCTGGTGATTTTTTGTTTTCAATATCTTTGTTTTTGGTAATTTTCTCTTCAACATTCAATTTGTTAAGATTAATTTTTTTATCTTTTTTTTCTTCAACTTCTGTACTGATTTTTCTCTTTTTTTCATTCACTTCTTTTGCAGTTGTGGCTTCTTCAAAGCATCCGCCTAAAAATTAATGTTAAATAGGCAAGAAGCAATCATAAAAAATTAAAATGTTGTTATGTCAATAATACATATTTAAAGTACCTGAATCTACAGATGCAGTTGATTTTAAAACATATTCCGGTTTTTGGCCAGATTTAACCAAAATTAAATCAAAAAGCTCATCTTCACTTATTTCGGGTATATTAAAACTTCTCGCTTTTTCCAATTTTGCAGGGCCTGGTTCGTCTCCAACAACCACATAATTGACTTTTTCTAAAATATACAAGTAATTTACATTTTATTTTTAAATATTTCGTTATCTAAATTACTTGAAATAGCTTTAACTGTTCGTCCACCGTGTTCTGCAATGATATTAACAAACTCATCACTTTCCAATGATTCCAATACTCCTGTTTTTATAAACGTTAAATTTTTAAGACAATCAGGTTTTCCCTAAACAAATAAAAAACATGAATAAATCAATGTTGATTAAAGATTGCGTTCTCACTTTTGGCTGCTGTTTCTGACCATGCATTTTTGGCCCACCTCTATTCTTGTATTTTTGATAGAGCATCGCAGAATATATACGCTTCTCATGGGCTTCTTGATCAGGATCAATACCAGAATCGGTATGTTCTATTTTTGTTTTTGTTTTTTTAGGAGTTTTATCTACAATAAGAAAATCAGCAATGTAATAGTTATATGTTTAGAGCATTCTTTAGCAATTCTTAAAAGGATATAAGTATTTTTTTACACTTATTGTAAAACTATATTTTTATTGCTTGTTAACCAGTTAAACCGTACCTGTTGATGGTTCTCTTGTGCTCCCTGAGAAGGTTTTGGATTTATTTAGAGGCTGGTCCGGGGAATTGCCTTTAGAACTGCCTTGTTGAGGTTCACTAGTGAATTTTTCATTGCTAGATTTGACATCCTGACCGTTTTCATTATCCAAATCTTTTTTTGCCTTCAAATCTGGGAAATCTATATTATCGAAGATTGAATCATCGTCCAATTCCATAAGCGTTTTTTCAAACGCCGAATCTCCATGTACTGCGCTTTCGGTTTTAACTTTCTTTTTCTGTTTCGATTTTTTCAATTCCCTGTTTTGTAGGGATTCTGTCTTAGGTTTAACAACAACAGGACTTTGCTTAATAGGTTTATCATACATGTCTAAATTAATGGGTTTTAGTTTGCTTGATTCGGTTTTTTTAACGGGATTTTTCGAGCTTGATTCATCGTCAGAATCCAAGGATATAATCTTCTCTTTGTGGATTTTCGTTTTGATAATCTTTTTAGGCGGAGTTTCGATGTCTTCATCATCAGAGTCTATTAAACGTCTGGCTCTTTTCTTGTGCTGTTGTGGAGCCTGTGGAGATGCCGGCGTATTTTTCGAAACAGGCTTAAAAAACGACCTAATATCCTATAAATACAAAAATTAGTTTGTCATATAAATTAATTATTTTTCATAATTACCTTTGACATATTTGTAGAACGTAAGTACTTAAAAATTAACAATTTAACCTTTTTGTACTTTAAGCGGGATAATTATTTTCCTTCAAACTGACATACGTCAAAAAACTGTCACTGGATGAAAAAATTGACAAGAGAAACGTGACAACAGCGTGTATTTCTTCTTTTTTAGTTAAAAATAAAATTTTATTTCAATAAATATCTTCTTTATGACAGAATTTTCGCATATTATTAGTGCATTGTAGATTCATTTTTAAAATGATTAATTGCAGTGAAATAATGAAAAATAATTCAATTGTTTAATACAGATGTTGCTGTAATCCAATTAATAAGTGTGCAATAGTTGGGCAACAATGTGCAACATAGCAAACATTTGATGGTGCTGCCGCCTTATCAGGAACGTTAATCTTGGGAATTAAAGAAATATTGTTCCGAGTATTCGGAATTTGTTTCGTTTATTTAAAAAAATACAAGTTTAATAATTCGATAAGCGGTAAATAAGCCAATAAGAACGTAAATAACGACACAATAACGTTTTTTATTAATACTTCTTCGCGAACAGGGAACATATTAAGTGAACAGTAAGACAAAATCTGCGGTATGTTATTAAAACGGCCATGTTTACTTATTTGAAAGTAGGTTGTATATTATTAGTTTTTGAGTGAAAAGTTGCTTTAGTGAACCCAGTTTTCCAAGCGAACGCGCCCCAATCAACTGAAGTATATTATGGATTCGACAGACAGAGGTAAGCTGCCCTATTTTATTATTTACAGGGGTTTTTAAAGCGACGACGAGGCCAATGACAAAGTCAGGGTCGTATTATTTGGTTCAGTGACCCCATTTTCTTTATTAAACGAAGTCCGAGAGCATTAGAACTCAATTACTTGAAATACACGGTTTGTTTATTTTCATTGGCGATTAGTAGTCTATCTAGGCGATATAAAAATAAATTGTTCCAAATAAAATTTATGTCTGCAGTGTGTGTAAGAAAATGTTCGCCCCATTTTTTCTACATATATTTCTAATATACATTATTATCTTAATAGATAACATGATATTTCCATTTAAATTATTGTTGATTAAAATTACATGGTGTTACACCTATGGCGATTAATATTACCTATTGTTCTTATTTCTCATTGTTCAATTGTGTAATTCGCCAGTTAATTTGGCCTTTTTATGTCTTTTCTACATTAAGATGGTTGTAAGGATTCCTGATTAGGCCTACTTGATATCCGGTATTTAAAATATACATAGGTAACTTCGTCCTATTTGGTATTTTTAATATAAATGACAGGTAAAATGACAGTTTGACAGAGATGTGTACTGAATATAATGTACCAAAAAATTTGTAATTTTTTACGTCTGTCAAGCTGGCAAAGTCATATGAGCAGAATCAAAAAACAACATATGAGAATTTTTTGCTATTTTTTTGATTTTTTTTGCTCGAGTAATTTTTCGGAAAATTATGTAGGTACATGCTAGCTTGACGTCATGTCATGCTATGATGTGTCAAATTCCGGATAACTACTTGATCAAAAAATGCAAATGTATAGCAAATCATTTGCAAATAATTAGCAAAAAAATCCCCATATGTTGTTGTTTGATTCTGCTCATATCACTTTGCCGTTAATTTTTTAACAAAAATGAGCAGACATTGGGTAAAATCCAAACTGTTTAAAATTAAAGCAAATCTGTCTGTCCTGTTTACTCTGATAGAATTTGTTACATAATAATTTAGAACTTTATTTATATCTAACATTTATCATCATTCACGAATAACCTGGTTATGGCTTTTTCTCAAATTCCTTAAATTTTTTATATCTACCTTTGTCGTCGAAATAGGCCACCGTATATAAAACCCAATAGTATATCTTGTGGAAAATTAAATGAACTCGAAGAATTCGAAGAAATTTATCGTATTCCATCTGTATGAGGGTCGACCTACTTTTCCCAACAACGAAGCGACGGCGTAGAGGAAAAAATTAAATAGGGTAACGAGGACGTAGATCGGCCTTGTCGACTCCCAAGGACGAATAGAAATGTATATTAGGTATCAAAGATAAAAACTATTGTATACGTTTAATCTCTACAGCCTATCGAATTCCTCTTGTGGTGAATGAAAGAATGAAAAAGAATTGTATCTGGTCCTAAGTAATTGTAGTTTAAAATTGAAAAATTAGGGAGCAAATTGCCGTTTTCATTGTGTTTTTGAATGGGATTTAATATGTGTAAACACTTGGTGCAATAGAGGAAAACTTTATCTTGTTGATTTAAACAAATTATAAGAGAAATTTGTCACCGGTATAGATAAGTTATCATGTTTTTTCTTCCTGTTTCTAGTAGGTTACTATGCACTTATTTAGAATTGATCAATTGGATTAGTGTTATTCCTTATTTATTCACAATATCTCGACTTGCATTTATTTCTCTGGTATGTGTAGTTTTTTAATGTTGATAAGGCTACTTATTTTAGAGCAATTTTGTTTAATTTTAAAAGTTTACCTTTTCATAAGTACCTGCCTTTTGTCTTATCCTCGCAGACGAAACAAGTACCATTGAAAAATAAATCGATGACTTTCGTCTGGACGGTTCGTATGGTTACGGTTATTCTGGGTCTATTATCGATTCATTTCGGTCTCGTCCTCGGTCTAGACGGACCTTCTTCGCCTTTCGCCCTTTCAATTATTATCCAGATTTCCCCGAATTCACTGTCGTACTCATCCTACCAGAACAATATCCTAATACAGGTATTTGTGGATAGTAGATGTAAAAAAATGATGCTATTTTGTTATACTGACTCTAGTTAGGAGAATATTGTATTTTCTTTGGCAAAAATATAATTGGCAAATTTGCGATACATTCTTAATCTGGTTTTTGTATAAAAAATGTTTATATATGACGTTTTTAAATATGTGTAAAATTCACATATATAGTATTTATTTTGCACCTAATTATGCACCTAAATTCAGTCAATAAGAGATAAATCTACAAATTATATAGTAACTAATCTTCCCATTTGTTGTGTAGGTATTTCAAACACCTAAAGTATGATAAATTCATTCATAAATACCTTACTGTACTGGAAATATGACCTATGAAAGTAAAAATCTAAATGAAAGGAAAGCAGAAACACGTTTTATCCTAATCCTAATAATTGTAAGGCATAGTCACATAATACTATACTGTGGCATACTGGTAATATTATACTGTGGCATAGTATTCATATTAAATTTGGTTAAAGCAGGCAACGTTGTATTCGCGCGAATCCTGCGTCGTTCGCGTTTTTCTGTTTTCATTTCAGTCAGTCGCGATTTGAGCGTATTAGTTGGCGTTTGTGTAGGGGAATTCCGCGATCGTCGCGTCATTGAATCGCTGCCGGTGCCGCAAAAAACCGAAACGCGCCATTAATGTTGAATTTTCGCCAAGAGCAACACCAACATCGACGCGAAAATTATGTAAACCGGTTCAGAAATTTCCCGAAAAAATAAAAAAAACGTGGGGTGATACGATTTTTCCGCACCCACGGTGCTTGCTAAGGAGTTTCAGGCTGTTGTTTTGACGGGTATATCGTTTGCCAAAGATTGGTCGTTGGTTTTTTTTCTCAATATTGTGATAGATTTTCGAGCGCCGGCTGTGATATAGTTTTACTGGTTTGTTTATAATTTTTTTGCTGTAAATATGATGAAGAAGGAGAAGCCGATGATGTCGGTCACTGCTATTATACAAGGTCAGGCCCAACAACATTGGAGCAGAAGTTTGACGGCGGGTTTTCGAAATCACCCACACATGCCTTTAGGTAAACAAAAATGTTTTCGTTGGTTTAAAATAATAGAAACCAGCACACTTACACAAATCGTTAGACAGCGAATTTACTAAGAGACTACTGCAATTATTCAAGTAATTATGATCCAATATATTAGTCATCTACATATAGTTTAGTACAAGTACCATTTATTCTAGATTATAAACTTTTATAGTCCAATTCTAAAAGACCTTTATAGGTGGTTACTTTAAATGAATATGTAAATTCGTCTTGTGTCCTTTACTTGCTTGCTTCTGGACCAAACATTTAAATAAATGAATAAAATAATTGCAAATTGGGTCCAAATATATTCAAAATGAGGCATATAACATATAACCCCTGCTTGAATTTGGCTTAATTATTAAGACCCATTTAGTTATTGTTTCTGTCCTAATTTGAAGTTGAAAAGGTATGGATCAAGTTATTTTGACCTAAATATTGGTTTCTTATGTATTATGTATTTCGGTTGATTTTTTTTTAATTTAGAGCTCAAGTCCCTTTTTTGTGAAAGTCTCACTACACCTGACCAGGACTCGAATTGGCATAATTATTAAACAAAGAACCATTTCTAAGTATATTAAAATTATTCCTTTTATATCTACTGCTAGAAACTTCTAGGTATTGTGTTCTGCTCTTTTGAAGAAGATTGCATTTAACCAGAAAATTTCCTCTTTTCTCAAAACTACCGTGACATTTTTAGTTGCACCTACCTAATTTACAAATTTCCGTTTTGGCCACATATTTGCACTGCCCTATTCATTTAGGGCTGCCCTGTACGCCACAAGGCCATTTCGATCGAAACGAGCGTTTCCCGAAAGCGTACTGGCGGAATCGATCGAAAATTATGCTCCTCTAATGAAATAAAAACAAAAAAATAACAACGGAAGGATTTTGTTTTTATCCACTGTGACCTTGACTGTCGCTTCGCTTCTATACTCGCTGTTATTTTCGTCGTTATTATACACATACAGGGTGACCTAAATACACCTGCCGTTTCGAGTTTCAACGTATCTGCGGAATTATCTCAAGGATTATAAATCGTAACGAAGTTTACAAGATAATCATTTAAAGTACACAATACCTACAATAGTTAATGACATAAAATTATTAATATATTTTTTGTTCAATTTTGTTGCATTTGGTCTACCAAAAAACTGGCAAAGGTAGAAATATCCGATAATATTTAGTAACTTTTCCACGAAGCATTCCTTTTACCTGCGTGCGTTTTGTTTTATAATTATTTTTTTGCACCGAATAATGAGATAAAGCGGGAACAAATAAAAACGATTTGGGTCTGGTCTTACCTTGCCTGTTTCTGTCGCTCACGATACATCAAGAAATCCTTGAAATAAAAGTCGTCTGCAGGTCAAATCCGCATAAAAATAAACAAAAAAATAACAAAGAAAATAGATACATAAAAGCTCGGGGAAATTAGCGTTTTTTTCTTGTTTAAATTACGGCCGACCTGTTTTTTTAATATGTATTTATAAAATTACACATATTCAGTAGTTAATACAGTAAAGTGTTTATTTTATTTTGTTTTAAGTTTATTATGTGGTATTATTTCTGCTTTAGTTTTGTGGCATACTCTCCTGAATCTTCTCTTTATCGTTATCCCAATTTTTATACATATTGCTGTTTAGTATTTTCAGAAAATAAGAGACATGCAGATAATTACTTTTTATTTTTTCACTTCGTTAATTACTTCTGTGCCATTTATAATGTTGTGTAAAGATAAGGTAAACGATTATTTTTGTTTGTCGCAGTTCGATGGTTAATTTTTCCGTTTTTAATCGCGCAGAAAAATATTTCAATCCGAACAATCCTGTTTATCCGACCTTCTATCTTTAAAATCCGTTCTCGTTGTATTGACGCCGATAAGTTATTTATTTGGTTATTAATTACTTATTTGCGAGGCAGTTTATTTATTTTATTAACAAAAACACAATTGGGCGTCATTAGTGTTTTTCCTCTTTATCAGAAAAAAATGTGCACAATGATATGCACTTTGAACGAATATTTAGTAATTGTAAGGGAAATTTGTATTTATCGGCGTTTAAGGATGTGATGTTTGAGTAGGTACTTTTAATAAATAATAAAAATAAATTAATGACCCGAATGAAGCGAGCAAGCACCTAATGTACCTCCTTGTTTTGATGAAAAAATGTATATTGCGCTATAATAAAAATCGCAATTGATTTTTTTTTAATACTCGTTGAATTCGCAGTTTCCAAAACACCGAACCGACGAGATCGTACGCGACCATGAATTTTATTTGTTTAGGAAAGATTTCATTAATTTGAGGCTCCAGCTAGGGAAACAAAAAAAAACATCTCCACTTCAATTTCCTGTTTTTCTTACTACGGACGGCAATAAAATTAATTACCAGCGCTTCGAAACATTTAATTCGCCGAAAAAATTGATTTTTTTCATCTTACTTTTTCGATACTTGCAACTACAGGGTGGAGTAGTTTTTATTTTATTTGGTTATACGTATTTCATTTGGTTGTATTAAAATTTATATGCAACTTTTTTAATGTCGGAGCCCAATATATTTTATTTCTGGTACAGTTTTGGTACAAATACATGATATCAATAGGTAATTCGAAATAAGAAATAAATTAAATACGCCACTGGATTGTAATTAAAAAGTGCCTGAAGAAAATAGAATTAATTTCTTTCTATATTCACAACCATCAAAGTAAATTATAACCCCTAAGGAAAACTGAACTTTTGCTAATAACACAAGAATATAGCCAATTTTGGTTTTCACCATCAAGTTTATCTAAAAAAAGACGATGGAATGTTCACTTTTCCAAGCACTGCAGTTACCGAGATTCCCTATTAAAATATAGAAATCCGTTCGACCATTTTCCTTCTGTTACTTTCATTCCCTTAGAAATTTTACGATTTCCCAATCATCCTTACACCCTTACAATGCTTCTCTTCTTTTGTACAATCTCAATCAACGTATACAATTCAGAGGAACGTTTCCAGAAATTTACAGCGTTTCATCGCGCCCGTCCGCCACCAATTTCAACCCTTTATTTTTTGTTGCAGGTCTAAGCTTGGATCAGAATCTGTCGATGGGCGCGCTCGGGCCGCAATCGCCGCTCGAAATCAAGCCGGACGCATCGACGTTGAATCAATTCAGTCCGCAGGGGCCCAACAGCCCGAATTCCTTCCAGCTCGGCGGGCACCAGAACGTGCTCGGCTCGTCGTCCACCTCGCAGAAAACCAACTCGCCCTATCCGCCCAATCATCCGCTGAGCGGCTCCAAGCACTTGTGCTCGATATGCGGCGACAAGGCCAGCGGGAAGCATTACGGCGTTTACAGGTTCGCTTCAGTTACCGTACAATTTGTACCCAATACAATCGCCTAACTCTTGTCTGACAACAGAATGTTTAAACTCCACATACATACACCCTTTGTGTTATTCTCGCTTGATTGAAGGTGTTATTGATGGAAGAGGATGTTGAGTTTAAGCGTTAATTTAGCCATCCTATAATTCATTCCTCTCGCTCGATTAATGATGAGGTGTGTCAATTAAGATTTGTAGATCACTGTTGTCGCTAGATAGCACGATATTTGATATTTTGAGCAACTAAAAACTATTTTGAATTCTAATGATTCCATTCATATTCATTAGGCTCCAGAAGCATGTAATCCTGAAGTAAATAAATTTGTTTTCCTTTGGAATCCAACAGTAAACTTCCCCTTTTCTTTTCATCAGGAAGAAAGGAAACGCCTTGTTAACGAAAGCGATTGAACACAGGCGGCATTATTGATGTATCGACTCGACGAATTAACGTTGTATTTTATGTAAATGGTATTTGAAACGCGACGAAGTTGATCTTCGAAGCGAAAACACCAAGGTCGGGCCATTATTCGCATGCGAGCACGTGGCGGAGAGCGGAGAGAACGAAACGCTCAATTAAATGTTTTGAATTGATTCCGTACTTGATGAAAATATCGCCGGGTGTTCGAAATTAATGCCATTCGGCGGAATTGTTGTACCGGTTTATTCGATTTTTGGAGGAAATAAGTTTGTAAACAGCTTTTTGTTAGCTTACTACTGTGAAGTTATGGAAACATTCCATTACTCACTTTCATTAATCCTCTTATTTCATTTATTTCTTCAATATGTTTTGGTTCTGAGTAGAGATTTTGCGCAATTTTCCATATACAATTCCTCCTTTACTCTTATCTCTTGTGCTTTAATTATAGATTTTTAGCTCTGGTAATCATAATCATTATAGTCATGTTATCGCACAAATTTCACGAATTTGTTTAAACTTGTACTTAATTTTTGATCAACTTGTCTTGTCAAGAAAAACGGATCGGTGAAACTTTTAATACCTCCATAAATTTCGAATTCACCAGTTTCATCATCTAATAGGCTCGTTCCTCTTAAAATAATCGCCGAATTCCCCGTAATATCGCTCTCGGTGGTTCTAATGGCGGAAAAAAAGGCATTTCCTCGCCCTGACAATGACAAAAGAAATCCGCCGTGACCGTGGCCTCGCGTGCACGAGCAGTATTGCATCACGGCGACCTTCGGTGTAAAATAAAACCAACACATAAACGTTCGCCAATCCATCTAGTAACTATCTATGTTGAAAATCGTACGTATTCCAACTACCATAGACTACGGGCTTAGCGCTTACTGGGTGTTCCAGTAATGCGATATAATCTCTTTCTTTACTTTGAATGCTCGCTTTAGTAAATGATCCGGAAGCTGAAATGCTTAATCATTTGATTTTATATGTTAAATCTTCTTACGCCATCAAAAAATTCCTCTTTTTTTATCTCATTATGATTAAACCATAGTGTGGAAAAATTTGATTTAGCGCTATTATTATTTCTGTATCAGAAAACTCCAAGAAAATACATTTTTTTCTACTCTGTGGATAAAATATTGCATTTTCCAATTCACAAGAACGAGAACAATTTTTCCCTTATTTTTCATACAGATTGAAATAATGAAATAATTAGATACTATATAATTTAATAGTTTGCTACAGTTAATTATCCGTTGCTTAAGCTAGCGTGTCTCCTTTTTATGTGTCCACAGATGAAAAAAGCAAATGTGCAATTTATTTTTGATTTTTTTCTCCTTGAATTTTTGGTTCACCACACAATTTACTCCGCATATTTCGCCGCCAAATTTCGCATACCCTATACCTACACATTTAATTAATTTCTCCAATAATTCCCAGATGTGCGTTGTTGTCAGATTTGAACTAAAAAAATCCTACGGTATTACGACTAATTTTTTTAGATTAAATAACAGTTTAATGTGTATTAATTTTTTCAGTTGCGAAGGATGCAAAGGGTTTTTCAAAAGAACAGTACGAAAGGATTTGTCGTACGCGTGCAGAGAAGAAAAAAATTGTATTATAGATAAAAGACAAAGGAACAGGTAATGAACAGTCTTCTTTAAGGCATTGTTTTCGATTAATTCTTTAATCTTATTCTTCGTTGTAGATGTCAGTATTGTCGATATCAGAAATGCCTGCAAATGGGCATGAAACGGGAAGCAGTGCAAGAAGAAAGGCAACGAACGAAAGATAGAGACACATCAGAAGTGGAATCCACATCGAATATTCAAACCGAAATGCCAATAGAAAGATTATTAGAGGCGGAAAGAAGGGTCGAATGTAACGATCCGCCCGTTCCAATAGAAGTAAGTCAACAATAAAAGTACCTATCGAATAATTTAAGCCAATCATAAAACAAGTACTATTCTTCTTCCTCTTTATCTGTCTGTATTTATCCACTGCTGGACGTAGGTCCATTCTAGTTGCTACCATTTCATTCTACCTCTTGCAGTTCTCATCTATTGTTTTCCCCCGATCGGTTTGATGTCATTTATCCATCTTCTTGCGGCCTTACCATCTATTTTTTTTGGATTATCTCGTGCTATATGACCTGCCCATTACCACTTAAGTTTCAATACCCGTGTCATGAGATCAGTAATTTTTCTTTTTCGCGAATATCAGTGTGTTCGAACCGTAGCTCTTAGACTAATCCCTAGCATAGTTCTTTCCATCGTCCTTTGAGTAACACCGAATTGTTCTGCACTTTTCTTTATAATTGCCATGGTTTCGAGTCCATAAGTGAAAACAAGTACATGGCGAGAGCAATAGCTGAAGACGTGAGCACGATGCGCATTGGTTTCTACCTGTTACATTGTACTCGATTCTTCGAATTTCCTCTAATATAATACTGATTTTTTGATCGTTTTCCAGAGCGCCGTAACAAATATTTGCCAAGCTACGAACAAACAGCTATTGCAGCTGGTCGAATGGGCGAAGCTGATACCGCACTTTACGACGTTACCGGTGTCCGATCAGGTGCTGCTCCTGCGCGCCGGTTGGAATGAACTGCTCATCGCCTCGTTTTCCTATAGATCCATACACGCGCAAGACGGCATCGTTCTGGCAACGGGACTTACTGTAAATAAGTACGTACATCCCCGAAGTATTCTTGGAATAATTTCTCTATAATGTGGTTTGTTCTGCAGGCAATCCGCTCACGCCGTAGGTGTAGGTACGATATACGACAGAGTCTTATCCGAACTGGTGAATAAAATGAAAGAAATGAAGATGGATAAAACGGAATTAGGGTGCTTAAGGGCAATTATTCTCTATAACCCGGGTAATTAAAGCGGCGTTATAGTAAGTAATTATGTAAATTACATTTTGTGTTTAACTTGTAGACGTACGAGGTTTAAAATCGTCTCAGGACGTGGAAACTCTTCGAGAGAAAATCTACGGCGTCCTTGAGGAGTATACGAGGATGAACCATCCGAACGAGCCCGGTCGATTCGCCAAGCTCCTTCTACGCTTACCGGCTCTCCGATCCATCGGATTGAAGTGTCTCGAACATTTGTTCTTTTTCAGGCTGATCGGCGACGTGTCCGTCGATACGTTTCTAAAGGAGATGCTCGAAAATTCGTCGGATTCTTAAGCGATGATCTCGTGCGGAAAACGGATACGTTCATTTGGAGGTGTACGACAGACTGTATGAAGCATTGAAAAGTTTATTTGCAAGTAATAATTATTTGGACAGCGTAAACCAACTGATACATTGTACCTTTCAAGACGATGTTGAAGTAATTTCTTATCTTCTTTCTAATAGTAGAGCGGGTGGATTTTCTCATGAACACTACGTCATCGTTGCGCGACCGACCAAATTGCTACCCGAAAAATTATATTAACTATCTTGACAATATTCGGCATTCGATTTGCATCGCTTGCCTAGAGCGGATCTACCCTGAATACCGATATTAGGGATAAGCGATACCAAGGAAAGCGAGAGCCGATGTTTTTGTAACAAACTTTTGCGAAATTTTGACCTGTTGCCACTTCATAGTCGCGCACAGCGCTGCCGTATTGACTGTTCATGAGATAATCCACGCGCTCTAACTGCTAATAGATTACAATAGACCATATAATGGGAGATCAAATGATTATGATGTAGTTTATAGTTAATTTTTGGGCAAACTTTTAAACTATTGATGTATGTTCCCTGCACTATTAAGAATTGTGCCTGATACTACTTAGTTTTTCTAGCCGATTAACTACAGATCATGTATAAAATATAATAGGAAAATAATATCTGATGTATCAGTGAAGAAATATAGTTTCTGCTGTAAATCAATCTTCAACTTTTCAGTGCTTTGTACAATAATAAAATGTACAAGGGAGATACCTAAGCCAAATAAGTTCAAGTTGAATTGAATTGAAATCTCAAAGTACGATTTGGTAGCATATATCAATTAATTATTTTCTGGTAAATGTAGTAGGTACTAAAATACTTATTGATAACAGAAATACCCGGTTTAGGCAGATTCTCCTATTCAAATATGCCTCCCCTCATCGATTTAAATAAAATCCTCATCGCTGTTGGTTCTCAATCTTCTATCCTGGCTCTATGAAATTTTAATTGCATATCTGTGATTTAGTATTTTTCATTATAAATTTTTTCAATGTACAAGCGGTATTATTTAGTTTCCATAATGGTTATTTTAACGATATTATTTTAAACCCTGTTGAAAGTTTTTGTCAATAATTATGGAAACTAAAAATTTATATATTTATTTTTATCATAGGGATCAATATGTGCAAATTTTTGTCTAAAATTTTAGTTTGTTTGACTATATAGTTTGTTGTTAGTGGAAAAAGATGTGTTGTTAGAATGAATATTTGATAAAACTTACTTGATTTATTACAAAATCACGGACATAATGAAATGAAAAAGATGTTTTATCGAATAAAATGTTAGTGATAAGAAGAAGTGCCTGTCGGTTTTCGTATTGTATCGTTATCTTCCAATATTTATTTATCTATCAGTTTTCTTGAGCTTTAAATATTAAGTTTGTAAAATAAACTAATCGAGTTATATTCAATGAGGCAACTATTCGAAACATTCCAAAAAAAATTTCTAACAGAAAATACAAATGATGAGGAACTTTTTGATTCAAGATTGGCCTATATTATTGTTATGTGCGTAAAGTTTATAAAATGTTTAGGAAACATTTGGTCTTTTTGTCTAACACCTGTTAAAGTTTCAAGATTTTTAATTGTTAATTCCTAAAAAATCATAGTTATAGTTAATATCAAGTATTCTATTATAATATGAAAATATGTCATTATTTTATTGATATATTAAAATTTTCTGTGGATTTTATATTTATTTCAATTTCATGAGCATTTACTGTTCAAATAATGCTTTTGGGGAACCTTATAAAAAATTATGGTTTGGCCTTTCACAAAGTTGCATATCCATTCCATGTGACATGTTAATTTGTGAAATAAAATAGAAGATTTTCCGAAAAAAAAATTTTAACTGAATTCTAAAATAGCACGAGACAAAAAAAAAAGAGAAGAAATAGTGAGGTTAGACATTTTTATTGATGTATTTTACGTTGAATTTAAATAGATATTTATTTGATTTATTGTGAAAAAATAACATAACTCTATCACTTTTTGTACCAATAGGAGATCTATTTTTATAAAAGTTAATCGTTTGTGCAGTGCAAAATCCAAAATACCAAAAATGTCCACTACAAACGATGTATCAACATCTCAAGATAAAGAAGAAATTAAGTTTAAACCCAAATCTCGTAAACAACTCAGGCAAAGGATCAAAGAAGACAGTGACGATGAGGAAGACACCAAAGTGATTACAAAATTGTGGGAAATGAAGGAAATCCAGAAACTCCGAGAAAGACCTAACGGAATAAACGCTATCGGTCTAGCACTAGGAGCCAAAGCAACAACCGAAGCAGAATTAAAGGATACTTATAACAAGGATATAGGCGGTTTAGTGAATGCAAAAACCATAGCCAAAGCTAGCCAAGTAGACGACGCTTATGACACAGGAATCGGTACACAATTCTCAGTCGAAACAAACAAAAGAGACGAAGACGAAGAAATGATGAAGTACATAGAAGTAGAACTATCTAAACGAAAAGGCAAAGAAAAACGCAACGAACACAGCCTAGAATCCGAAAAGTACCACACCCCGGAGGAACTTGCCCTTCAATCCGTACCCGAACACCTTCGGGAATCTTCCAAGAAACAATCCGAAGAAATGTTGTCCAATCAAATGTTAAGCGGCATCCCAGAAGTAGATTTGGGAATCGAGGCCAAAATCAAAAACATCGAAGCCACTGAAGAGGCCAAATTGCGATTACTGTGGCAAAATCAACGCCAAAACGACGGCCCATCCCAGTTCGTACCATCTAATATGGCCGTCAATTTCGTACAGCACAACAGATTTAACGTCGGGCGCGAGGAAATACCTGCTAAGAAATCCAAAATCGAAGAAAAACCTAAGAAGAAGGACGAAAAGGCCACCGATGATTATCACTACGAGAAGTTTAAGAAGCAGTTTAAGAGATAATGTTCTTATTTAACCTAATAGGGTTCATTCATGACTGTTATGTTATAGTTATATTCGTCTTTATTACGTTCCTAATAATAATAATTCTGTGTAATAAATGTTACTTGATAAAAGAAATATTCTAAAGGTACATGGAACATATCTAAAGATGAATATAATGAAGCCTTATTTATTTTTTTTACTATAATCATCTTTTCTAGCTTCCTAGTGACTACTAGGATAAAATACTTTATGGAAAAGAATAGATGCATTGTATATACAGTATTTAATTAGAAAAATTCTAAAATAAATTAAGTTTAATTAACTGAACCTTTGGGTCAATTAGCATTGATTTATAATTCTGTGTGTACTGTATGCGAATGTCTAGCGCTCAAATCGGGGGCGTGCAAAAACACCCCTTCGGATGCTTGCCAATGCACCGATCCCGTCGACGACCGGACTCCAATGACCTCCATCTGGCCATTAATAGGCCTTCCGAAAGTTCTACCTGATACTGCTAAGTACATATCCGTGTCGACGTGTTTCAGCATGACGCTGTCGTCCCTATGCCAGCTATCTCCTGCAACAAATTCGTATTAATCATCTTATTATAGTACAAATGTGTACGAGCATACCTGAGCACACGACTGTCCAATTATCACCGGAATCGCCTTCGCCGTTGTCACCGTAACAGCTGATCTCCTGGTTGCCGCTGAGGGGACTCTGGAAATGGTGGGAATGTAAATTTTTCTTGGTTTCAACGTGCTCCATACGAATGCTGGATCCGCATTTAATGGGCTGGCCTCTTTCGATGGTTTTTCCATTCGACGGCTTGATCAGCCAGTGACTGTTGATGTCTTCCTGTAGTTCAGTAGCTGTGACCGATTGCTGACCACTGCCCGTGCCGTACTTCACGTCGTGGGAATGCAGTCTTACTCTGTAGTCCGTATTTAGTAGCTTTAACACAGACCCGCAGGTTACATACTTCTGCGAGGATGCTGCACAAAAGAAATTCAAATGAAATGTACTCGTCAGTTCGATTTAAAAAAGCATGAACTTACCGCATATAATCCTTATATTATAAATTAAACACAAAAGTAATACGCTGAGCAATTCGATTCGTAAGGGTAACATTTTTTCTGCGATTATATAGTCTAATTTATTGTTGAAAAATGTTCATGCTATGTTTCCTATAAATTGTAAAATGTAAAATATCACAATTCACAATCGCTCCTGCAAAACGTCAAATCAAAATAAATTAAGCTCAATGCGCATGCTTGGTTTGATTGCGTGTTGTTTTGTCATTTGCCAAATAAAGGTGGCTAAAATTCGAATAGATTCTAAACGTTGCCAAATCGTCATGCCATTTATTTTTTATTGGCATTACTGATAACTGACATTTGATTGACTTCAAATGTCAAAACATAACCTTACTATCTATCATTTTAGTAAAGATGGATTGCTTTTTAAAATTAAACAAAATAGCACTATCTTTAAGTAATTTACGATTAAATAGTAGTAAATATGTGAGTATAATCCGCAGCACGTCGTACAGACCAATTTGCTTGACTGCAGCAAATCGGGATTTGACGGAATTTTTCGATGACAAAAAGAATTGGGGCGCCCAAGAAGTAAAAAGCGGCAGGTCTTGGACGAAAGACGAATTAAGAATTAAATCCAACGCCGACTTACATAAATTATGGTATGTGACAAGTTCCACATTACTCTTACAATTGTTTCATTACATGTTATTTGCAGGTACATTCTACTAAAAGAAAGAAACATGCTCTTGACCATGGAAGAAGAAAGTAAACAACAAGTTAGGCTGTTTCCCAGTCCTGAGCGATTGGATAAAATAGCAGATTCAATGGAAAATTTAGAATGTGTCGTAAGAGAAAGGAACAGGGCATATCACGAATTAGAAACTGGAGAAACAGGAGAGAGACCGGGTAAATTGACAACAGGCGTGTTTGGCTTAAAGTATTATCAAAGGTAAGTTTCATAAATTCAAGTCAATTATACTTGTTTATGAACATACTCTATATATGTTATGGATAAAGCTAAATAAAACGATTAAACCTAGGTTTACTCGGGTAAACTGTGAAATACCTAAGAAATATGGGTAGAGCAAGTTAGGGTAGGATTTTTGGGTTTCTTGGATTCCCGTTATGCCACGAGAAACTCACCCTACACTGCCCTATTCACATTTTGCTCTTTACCTCGGTAAAGCTAGGTTAAGATGTTTAACTTCACCTGTAACCTATACAAATTTTTATTATAGGATGTGTGAACATGTCATACCAAAATTCATGAATACAAAATGGAACGAGAAACGCAAAGAATACCACTTTGATAAAGACGTTGAACAATTTTTACTTAAATATAGGGAAAAGTTATACTTGCAGAAAAGAAGGAAACAAGCGTAAGTTAATATACATGTCACATATCATTAATGAGGTGTTTTAATTACCGATTTTTGGTTTGCAGTCGTGATTTCAACCACGTTATTGGCTTACTTAATAGATTTCCAAATATGGATATGGAAGTTCTTAAGCAACATTACCCTGATGTGGATATTAAAAAAGCGAAGAATAGTAGAAAATATGGAGGTCACTTTGCACCTAAATAATATCGAGGTAAATTGAATATAAATGTTTTGTAAATAAAATTACAATAAAAATGTAGAATAACGTTTTATTTAAACAAAAAGAAAATACATTTTAATAAGCTATTTCAAAACAATAATTTATTATTTCAAGATTTTTAAGGTAAAAATAATTTTTAATTTTCTTATGTAACAATAAATGTAAACTGTAAATTATAAAGAATGTATGCAGAATTTAATAACAAAAACAATTCTATTTAGCGAACTTTCCAGTCAATTTAGTAGCATTTTAGCTATTCTTTTTTTGTCGCCAATTTCAATTCAGCCGCCAATTATAAGAATACAGTAAAACTATTTTTTTTTGAGTCTAATACAGTACTTATTATTTTGATTAATACTTAATACATGAGTATGAGTTTATGAGTTTATCAGAATACAAAATTTCTTATATTAAAAATAAGCATTTCAGTGTATTATTGTATTATTTAAAATCATAGACAAAAAAGAGTATTATTAAACTTGATCAGTTAACAAAAAGTGTAACTGTTAAATCACAATATTACACTGAAATTCTGGTTTTATTATTTCCTTGCAGCATATTTAAAAAGGCTTATACAATTTTGACAAAGCTATTATTATAGAGATAAATTAGAAAGCAATATAACAATAAAACTACTATTTTCATTCACTTTCCTAAGTATAGCACCATCTTTATACAGCATACAGGATGTCCCAATACATGTTATGTTATGAAAATGCTTTATATTGACTAAAATAATCAACCTAAGCTTTATTTTCTTACATCGGAACATCCTATATAATCAACACCTTGCAAATAACATCTCTTGCCAAATTTTCGGTTTTATTTATCCGTTTCACTCCACTATTTTATTACCTATATTCACAAATTAAAGTTTTAGTGCTTTGTCTACATGTGCCTAAAATAAATGTTTTACAAACTATTTTTCAAAATACACAAAAAACGGTTTTTTCCATCGTTAAAGATAAATAATTAATTGAAAACAATAATATTCATCAGTAGAATTATTTGTTCTATTTGAGCTTATGAATTGTAAAATAGTTAGAACAAAAGGAAGCACAATAACATACAGTTTGTTGCCAGATTAAATTTGATAATATTCAGCAAAAATTTCTTACCTAATGATTATTTTCTTTGTTTTTACTGCAAATTTAATTTTTGAAAAATATAGACTGCAAAACATTTTAAATACCTATTTTATAAGCGCAGTTAATAGCACAATTATATTATTCTAAGACAATATTATATTAATTTTCATACATATCACAATACTTCTTATTATAAGAAAAATGACTAGAAAAATAAAATGAGATGAAACGTAAATACACGGTGTGATTCTTAACTGTTTCTAGAGATATATTTTAATAATAAATACAATAAAAAGAAAAATATATACTGGAAAGTAAATTTGAGAAGTCTAATAGAATCACACCATAACTACAATATGGTTAAAAAATACTGACAATATTCAAAGATACAATTTTACGCCATGAAAACTAAATAAAAAATACTGGTAACAATCCCACTTTAAATAATTCAATGTTAATATTTCTACTCAATCCCGTACTACATTTTATGCCATATTTTGTCAGTATTATATCATATCACCTTGAGGTTCATAAAATTGAAAACAATTTTCAAAACGTTCTACCTTCTACCGATAAACTCGATTATAAATACTACATATTTACAAATAAACAGTGTAACGACACATTTAAGCTTAACACGTTTTAAATAAAATAAAATAAAATTTTATGATTCAAACGTTAAGCAACAATAACAAAAATAATAGCAATTCAACTAATTAGCCTAAAATATCACGATTCGAAAAAAATGAGAACAGTTACTATGTAACGCAGGCAGTAAAATATCTAAGAAGAGCGATAAAATTTTACAGAAATTGTAGCAAAACTGGACTAGAATCAGTCGGCCAATTACCAATAAGAGAAGTGTACACGTCGACGCATTTTTTACTCAATGGATCAGTTTCGGGAATAGTACTGAGAGGAAAACATTCGCCCTATAACAAAATTTACCATTTCACTTTTAAACCCCTATAATTATTATCCCACTTACCCTCTCGTTGTTGTAATGCCAAAGATTTTCCAAAGTAGAAATGAATTTTTCCAATTCCGCGTTTGACGCGAAATACAATATCCAATCGCCGCTGTATTCATGTACTTCCCGGCAAGCAAATTCCTGTGGAAATAAATAATAAAAATAAGTATAACAGACAAAATATGTAGATGTATAGTTTTTCCTAAATCAATTCAACATGGTTTAAAAACATGTATATTTTTGATTCCACGACATGCCGTCATTAAGTCCTAAGTTATCTAATATTTACTTCCGAAATATAGCTGGAAGTGGCAAAAAGTTGAAAATATCGTTGAAAATAGCTGCGTTGAGCATCCTGACAAAGCTACAGCTATACTAAAAACATGAAAGTATTTCAATCAACTATTCACTTGCTTCTACATTCTATCTCAACCATGTTTAAATAAATGTGTGATGAAATAGTTATTGAAAATAAAATGTTTAAGATTGAATCTAAAAAACGAATAAAAACTAATTTCTACCGTCATGGGAACACGATCATGAGATAATTTTGTCCTCAAAAGTCTTGTTTTATTTTACATATTTTTTTAGGAAGTAGGTGTGATAAATTGTCGGTATACGAAATTTTTGCATAGCGTATTTCTCATGATTCTTACCAACAAACACCAGCTTTGTTCGGTTGAAGGTAACCTGAACGCCATTAAATCGACAATCGAGGCACAAGACAAGGCCTGAGCGCTTTTGACAGCATTTTGTTGATCGCAGGAAATCGACGGACCGTTCAAAATAGCAGGAAACGCTTCTCTGACAGTCAGAACGTGTTCGCTGGTGATCATCAAGGAACACGACTGAGTCGGAATTTTTTCTTTGTAACTGTTGTACATCTAAAACAGAGTAAAGGGGATGTAATTTTAGTTATAACCACGGTCGTATATTTCTTAAGTCTGGAAACTGGACGTATTCTCTATTAGTGGCGGTGTCCCGTTAAATGAAGATGTTTTTGAAAGTTCACTTGGGTACCGCACCGTGGGGAACGATCGAATGATCAGCCTAACTCAGCCAATCGGCGACGCGCATTACTAACGCCCAAACTTATATGAATTTATAACATTTGTAGACAAGTAAAATAATTGAGATATAAGTTCCGTAAACAACTATTAGGTTATCTTAGTTGTGGCTGCATCTCCAGCAACCTAACTAGCAACCTAACTAGTTTTAGATACTGCGCACTTTATCTTCGAATAACGTGACACCTATGTTACCAGACCTCTATGTATGACCATGGTTATAATAACGGATCCGGAAATTTGTACTCACTCCGCTAGCAGCGCGTACCAATTCTTGCAACCATTCACTGGCGACGTATTCGTTCGGAGCTGCCAAAAGCAGACTTTTTCCTTCAATGATCAGTTGAAAAGTGTGCGGTCTTGCGCTGTTTACGACTCTTCGGGCGCCCTGACACGCTCCATTTATCAAAGGGAATACCCTCATTGGAACTCTCTGTGACGGCGATGATAACATATACAGTACACCGGCCCTAGAAAAACGATACTTTATTCTAACAAGAGTACTAGAAGATTCTTTTTTTGGGGAATTATTTGCCCAAGAACTGCTTTATGGCACTGCAGTACTGAATTGTCCTGTGTTATTATTTGGAATTAATAGCGTTTAAAAAATAGTATTAGAAGATTCTTTTTTTGCACAATCATTAATCCACGAATCGCTTTAATGCTAACGCAGTAATGACTTATTATTTGGAGTTAAAAGTATTTAAAAAAAATAGTATTACTTCAATATGAAATACGCAGTTTCCCATCTAGACGATTCGGTTTCCGGAGTTTTGAACATAAGAGGACCTTCTTTCTTCGGGCCTAATGGAGTAGATTGCACGTCCAACGTGCAATCCTGAACGTTAACAATACTGTAGTAATAATACTCTTCTTCCTGAAATCATAACTCATAACAATTAGGAGGTTCTTTAATAAATTTGTAGACTTTACCTTATGAACGGAGGTTTGCTTGCAAATTTCCCTCCTCAACATGACCATGTCTCTCATAGACAACTGCTTTACGGCTGGTAACGTCGGTCTTTTCTTATCTTTCCTTATAGCGAATTCTAACTGACCCACCAAATCGCCTGTTAAAACGGAACATCCTGTACTAATCATGCATTGCATGTCTTTATCGTAATTAGAGAAATGTATAGTTTGACTTTGAGGGCCAATCAGTACGGTATCGAGTGATTTATAGGGAAGAACGAAATGATTCTTGTAAGTACCAACGTTCGATTTTGAACTAGTGATGTATAAAGTTGTGTCCGTTAATATGAGTAGAAGCGGTTTTGATTCTCCCGCTGTTGTGTAAGCACTTCTTACGTTATATAACTAAAAAAAGAGTTATGAAATATTTTTGATCGATAGGAGGTTAATATAGTCTCACCCTTTGCAATTTTTCCAATTTATTCGTGAAAATATCCTTCCTAAATTGCGTCAGCACGCGCTTGTCTAACCCGTCCATATAATTAGTTATTTTCTTTCTTCCCGATATAATTTCATTTTCTAGTTCTCTATCAATTTCTTCGCTGGTAGGAACATCCCTAACTCCTTTAATGTAAAGATCGACGTCCCTCCTTGATGTTTTACGATAATTTTGCGCTTTTATGTCCAGCAATTTCTTAACGGTCACATTTTTCAAAAATCTACAAAACATTTTCTTAGTTTAACAATTTTTTTGGTAGAAAAAAAAATTGCATTTATAGCCTATAAGACATTCATTACATAGCTCAGAGCAAAACTACTCACTGGAGAATATCTTTGATATATCCAAGAGAGTAATTTATTAAAAATATGACGCTATGAACCCAGTACAAACGGTTCATTACATCTAATATTACAAATACAGGGTGTCCCACATAAAGTATGTTGTTTAACCCAACTTAAACTTAATACAGACAACTTTTGAATTATTGACGATTTTAAATTACATTGATAGTGTACGTGATTTTTTAGCGTTTTTCATCAAAACTACATAAAATATTAAAAAACAAAAAAATTAAAAAAAATTAATATGAAATTACCTATAAAATGAATTAATAATTTTTCAGCATCATCCCTGATGAATCTTTTAAAATACATCAATTGATCTCTTTTAACTATCAAGTAATGCTCTTAGTACGCTCATAATGTATGCCAAATTTAATTGTTTTAAGTTTGAGTATTACCGAGATATTATTTTTTTTTGTAATTTGTAACTCCTCTTTGAAGGCCTGTAACTCCTCAGGAATGTAAGATTGTATTAAGTTGGGTTAAACAACATATTTTGGGCCCTTCTGCACGCCCCTGCTCTATGTCGGTTCTTATGCGACACACCCTATACATTAGATCTATTTATTTTACCTATTAATCAACGACGTTTTCGAACTGGATTGTCTCATTGTGGGCAACGACTTAGATACCATCAGCTCGTCAAACCTTTCCGACGAGGCTTTGAACGAATTGCATATGGAATAGTGGTTTGATTTATTCACTTTTCTCTTGGGCGAACTCAAATGTTTCGGATTTTGCGGCTCTGCGAGATCCGATAGAGTTTCATTGTCCGACCAATCCATCTTGCTGATGGTGGAGAATGTGTTCAAAACGCCCGTCTCGGATTTGGCTTCGGCAATTTCGGGCTCATCGACGTTTTCGATATCCTCAGAATCCTCAGACTTCGTCGGAGTGGTTTGTATGATTTCGAAATCCTCTTCCGGATCGGTTTGTTCTTCTCTGGCCTTCCTCCTGAAGAAGTTCAGTTCTTTGAGGATCATTTGGTAGACGGTGGAGCTTTTTGGTTTTTGTTGTTCGAACGATTTCTGGAACTTGTCGTATTCGTACGAGTAACTGATGCCTTAAAATAAAAATAAACTCTTTAGGCGTGAATATGCAGAAGGGTGACATCCTTACCTTTGTGTTCGTATACGTTACTGTCACATAATATAATATTTCCTGGCAAATTTTGTTCTACAGGGTAACTCGGATAAAATCCCTCGTTTCTGGTTAGCTTTAAATTATTCTTAGCCTGGTTAAGTTTATTTACGGCAGGCGTTGGGATTTCAATCGTTTCGAAGCATCTGAGTTTCAAATCACCGAAAGGTCGTCTGATGGGTTCTCGGGAAGATGCATACACGGTGAGATCTTCCTGACCTAAAAATCATCCTTTAAATTAAAAAAGATTCAGCAGAATAGAGCTATTTAATCACCTTCAGAAACGCCTCTCTCAGCTAAAGGCACCGACGTGGAGAAATTCAAGATATTCTTTAAACTGCCAAATATATTCGTATCCAACAGATTGCTATCGGACTTTCTCTTTTTTATTCCGATGTCTTCCTCGACAATGTTCGTGTCGATGTACTTTTTAGTGTGCTTGGTCTTCTTCAAGCAGCTCGATTTCGGTTTGGACTTGAAGCTCGGTTCTTTCTTGACGAAAGTTTCATCGGAATCTTCTTCGTCTATGGAACTCGAGCTGCCAGTTGAGCTCGACGAGGTGGATGAGTGTTTGTTGCGATTAACGTATATGTCCGATTTCACCTCGCGTTCTTTGGGTTTTTCATAATAGGGAGCGTCTCCTTCGGCTGCCCAGCTGTATCGACCTGTTACACACAAGATTATTAAAACATCATTTAGATATGAATACAATTCTTTTACCTTTGACTACATCAGGCTTTCTTATGAAACCCCGTTGAAAGAAACTAAGCGATACCTCGGGTTCGTGGGTAATAAACCCGTGGTTTATATGAATATCATCTATTTTAGTGCTGTTGAGGATGTCCTCGTGGAATGAGACCCTCTTCTTGGGTGTGTCAGATTTAGATTTCTTCTTTCTTTGTCGTCGAAACACGATTTGTTCCTCGCATTGTTTGGCGTTCACAGGAATTTCTTCAGAAACCGCTTGAACGGGTGGAACAGGTTCCGGTTGATTCAGTGAGAGCCTCAAATTTTCATTAACCTCTTCCGAAAGGCTGACGTGCATATCATTATTTTCAACCAACAAACTTTTATTCTGAAGAGTATAGTCGAGTAATTCGTAGCTGGTTAAGGATACGTTCATAATATCAGTATTCTCTGCGGTTTTTATAGGATGCTCCATCTCAAATACATCGTCGCTTAAACTTTTGTGCTGTAACATAGGCGATGAAGACGTTACTTCGTATTTCATGCTGTCGAAGTAGTTGGGTACGGATGCAGAGAGTTTCTTGTATTCTTCGCTTATATTCTGATTGATAATATCGCTTTTTGTCATGGATTTAACTTCTTCGATAAGTGGCTTCTTGACATCGCATTTTTCCTCGAAAATTCTTAATACTTCGTCGGTTTCGTCGAACTTTTCACTGTAAATTTCACTGGTGAAGCCACTTACTGACATTACTGATGTTAGTTCGCTTTCACTGTCCATTTGCACACCCGAATCTACGGGTGAAGATAAGCTCGAAACTGTACTGGACGTCATTAGGGTCTCCAGATTATCCAGAGGTTTTTTCGGAAAACCTTCCGACATTGGTTTAGGATTTACGTCTTGGATTTGCAACTCCATTCTATAAAAAAGAATAAAAATGCGCATATTGGTAATATTACTTTGCTGAGCTACTTACTTACTTTTATTTGCTAGTTTATTTTCACATCTGATTCAATTCCCTTAAATACTACGAAAATAAGATTCGAAGTAGGTTTAGAGTATATTTGGACATGAAGAAAATGAATCAATTTGAGCCTTTGAGCATGCGTTTTGTTTGTTGTGCATTGTTCATCGATTTTATTTATTCAAATATGAAATGTCAGAGATTTCAGACATTTTTCTTCTTCTTTTCGGCGGATTGCGAAAAAGAAGATTATGGTCCTTATCTAATGTAGTATACAGTATGTAGGCACTTTCGGCTACATGATAAATTGATGATTTTTAAAAATAAAGAAGAAGGTAAACATGAAAAACACAAACTAATCAATAGATTATAAATTATGGCGGTTTGAATTTTGCGAATGGATTATCATTTAAAATGTGAATTATGCGGAGAAAAAGTGCAAGTAGATTCTAAATCGACGAGCCCTTTGGGAGCACATTTGTTAGTCCGTCACCCTGACGTCGATTTAACCTATTTTTCTAGTTTCGAGGATTTAACAGTCAGAAGGAACCACGTTTGCGTAAATAAATTTAAGGATTTTGTCGAAGGTGAGATTTCTACTTGATATACATTTGAATTTTCAGTTAAATTCCCTACAAATGTATATCGAGTGTTTATAATATATAATATATGTTTGATATATGGAATTGATAATATTGTAAACAAATTTGTACTTATACCCATATAAAGCATCTAACAAAATTACATAAAACCATTAAAATAACAATAATGTTTATTTGCAGCAAATAATAAAACGACTCTAAGGAAAAATGTTATTTCCACCACTAGTAAGTACAGCTATAAATTCCATTGTTTTACTGCTCTTTGGGAAAGATTTTTTAAGGAATATTTGGGTTTTTTGTAGTTGAGAGTTGGGAAATAAGCACATGTAAATTTTTGTGTCCCAAATGTGGAATAAAAGATAGGCCGGAGATTCGAGTACGAACGACAAACGTAAGAAGTTAACAGTAGGTTTTAATTGTATTTTAGAGTAATTTTTTATATTTTTAGATCGTAGATGCACCATTCAATAGATTACTCCTTTTGGCGTGTTGGCCTTTATGCTTTTGGCCTATGTCCAATACAGCAAACAGCGAAAAGAGATTGTTTTGCCGATCCTGTGGTAATGATTTAGGCAATTTCGATCGCCTAAAATGTACTTGTAAATGTATATCTTAACTACCCACACAGCAAATTTACGACTCTAGGATATATCAGGGACGTCAATAATGAGACATAGTATATCTCTGAGATCTTCAGAAATATTTTTGAGATATAATCGGGATATCTTTGAGATATCTTTATGTCCGCCTTGTAAACATCTCAAAGACGTGTTATTGAGATATCTCAGAACCGTTTAAAAATATCTCAAAGATATCTCGCAGCTTATATACTTAGTGCATCTGAGATATTATTTTAAATATTATTGAGACATAACCAGAATACTAAGAAAGTACTTTATTTTTTCAAATCTTATTAAATTACATCATTCTGTTCTTGCTCGCTCTTGTTTTTCTCTTTCCCGGTCCTTCCTTAATGTTGCCAGTCTTAGCCAGTTCTTTATAACTTCCGATATTTCATAGTCTGAAGTTAGTTCTTTACCTTTTTGACTGCGAATTGAATCTGAAAAATAAAATTCAAGTATTAGAAAAACATTTTACAGTGAAATTGTGAATGAAAACTCGATGTAACGAAAATTGTATTCTATTATTTTTTTCTTAAACAACTTTTGTTTCACTTGAGTAACTACCTTTTATAATTTTGACCAGCTCTAATTCACAAAACATATTCTTCTTCTTTGCTCCAACCCAACTGTAACATGCCGCACAAGAATTTGTTAAGAAAGCTCGAAGAATATTTACAATTGAAGTTTTTGTATCCTTCCCCAACAGAAGACGACTTCGTTGAAACTAAAATGAATATATAAATCATTATAAAATCTTTAGATAAGTAATTTTTATACTTACAACATATTTTCGTAAATTATCATTAGTTTTTAACATGTTGTTGATACGTTCCATTTCTTCAATGGTGTTTACAGGGAACACACTTTCAAAAATTTCTCTGCACGGATCATCATTTGGTAAATCTTTTTCCCTTTCAACAACTCCTAGTTCGAGCGAATTCAACCTATCCAATATTTCCTGTTGCATCAGGGACACTGCCACTACTTTTCTCTGGACGTTTTGTAATAATTTCATGCAGTCCTCCTGGAAGGCTAAAAATTACACAAAAATTGATTTATGTAAATACTCTTATTTACAAATTTACTTACTTATTGTTAGTTGGGAGGGAACTTCCATTCGTGTATCTTTTGCAGGCGTACAATTAACTAAAATAATTGATCCATTTGAAATTAAGTTTTCTATTAAAACGTAGTTAAGAAAAGTACAGTACTCAAAAAGTACGAAAAGCACTCACCTGTTTTGTCAGTTGGAAACGTTGGATATGCAGTATCTTCATCTTCATCGTCTGATAAAGAATATCTTGTTTCGCGATGTTTTATTTGCCTTTTTTGTACAATTGTTGTATCCATTTCATCTTCGGAGCTGGATAATTTTTTTGTCGCCTTGTACTTTCTTTTTTTCTTTTCTTCTTCTGGATCTGTTGTACAAATGTCACTCTCATCTTCAGCTTCTTTCACTTTTTTTAATCCATACTCATAATTATCTGGAAATATATAACATTTTAGAATAAATATAGTCTAACATCTTTAGGGAAAGTAATCATTTTCTCACCTGTAGAATATAAAATTCTTAAAATTTGACATTTTTGCCAATCTATGCCAGGTTTTATTGAATTTTTAACGGCAGCGTTGTATTTAGCTGTAGTTTTAAAATTCGGCCAGAAAGCTTCATTGTCGCTGTTGATCCAAAGTCTTGGAATAAGTTGCAGGCCATCATCAAACTCAACTACGCAGTACTTCTTATTCATTTTGAACTCTAAGTGTTTAAAATGGAACAAAATTATTATTTTCTATTGTTGCCATAATTTAAAAAAATACTTACCTCACTATGGAGTAAGGGAATAACAACAAATGTATTAGCTTCAAAGGGCAATTTCATATATTTGCACCTAACTTCAGTTAACGGCCAAGTTTTGAGCGCGGATAAGTGTGAAACTACATAAATATCAAGTTTAGATGAATCACAGGGTTTGTGAAATAAATTTTCTTTCTTTACGAATTCTCTACCTATTAGTAACATAGACTGTGCTTCAAACGAATAGGCAATGTTTTCTAACACTACAATATTGCCATTTTTGCCCAAAAAACAATTATCAGAAACAGAAAAAGCTTTTAATATGAATTGATCATTTTGTATTGAATGATATTGAGGATTTGAACATCCTTCAATGAGGGGACCACGAGTATGCAATGTTTTATCAACCATGAAAAATTTTAGATTTTTGTTTTTTGGCAAAAGCTTCCATGTTTGTGTACCTAAGGCTTCTATTTCAGTAGTTCTAAAAAATAATTGTTGAAGTGGTCTTTCAGATTTTCTCAGTAATTTCTTTATCGATGACATATAGTTTTCAAATTTGAAAGCGCTGAAATTATCCAATACTCCAAATTGTTTTACATCTTCAGCAAGATGTAACAGGTTATGAACATTATGGGAAACATTGTATTTTTTGTAAATTTTTTCATATGTCGAAACAAAGATGTGCAGTAATTTATTAGCATATTCAATGGTTTCACATTCATTTTGAATACAAAGCATTCTAATTGCAACATGTAGTGTAAGAAAATTTTCATAAACTTTTCTTCTTAAAATGCCGGAAAAACAAATTGGCCCTATATAAAGCAGTAACATTCGAAACTCTGTTGCTTTAAATAATTTTAAGTAATCCAATGAACGGGGTCTTCTAACAAATTCTTTGGGTATATAATGCTTTAAGCTTGTAATTCTTTGTGATATAGATTTAATTTTAGAACTGGGTAATCTGACAGATAAATCACCCCCGGTCCATAGGAGCAGAAGTCTTTTAGTTATACCAAGACATAAAAGGTGCATATAATCCAGTGGAACTCCTTTTACTAAGTCAAAATTAGGAATTTGTTTTAAAATTGTTTCACGAATATGGTATTCTTCGTCACTTTGGGCTCTAAAGCTTTCATCTGTTCTTTTACCACATGTACTGCCAGGAAAACAAACTCGGTTATTTAAAAAATCACCATTTATCAAACATTTTGTGCAGCTTGAATAGCCAGAATGCCCTTTAACGCCTAATACAAAAGACTTTGCTGGTGCATCACATACTATACCTTTTAGAATAAAAGGAATTATTTTATTATTTATGCATAAACCATTATTTATTAAATCTGTACAATCTTCGACAAAATTTGATAAAAATTCATTGACATCTTGTGGTTTTTGAGGACCAAAATAAACACCTATTATAAAAACATTTGAAAACCCTGAAATATTTCCTAATATTGGCCATAAAGAATTGGTAGACGATTTACCAATAGGCAAACCGTCGATATTTATCAATAATTCAACTATTTCAATGTTTTCATTTATCATTATTTGTAAAATTCTTTTCAAGCCAAAATGAACATATTCTCCTGGACATACAGTTTTAAGCACACACGTTTTTGCTGTATGAAGTAGTGTTCTACTATCCAGTGGAAGGTTAGAAAAACAATTGTGATTATGTAAAATATTCAATAAACTATTAAGTGAAACATGAGAAATATTATGTGAGATTGCCCAGTTAGCTAAACTAGATCTTATATTTTCAGCTTCTAACCTGAAATCTGTAGTAATACTGGAGTTGGTCATCACAATATTATGATCACAATTTTCTGAAGGTTCTGAAGATTCACTTAGTGTTAATAAACTGGGCTTAGGAGGAGAAAAATGTGTCACTTCGATACTTTCTTGAGAATTACATTCATCATCACTTGATTCAATAAAATTATTAACAGGAACAGGTTTCTGTGTTTCAAAGTTATTAACTTCTTGAAAAGTGTTGGTTATTTGTTTTTCAGGCTTATTCTTATTAACTTCAATTAAATTTCTTTGGACAAGGCGCCGCAAATGCCTCTTACTTACTGTACTAACTGATTTAGATTTAGGCATGTTTAATTCATAAAGAAAGGAATAAATAATAAATATAAAATAAAGGAAATTAATAATCCAACTATTAAGTATTAAATTTAAAAGATGCTTACTCAAAAAAAACCGTGTAACCGAAAGACATTGCACATTGCAAACCAAAAAGTGAGGTTAGTTGATCGTTTTCGCTCTAATTCTTTATTTTAACGATTGTGACATTTTCGATTGTTAATCATTCGATTCGATAAGTGACAGAATTCGATTTTAGTACGTTTAAATTATAAAAAGAATGCCTAAAATCAACTTTACATTAGGATTTTTGTCATATTTGCTTTTATTATTTGTTCTAGAGAATACTCTGTTATTATACAAGTATTAATTATTTCGAATCTACATATTACCGATTTAATTCTTATAATCGATTAATCGATATAATTTTGGTACCGCGGAAAGCAGGGAAACAAAAACAAAATGCAGGCATCTGCATTTATGTCTTTTTCTAAACTGACCAATCAGAAAACTATTCGCAATTCGCAATTCGTAATTCGCAAGTATATGGAATGCCCTTTAAGCAATGATATATACAGCACCGTAAAGTGTTATAAGAACCAAGAACCAATCAGAACGTGCCACGTTGGCTGTGGGCTCGTGTACAATAGCTAAATAGTACAATAGCTTAGCAGATCATCCCAAAAAATTAAGAAAAAAAATATGTGAAAATATTACCATCAAGCAATTGATAAAGCTGTAACTATCTCAGATACATCTCAGACATATCACTATTCACCAATATATATGTTACCAAGCTTTCAATTTTTTTAAATGTCTCGGAGACATTTCAGAAATTTCTGAGATATTGTGATCAATATGTGATCTGATTGAGATGGTACTGAGAGATTTGATGCTGTGTGGGTATCTTAATCCTAAAATATATCATTATATGTATATAAGTTTTTATTGACGAGTGGTCATTGAAATTGTGATCAAGTAAATGAGCTGCACATCCTATTAGAATGGAGGCTACTCTCAGAAGCAGAATTATATTAAAATTTGACAGAGTAAACAACTATGACATTTGACATTTAAGCATTGATGCTGATGCTTGGAAGAATTTATTTACGATTTTCATTAGTTTATAAACATTTTAACAATATTTTCAATAATTCAAAGTGTTTTGTGTTGAGTTTTTAATGTTAAAATTCTAGAACAATATGACGGAAGAACGTTTGCATATCGTAAGTAACTATAAGTAGCTTAGTTTTCATTTGCCTATACACTATTTTTGTAGGACTGGGGCAATGAAAAACTACACAGGACTCAGAAACAGGTGGAGAGGAATCCCTATGATTTGGAATCTTGGTCAATTTTATTGAGGGAAGCACAATCAAAGCATATATCCGAAGTTAGAGCACTATACGAGCATTTAATAATAATATTCCCAAGCGCTTCTAGATACTGGAGGATATACATTGAACATGAGGTTAATTTAGTTTCTCATTAAATAAGCCGGTTATTTAAATCTGAATATATCAAAGGCACTTATTCACGTAAACTCGATCAGCCAATTCAGCGACATGTAGACTATTACTTTCTTATTTTTTATTTTTTTTGTTCAGGTTTAAAAACCTGGCATACAGGGTGTTTATAAAATAGACGGAGTTATTTTAGAGGATGATTCCTTGTTAAAAAATATAAAAAAAGTTTTTATACACATGGGTCCAGAAATGCAGTTTTCAAAACACAGGATGGTAAAACAAAAAAGTATTAATATCTTTAAAAATTCTTATTATTAAATACCTGATTCTCTTGAAATTTGGCAGTTGTTTGTCGTATAAGGGGCTACTTTAGCTCTGACTAGATTAAAATTATTAAGTCCAGTGGCATCCCTGGGGGCACCTTAGCGAATATTATTGGCAAAAAAATGTACGTCACTGTCTTTTTGTAACCCTTTTGTAGGTTTGTAACGTTAATATTTTTTGTTTTATTAAGCATCTAAAAATACAACTTCTTTGCCTTCTAGTTTTATTCATATCTCAATTTGTTTTTGGAAAAAAAATAAAAACCGGTTTATTGCTTATAACTGGACAAAATTGGTTTATCAAATTTTTGCTAAAAAAATCACAAGGACTAGACTTAATAATTTTAATCTATTTAGGGCTAGGGCTAATTTAGTCCTACATGTATGTAATACATGTAAATATTTTTTAAGATGTTAATAATTTTTTTTAAATTTAATATCCTGTATCTCGAAAACTGTGCATTTCCGGACCCATGTTAATAAAAACCTTTTAGCATTTTTTAACAATGAATCTCTAAAGGAACCGTCTAAAATATCTCCGCCTATTTTATGAACGCTGTATAATTATCAATTATAAATATATTTTATGTAGTAAATATTTTCTTATTTTTCAGATGAAAGCTCGTAATTTTGAACGTGTAGAGAAGGTATGGTTAACTTCAATAGACTTACATGTTTTGAACGAATTTAAGAAAAATTCAATAAAACCAAATTGTTTTCGAATCAATCTAATTCTTTATACTCTGCAAATTTTGACTGTGTTCAGAAGTCGGGAGGAAAATTTTTGATTTTTATTGCTAAACTTGCAATATCTAGGAATATCAATGATACATATGAAAAATATTCAAAGTTGTGTTTTATTAAAATTGAAAGATTTTCTTCTGACTTGGTTTTTCCCTATATTTTTTTGCCAAATTTTGAATTGATATCCGTTAATGTTTACTGATTATTTAATATTAGTTAAGATGAAGTCACAAATTTTTTTAATCAAAATTTGTACATAAATTATAAAGAAATTATTAAATAGCATTTACTACATTTGACGACATTCTTAACTAATTATATCGATACATAAAAAACATTTGGTAAAGATGAATCGAGCATTTCCTGTTGTTTTTCTGTTCCCGTTCCTCTAATCTAAATCAATATAGGTAGCACCTGAAATAAACTATATAAATAGAGTTTGTGGTTTTCTTTTTAACAAAATGCGTAAATTTATCTTTATCCAATGTTTATCGAAAAACAGTAACGTTTGGCGCTTTCACTCTAACTATCTTTCGACAGCTGTTTCAAAGATGCTTGATGAAGATTTTAAATATTGAATTGTGGAAGCTGTATCTGAATTATGTCAAGGAAACGAAGGCTTCACTTCCCACATATAAGTAAGTGTGTTATTTTATTTTATAGAATATCTTCAAAGCATATAGATCTTTGCATTGTATACACTATGACTATTTAAAAACTTACAATGGCTATATCTCCCAAAGGAAACATAATATCAAAAATGTCTAAAACCATTTTTAGGATATGAAGGTGGAACTAAAATAACATAAAAAGAAATTCACCCACATTAACCCCCTGGGCCCCTCGTTACACGTACCTCAACTAGAAATTTATATAGCAACCCCCACTGTTATACACCGTTGGAAAGCCTAAAAAAATGCTATCCAATGGTATAAATAATAATTGTACAGGGTGAATCGATAATTGTGAAACCATGCCTTAAAAGCAAAATTTAATGAAGTTTGAAAACACTATCGAAGCGTTAATTGTGCAGGAATTGGAGAACCAAAGGGACAAAAAAGTAATCTAGTTCTAGACGAAGATTTTATGCACTTCCAAGATGGAGCACCTCCTCACTATGCATCTGCAGTTAGGCACTGGTTGGATACTAATTATCCAAACAAATAGATTGGAAGGAGAGGTCCTATTGAGTGGCCACTGATATCACCAGACTTATCACCTATTTTTTTCTATGAGGTTACCTCAAGTCAATAAATTTTGCTTTTAAGGCAAGATTTCGCATTGGGTAGTTGGAAGTGCTCAAATATTCGTCTAGAGCTAGATTGCCTTGGTCGTCCCTTTAGTTCTCTAATTCATGCACAATTAAAGGTTCGATAGTGTTATCAAACTTCAATAAATTTTGCTTTCAAGGCAAGATTTCACAAATATTTTTTTCCCTGTACAAGTATTATTTATACCAATGGTTAGCATTTTTATAGGCTTTTCAATGATGCATCACAAGTTGGAGGTTGCTATTTAAATTTCTACAGTTGGGGTACGTGGGTATAGGGGTTGATGGGGGTGAATGTCATTTTAGTTCCGCCTTCATATCCTAGAAACGGTTTTAGGCATTTTTTGATATCATCTTTCGTTTGGAAGATATAGCCATTTTAAGTTTTTAAATTGTCGTACTGTACATCTTTGCATTGTATATAAACAATTTCGATTTCAACATATTAGTCCTTATTTATAAAAATGAAGCATTTACTTTGAAGTAAAAGGTAGAGGCAAAAGATAAGAGAAAAAGGTTTTAAAACCATAAAGCCTTTTGCTTTAAAGCAACAGCAGGGTCCTCGAAACAAAACCTCTGTTCCTTCTCTTCTTTTTACGCATATACCGTGAAGCAATTCCTTCATTTTTTCAAGCAAAAGGTTATGCTTCTTTTTATAAATACGGCCTATATTATGTGCATAAATAATTTACCAAAAAATGTACGTTTTTCAGAGAGAAAATGGCCCAAGCGTACGACTTCGCCTTAGACCGCATAGGCATGGACATCCACTCTTATTCCATATGGAACGATTACGTTAATTTTCTAAAGGGCGTCGAGGCTGTAGGATCATACGCCGAAAATCAAAAGATCTCTGCTGTTAGAAAGGTATACCAGCGCGGCATCATCACCCCCATGACGGGCATGGAGACCTTCTGGAAGGACTACATAGCTTTCGAACAGGTAGGATACAATTCTTGATTGTTTCTTTGTCGACTCCCACTTGAATTCCGTTTTTTTAGAACATCAATGCCATAATCGCTGAGAAAATGAGCATCGAACGAAGTAGAGATTACATGAACGCCAGGAGGGTAGCCAAAGAACTGGAAGTACAAATTAGAGGTATTAATCGAAACGCTCCTAGTATTCCACCTAGTGGAACGCCAGAAGAAAGAAAACAAGTACGTATATACATCACTAGTTCTGTAGTATATGCTTTGTATAGTATTCAAAATTAATGCCATATACTTCTTATAATTGCCTTAAAGAAGATGACTTATACATAATGTTATTTAGGTAGAATTATGGCAGAAATATATCGCGTGGGAGAAGAGCAATCCGCTAAGAACTGAAGATACGGCCCTGCTCACGAAGCGCGTAGTATTCGCTTTGGAACAATGTTTGCTCTGTTTGGGTCATCACCCCGATATTTGGTACCAAGCCGCGCAATTTTTGGAATACAGTTGCAAAATTCTAGCCGAAAAAGGGGTAACGAATAAAATAAATTAAAACAAATCCTCCATATAAACGTATTTATTATTGTTGTAGGACGTAAACGCGTCGAAATTATTCAGCGAAGAAGCGGCAAATATGTTCGAAAGAGCCACCAGCTCTTTGTTGAGCAAAAATATGCTGTTGTATTTCGCGTACGCTGATTACGAAGAAGGTAGATTGAAGTACGATAAAGTTCATCAGATTTACGATAAATATTTGGACATTGCGGATATTGATCCTACGTTGGTAAGACGTTTATTTCTAGGCATATACAGGGTGTTAATAATAAATCGAGTGCCGATACTTCAGGATTTGAATATTTGGATGATTTTAAGAAAAAAAGTTAATATCAATATATGTCCTAAACCTCTTAGTTTTCGAGCTAAAGGGTGTTACAATTTTAGAAAAAAATTACTTTTCTATCATCATTTTCTTATTACTTCAGATATTTTTATGAAATTTCGGACGTGGGCGTCACTGGTAATAGTAGAAAATCAATTTTTGTCCAAAAAAAAATGTTTCAATGTCCAAAAAAGCAGTCTCAATGAACTTTTGGTTTTTATTTTTTGACGCGAAATTGGTGCTTCGTACGAAAGTAATTCTTCGGACCGAATTTCCTCCAAAATAAATGATGATTTTGAAAATAATTTTGGTTTTTAGAAAAAGCAGTGGCGTACCATTTTTTCTTTAAACATATGCAGTTCAAACCTCGTACGGATGTCACTGGTGACAATTTTAAAAAATCTTTTGCCTCAAAACATGCTCCTTAATAATTAAAAAGTGCGTACCAAATTTCATAAAAATATCTGAAGTACCTAATAAAAAAAATATGATACAAAAGTTATTTTTTTTACCTAAAACTGTAACACCCAGTAGCTTGAAAACTAAGAGATTTAGGACACACATTGATATAAACTTTTCTTCTTAAAATCATCCAAATATTCACATCCTGAAGTTTCGGCACTCAATTAATTAACACCCTGTATGTATTCTCTTTATTAATATATTTATTTGTACGCAGGCTTATATCCAATACATGAAATTCGCGAGGCGCGCCGAGGGCATAAAATCCGCCAGGGCGGTATTCAAGCGGGCCAGAGAAGACCCTCGATCGACCTACCACTTGTTCGTCTGCGCCGCTCTCATGGAGTATTATTGCAGTAAGGACAAGAACATCGCTTTCAGGATATTCGAGCTGGGCCTGAAGAAATTCGGCGCCGTTCCGGAGTATATTACATGCTACATCGACTACTTGTCGCACTTGAACGAAGACAATAACACCAGGGTGTTGTTCGAACGCGTTCTTTCATCGGGCAGCTTGGAACCCGAGAAATCTGTGTAAGTTAACGAAATTATTTAAGGGGTGCTTATGTGTATACGATATTTTTTATTAATTTTAGTGATATTTGGAATCGATTTTTGGAGTTCGAATGCAACATCGGGGATTTACAGTCGATAGTGAAGGTCGAAAAGAGGCGATCCGAAGTTTTGTCCAAAATTAAAGAGTTTGAAGGCAAGGAGACTGCTCAATTAGTCGACAGATATAGATTTTTGGATCTTTTTCCTTGTACGCCGCAAGAACTGAAGAGTATCGGGTAAATGTTACAAATAATACATTAAAAAGTGTGTATTTTTGATATTGACCTGTTGCTTAGGTACACTGAAGTTATAAACGTTACTGGAGCGGCAAAAAACCACATTTTGCAATCTATAATAGAATCAGAACCGGATTTACCCCTGCCTATTCCAGATTATTCACAAATGATTCCATACAAGCCTAAGGCTAATCCGTTGCCTGGAGAACATCCTGTTCCAGGTAATAACATAATACTACAACTCAAATGACTTTGATATAAATGTATATAATTGTATTGTAGGAGGTTCGTTCCCACCGCCTCCAGCCGCTGCACACTTGTGTACCCTCTTACCGCCTCCCAATTGCTTCCGAGGACCTTTTGTGCACGTGGACATTCTCATGGACATTTTCAACAGGATACATCTTCCAGAAAAGTGTAAGTATTAGCGTGTAAATATTCGAGGGTCGTTGTTTTATTTGATATGATTTCAGTTCCTACTCAGTCATCGGAAATTGGGGATGTTCGTTTGTTCGATTTGGCGAAATCGGTGCATTGGATAATCGAAGAAGGCGGCGGTATAGGATTGAAGAAAAGAAGAAGACTGGGAGCTGGTATGGATGGGTCCGATGACGAGGACATGCCTTTACCTCCATCTAATGATATATATCGCCAAAGGCAGCAGAAGAGAGTTAAATAATTCATTACGCGCGTTGTTTTTTTCATATTTTTTAATACATTTATTTAGCTGTGATGGAGAAATTTGTTTTTACCTTGTGGAAATATGATATGAGTAAGTCAACGTTATAATTGTTTCCTTTGGAATAAAGTTCTGTAGAGTGAAGTTTTTGTACTTTGATAATATTTATTAGTAATAGAAACAATAACGAAATGAGAATAGTTATTATTTCCATTGCTCAATATTGAATTGTCTAGGGAAAGTTTTAAACCGCAACAAAATTCTGAGTAAAACAAAATAAAATATAAAAAATATAATTTAAGATATTAAACTAACAACCCGTATAAAAACTGCTAGTAGTTTATCATAGTTTGTTGGAATAATAAATTATTCTTTGAGCTCTTTTTGTTTGAAATGCTCTTGCACAGGCGCTTCGATGTTTTTATCTAAAAAATAAATAGAAAATAAATAAAAAATTAAAATCTCCATTTTCTCAGAAAATTTATCTTACCTTTTGGTTTTTGGGTGGGTCGTTTGAAAATCAGCCGTTCTATTGTGATCATTGGCGATTCAAATGCCAAAGTCCATATAACGGAAACAACGAAAGTTATTATGAAATAACCACACCAATCTATGAACTGAAAATGATCAGAATTATCAAATGTTTACTGTAGAATTTTTCATAAAATCCTAATTTTCAATACTTACTCCCATGTAATCCTGGAACCAAATTCTGGTTCTCGATATCATTAAGTGATGGTCAATGACTAAAGCGTGAGTTAAATACATACAGTAGGATAATTTCGATGTGACTTGAAAAATACGTCTTGTCAGTATCCAATTTATGATACCTACAAAATTAACGCATAGTTATTAAGTGCATCTACTAGAGATGTTTTCAAATTTCTGGGAATTGTGCTCTAAATTATGCAGAACTTATAATCAATGTTGCACTGGATAGTCGCATAAACATGTCGAGACTTGACTGTCACCAACAAAATTGCATACAGGGTGGCCCATTGAAAAGGAAACTGGTGTTTTCGGGTAGAAAAAATTGATTTTTGGAAAATCGGTAATACACACCATTTTTTATATCGAGGAGGATATCTTTAGACGTATAAACTATAATCAAATTATTTCACCCCTTTGTCCAGTAACCCCAACCTTTAAAAACCGAATGGGTCCTGTAATACGTCATCAGAAAGATTATTTTGTTCTGAATACAGGGTGTCTCATAAGTTGATATTTTTTTAACTGCATATAGATCTTTTAATTATAAGCAACTTTTTCAAGTAAATTTTCTTAATATTCTGGAAAATAAAAAAGATGGAAATTTCTAAAATTTCTTTAAATTTCGAATATTTTCCAATACGTACCTGCCATTACCATACATGTCTAAAAAAATAATAAATAATTAATGAACATCAATCAAACTGGCGACAATTTTGAGCACTTTTATTGAGCAGGGCCGTATTAACTAACTTTTTAATAATTAAAAATTGAAAAAAACCTGGCCATCTTATTTTCCAGAATATTAAAAAATTTTACACATCTAAAGTTTTCATATATAAGTGGTAGACTGTATAATAGTAATATGGACAATAAATCGGGATTTATGTTAACTTCCATGTCTGGTAACTTATCAACGCAGTCGAAAATTTATTTAGGTGTTTTCTACTATCACCATTTTCTTTCATTTTCTATTAAGTCAATTGATTCAACAATGCAGTTGAAACTAATCGATAGTATTTGGTTTTTCTTAAGTACATTCACATATTGCCAATAATTAATCATTCTTAATGAGTAGCGCTTCCATCTGCATTCGCCACGTATTATAATTTTCTTTTCCCAAACTATCAAATCGAACAACGTTTACGGAATTCATCATTATGATTTAACCTGTTAAGAATATACGGGACCGAATAGGCTTGGGATTTTAATGAATAATGGGATATTAAATAAATAATTGGATATTTAGTGAATAATGAAAAATATGTCATATAATGACTTTCAATTATAAACAACTTATTACCACTATAGTAGCATTATCAAATTCTATCATCTAATCTAACACTTTTAAAGATAAAAAAATATTTCAAAAACAAATCGACGGATTTTATTATTTTTTTTGTTATTTTCAGAAAAAAGTAAGTAACCTTTCTATTAACGATGTATTACACGACTGATATTCCCTATTCAATTTTTGAGAGAAGAGGTTACTGTTCAACTGCAAAGGGGCGAATTATTATGATAGTTTTTACGTCAAAAGATCTCCCCCTGGATATAAAAATTGACGTGTCTTACACCCTATGTAATTTCTGCCTACCTTTATTGATAGAGCACTGTTCCCAGAACTTTGGAAACATTACTATCGTACTTGGGAGAATACAACAAAAGGTCGATGTTTATCGATTATTTTACCTCCATATCCGTGATAGCACGAGTATATCATCCAACTAATACAGCAGCACCATACAGGCCTAACTAAGCTATGTGCAATCACAACGTTGTGGTAACTATATCCATTGTTGCTTATTTCTTGATTTATCAAGGCGCAAGCGAGTAATAAAAACAAAACCACAATCCAAGTCAAAAGGTTTACCAACTACAATTTACCACTGTGTAGAATAGAAATATGTTAAAAAGTCTGTACCTACCGAAGAATGTCTAATTTTCTCGAATAAACTAGGTTGGTCTTTCGTTTCTTGCATGTAAATTCCCATGGTGATGCCTATGGTGTAAGACATCATTCTAGCATGAGTAGCATAATCGCTGCAAAGGAACAGAATAATAAACTACTGATTCTATCATGTAATTGTTGCGCAGGTCACGTCTGTAGCTTTACCTCTCGCACTATACCTACTTACTTTTCGTAATCGTTGAAAGCGTATACGATAATTATGGGTAGAACCACGAAGAAAACATTCAAAGCAGTCATGCCGACTAAGATTTGCTTTAATTTTTTAGTTTTCCTCAACACAACGGAGATCGGTATCAAGATGAGTGGGCAAACTAGGAACATTTGCATGTCCGCCGACAAATACCACGTATGAAGCAAGCACTGTAAATGTATAGTTGGTTAATTTGAACTTAAAAAATAAACGTTCCTTACGTAATCCTCGTCGTGATTTCTGCTGTAAGAATTGAAATAATTTTGTATATAGAGAAAAAAAGTCCACCAGTATTGACGGCAAGGTTTGGCAAGTATTTCCGTGCCGTGCTTCCACATCGGTCCCGATCCCAAGTGTTTCAATATTGTTATAGTGAAGAAGTACAGCATGGCGACAGCAGGGGTTATTCTGCAATGAAAGCGATAGAGATCATCATTGTCTATTTTCTCGCAGGTTTTCTTTCGTAATTTTTATGTTTATACAAATAGCGCAATTTACCTGATTATCCTGTGAATAATCATTAACGGTACTTGTTTTATATGCACAGCAAGAGGTTTTTTTCGTTCTTTCATGTACAAAAAAGCGACCAGAAATCCGGACATGTAAAAAAACGTGTCGACGGTGAGCAGTGATGTTGATATGTAAGCTACCCTCAAATACGTTCTATACTAAAAGAAAAATAATACATATAATATTTATACAAGAGAGAAGAACCATTATTAAACATTTTCTGACCGAAATTTATGAAACAAAAGTAATTTTCATTCAAATTAATACGTAAATACAAAATTTGTAAATTTTATAGCTTATCTTTAATAATAATGTACTTGCTTATAACATAAGCAGACAAAAAAATTCAATTTTCAAAAAAAATAAAATTGCCAATTTAGGAAGAGTGTGTCGAGGTAGGAAGTAGCCAAATAGAATTAATTTAAATTTTTCAATTTTTATTTTATTAGTATTATACCTATGTCTAACTTATTTTTTCTCAAGCAGGACTTTTGTATAAAGAATTAGTTTCATTCGAAAAATAAAAAAAATGGTTTTTACCTCTCATCAACTTCATCCAGGGATACCTGTACTGTACAGGGTGGCCACAAATAAGGCTGGCTCTCGGCCATATCTCGGAAACTAATTGTCATAGGGACTTGTTGTTAGAATATTGTGTGAAATAAATGTTAGTAAGTCTCTACAACAATTTTCTACAACAATTAGTTTACGAGACATGGCCGAAAGCCATCCTTATTTGGCCACCCTGTACATATGTACTTATAAAGAGTTAAAGATAGTTTACATTATTAAAATGTTTATCTCCCTAGATTTTTTTTATAAATCATGTAGGTAATTTTACGACGATTAAACTTGAGAATTTTTCTTTAAGAAAAAATAGCTTGTATAGGAGAAAGATAAGATAAAAAAATCCAATGAAATAAGGAGTTATTAATAACAATAAAAGCGCATAACAATTAGAACATAAGCTTATGCATTAATATAGACATAAAGCTTAGAAGTGTATTCCTTGGTCAATTTTAAGTCGAAAATGCCTTATGCTCTTTTGTCCAAAAGTCAAATAGGTACACTTTTTAATGCTAAACTGGGCTTGATTTTATTGTTAATTTTTATTCCTGAATGTATCTCTTGCAATGTTTGCAAATAAATTGTTAAACCAATCAACTTACATGATCAACAATATAGCGATTAATTACAGAATAATTACTCCACCCGGTCAATGCATGTCCAGATATAATCCAAGCCATGCTGATGGTTTTGATTCCGTGGAAGATCTGTATTTGGTTTTTGTTCCCTTTGGCGGTTTGGAACAGTTTCTTTCCGTTCGTGAATACGGAAAACGCCAAGAAAATCTGATGATCGGTCTCTGGATAAATATTTTATTTTGGTTTGATGCCATTTTCTAGCAGTAAAATACTCACTTCGTTGTTTTCTGTACAGATAAATATCATAGCCAGTCGATAATATCATTAATGAAGCGATGAATGCAAGAAATAATCTATAAAAAATGTATGATACATTCGTTATTGATTGTTAATTTGGTTACGTATTCTCCCAATTAATGCATCAGGTACCTACTTACATCATAGCGAAATCTCCGATCGTAAACTTTTTCAAATCTTCCTTGGTATGGCAAAATGCATCGTTAAGAATAGTTTTATTAAAAAGCTTAAAATCATTAGCGGTGCATTGATCAGGTAAACATAAACCTAATTTAAAAACATCCTGAAATGCATATCAAAGTTAACACAAAGCTCTCGTAATTTGTCTTAAATTCTCAAAGAAATCAAAACTTACGTTATCTTCGAAAGTTGATATAGCTTTTGGAATAATTGCAGCTGGTATTATTATTCCAAATAGACAGTACTTTCCTGTAACAGAGTTATGTTTGACGTCCAAACATTGATCGTAATTGCCGAGATCTATTAAACTGGAGGTCAAAACACCACTCCAAGGAAATTTTGATATCGAATCGATGACTGTAAGAAAATATAAAATTACCTACACAGGGTAATCATGTTATAAGCAATAGCCACTTCTAACAGCACAGTCATTAGAATCTATATAATTTAACAAGACATCTTAATTTAAAACATACGTGTAGCTGTTTACTTACGATTCCAATATTGTTTAGGATCGCTTTTGAGTTCTTTTATTTGCCTGCCACATAAACTCTCTTCTGCTAGATGCGAAGTTTCATTGAACATACGATCTATTACATCAAAATTGATGTATTGAATTTGTTCACAAATGCACGCACTTAATAGAGTCAAAGACAAAAAGATGCTAAACCCGACCATTTTTTAGTTTTTTTATTCGCTTATTTCACCAGGTGTTTGAAAATGCGTTTTCGACAAACGTTACCATCGAATTAAATAGTTGAGCAACATCTGGATAATCGGCGATCTAGAAAATTTATAAACGATTTTGAAGTGGCATTTCTGAATATTGAAATTTAATTATGTTTGCACACCTGTATAGAAATTGATTTTTTTAAGTACTCCAATTGTTTTTGTCACTTAATTGTCAGGATGTTTTACGTACAATATAAGAGTAAAAAATGCGCTACGTAAAACCTGGATAATTATAGGTACAATTACCTTAATTTTTTAACGTTCTTAAATATCTGTGGAGACTCGATTATGGTTACAGACTAATTTAACTATCAATTGGTGACAGGTCATCATGTATTTTATGAAATTGGAGATTTTTTGTACTAATTAATAGAATCTAATCAGATATAAATTTAAAAAAAGACTTGTTTTCAAATAATTGGAAGCAAAATTATTTTTTCTTTGTGATCTCTGATTCCATTGATTCGTATAAATTGATCAATCCATGTATCTAATGGTCTATAAAATTGATTTTTTTGACCTCTGTGATGTTAGCAGTTAGCACCTCAACTGAATTATTTATTATTTCTTTTTTACTATAGGGTAGGGCGAGGCTAGTTGAGCAAATTTGTTAAATAGTTGTTAAATAGTTGAGCTCAACGATAAGTTTCAATGACTTGTTATCTGGCTTGATGATGAAATCAGAATTAAATAGCTTAAAAGAAAATATTTATAATATCTTCGCAACTTAATCGTCGTTGTTTGTTGCAATTAACACAAATGAAAGTAAGACCACAGCACCTGGAACACATTTTGTATGGGCCTATTCCCTGCAAGCTTGGCACTAAATCCAACTTTCCCCTGGTAAACTTTCGGTTAGTTGAGGAACTACAGCTCATCTAACAATTTCCTATACATACAGTGCATTTCTTTAATGTCCCCCCCCCCCTTTTATTTTTTGAACGGATCAACTTAGAAAATTGAAATTTGGGATAATGAAACTAATGCATGATTACTATATTTTGGAGTAAAATTGACAGATGAAAATTTCAACTGGGCGCCATATTGTGAAATAAATTTAAATGGAAAGGGGGGTCTTGTGATACATCATTTTGAAGCTCCTGGCAAATGCTCTACAACCCTGGAATATAAAGTCAATATCTGCACCTGCTACAAAATGGCGGACATTTATTAATTACCTGAACATATCGACGTTTAACGTCATAATTTGAGGAAATAAGCTGAGTTCAGTTCAAAAAATGCTCGAAATGGTTGCCTTGAACTTCTTAATGTAAGAACAGCCTAACCGAACATTTTCGAACATATTAACGTCGATATTTTTACAAATATCTGTAATTATTTCTCGTATATCCAATATTGAAGCAGGTTTAGTTTCGTACACATTTTGCTTCAAATAGCCCCATAAAAAAAGTCTAAAGGTGTCAAATCTGGCGAGCAGGCTGGCCATTCCGTAGGACCTCGACGACCAATCCAACGACCAGGGAAAATAGCATCCAAATAGTTCATTACTTGTCTGTAGTAATGCGGTGGTGCTCCATCTTCCAATGGACGAGAATTGGCCATTTTAGAGTTAGTTCACGTGCTACCTAACTACAATGAGAACTAAACAACCGAAAACTAAATGAAAATACTTTGAACACTAGGAAAATCAAAAAAGAAAGAGAATATTTTGAACACTAGGAAAACCAAAAACTAAATGAGCATATTTTGATTAAACAATTAATGTTCGTAGTCGTACTTAAATTTTTTGGAATTTTTTTAACCAAAAATAACCTGTCAAACCTTATCGGTTTGCTGGGATTGCTATTTGCCATAGAAAAACAAATATTTCTAGAAAAATTGATATTAATTTGTTTGTATTCAGGTAATTATTAAATGTTCCGCCATTTTAAAATGGGTGCAGATATGGATTTTATATTCCAGGGTTATACAGTATTTGTCAGGAGCTTCAAAATGATGTGTCACAAGACCCCCCTTTCCATTTAAATTTATTTCACAATATGGCGCCCAGTCGCCATCTTGAAATTTTCATCTGTCAATTTTACTCCAAAATATAGTAATCATGCATTAGTTTCATTATCCCAAATTTAGGAACATTTGTTATATTCCTTCACTCATTCATTCTAAATATACATTTACATTGAGACGTCGACTTGGGTCTTTTCCCAGTTTTATCATTTAACTAATATTAAGTGTGGGGCTAGCCAAACACCCCACAAGATACTTATCATTTTTCCTATTAACCATTTTTTCGTATTTATTATAATTAAGTAAATGAGTTTTACCGGACTATTGGGACATCCTGCATATCGCCAAAGGCAACAGAAGAGAGTTAAATAATTCATTACGCGCGTTGTTTTTTTCATATTTTTTAATACATTTATTTAGCTGTGATGGAGAAATTTGTTTTTACCTTGTGAAAATATGATATGAGTAAGTCAACGTTATAATTGTTTCCTTTGGAATAAAGTTCTGTAGAGTGACGTTTTTGTACTTTGATAATATTTATTAGTATTAGAAACGATAATAAAATGAGAATAATTATCATTACCATTGTTCAATATTAAATAATAAAAAACATAAAAAACTGGTAGTAGTTTATCATGTTTGTTGGAAAAATAAATTAATCTTTGAGCTCTTTTTGTTTGAAATTCTCTTGCACAGGCGCTTCTATGTTTTTATCTAAAAAATAAAAATAAAATTAAAATCTCAATTTTTTTCAGACAATTTATCTTACCTTTTGGTTTTTGGGTGGGTCGTTTGAAAATCAACCGTTCTATTGTGATCATTGGCGATTCAAATGCCAGAGTCCATATGACAGAAGCAACGAAAGTCATTATAAAATAACCACACCAATTTATGAACTGAAAATTATCAGAATTATCGAATATTTTACTGTAGAGTTTTTCATAAAATCCTAATTTTCAATACTTACTCCCATGTAATCCTGGAACCAAATTCTGGTTCTCGCTATCAAAACGTGTTGGGTAATGACCAAAGCGTGAGTTAAGTACATACAGTAGGATAATTTCGATGTGACTTGAAAAATACGTCTTGTCAGTATCCAATTTATGATACCTACAAAATTATCGCACAATTTTTTAGTGTATCTACGAGGGATGTATCCAAAGTTCTGGGAATGTTTCTGCTGTAATTAAACTATGCAGAACATACAATCAATGTTGCACTGGATAGTCGCATAAACATGTCGAGACTTGACTGTCACCAACAACATTGCATACAGGGTGGTCCGTTGATAAAGGAAACAGAGTTGTTTTCGGGGAGAAATAATTGATTTTTGAAAAATCTGTAAAATACGTCAATTTTTATTCACGCCAATTCACTCCTTTGCACAGCAACCCCGCCCCTCAAAAATTGAATAAGGTATATGAATAGTGTATTACACCATCAGAAAGCTTATTTTTTCTGATTATAATAAAATAAAATTTAATTAAATCCATAGATTCGTCTTTGAAATATTTACCTTTAAAAATAAAAATTTTCTACATTTAGAGTAGGTACGTATGTACATGCTAATTTGAATAACACCGGTCAGAAGCCGATTATACCCCGTTCCAAAATAACTGACAGTAGTGACTCATTTTTCAATTATAGAAAAATGGTGCAAGAGCAAGGTGTATAAATATTGCAGTAATGCTCTGGGTCTCTCGGTAATCGCTGGTGAGATGCGCTTTTGCATCATTTTTAAAAAAATTTAAATATGAGTCACTGTCATTTACTTTGGAACCAGGGTATAGATAGCACCAGGATATTTCAGACAAAATTAATACTTTATTAAATTTAAATTTTTATGACTATACACAAATTCCAAAATAGTAGGCACTAAATTCTCAGAAATGATTGAGATAATGGGTACCTCCCAGTGGCGTACAGAAAACATCGTAGGCTACAAGTGTGTTTGACGGGAAAATCAGCAGGAGACTAATAATTAGAAGAGCAAGGATTATGTAATAAATAAGAAAAGCGACAATATTTCCGAGAATTTAGTGCCTACTATTTTGGAAATAGAGTATAGTAGTAGATATTATATTAGAGTACTTTTCTTTAAAGTTTCTTTCTTTTTTTTGTAAGTATTTCATCTCTTTTTATCAAAAAACATTTTTTTTCTAATTTTGCTTCATCGGAAATATTTTCAACGGTAGATATAAATTACAAAGGATTTTGCTTTTAAAGATAAATAATAAATATTTCAAAAACAAAAAGTAACCTTATTATTAATGATGTATTACACGACCCATATTATTCCCTATTCAATTTATGAGAGTAGGGGTTGCAAATGAGTGAATTGTTATGATAGTTTTTACGTCAAAAGATGTCCCCTTCGATATACAAATTAACGTGTATTAGCGATTTTCCCAAAAATCAATTTTTTTCTACCCGAAAACACCTCCTTCAACTCCTCGTTTCTTTTTCAATGAGCCACCCTATGTAATTATTGCGTAACTTTATTAGATAGAGCACTGTTCCCAGAACTTTGGAAACATTACTATCGTACTTGGGAGAATACAACAAAAGGTCGATGTTTATCGATTATTTTACCTCCATATCCGTGATAGCACGAGTATATCATCCAACTAATACAGCAGCACCATACAGGCCTAATTAAGCTATGTGCAATCACAACGTTGTGGTAACTATATCCATTGTTGCTTATTTCTTGATTTATCAAGGCGCAAGCGAGTAATAAAAACAAAACCACACTCCAAGTCAAAAGGTTTACCAACTACAATTTACCACTGTGTAGAATAGAAATATGTTAAAAAGTCTGTACCTACCGAAGAATGTCTAATTTTCTCGAATAAACTAGGTTGGTCTTTCGTTTCTTGCATGTAAATTCCCATGGTGATGCCTATGGTGTAAGACATCATTCTAGCATGAGTAGCATAATCGCTGCAAAGGAACAGAATAATAAACTACTGATTCTATTATGTAATTGTTGCGCAGGTCACGTCTGTAGCTTTACCTCTCGCACTGTACCTACTTACTTTTCGTAATCATTGAAAGCGTATGCGATAATTATGGGTAGAACCACGAAGAAAACATTCAAAGCAGTCATGCCGACTAAGATTTGCTTTAATTTTTTAGTTTTCGTCAACACAATGGAGATCGGTATCAATATGAGTGGGCAAACTAGGAACATTTGCATGTCCGCCGACAAATACCACGTATGAAGCAAGCACTGTAAATTTATAGTTGGTTAATTTGAGCTTAAAGCATTAACGTTCCTTACGTAATCCTCGTCTTGATTTCTGCTATAAGAATTGAAATAATTTTGTATATAGAGAAAAAATGTCCACCAGTATTGACGGCAAGGTTTGGTAACTATTTCCATGCCGGCTTTCCACGTCGGTCCCGACCCCAAGTGCTTGAATATTGTTATAGTGAAGAAGTATAGCATGGCGACAGCTGGTGTTATTCTGCAATGATTATAGACTTCATTATTATTTATTTTATCGTAGGTTTTCGTTGCTTGCTTGTTATTTTAACGTCTCCTTTCTGCTACTAGGCTAATCTGGACGGGACCTACAGTTTATCGTGGATTCCGAACCACGTTCATCGAATCATCTTAAAACCCCGGACAATCCCTTTGTTCAGATGATTCTACCGACTACAAGTGTGTTTCTTGTGCCACCAACCCCTATCAGTTTATCACGAGATATCCGATCTCATCCGGCCTGATTACCGGCGTGAATGAAAACTGCTTATGGCACAGAAACCTTTTTGCACTTGCTTAAGTCTATCTGCCTTATACCCACTGAATTCCGATAGGCGCGAATTCTGAAAAGCGCAATTTACCTTATTATCCTGTGAATAATCATTAACGGTACTTGTTTTATATGCACAGCAAGAGGTTTTTTTCGTTCTTTCATGTACAAAAAAGCGACCAGAAATCCGGACATGTAAAAAAACGTGTCGACGGTGAGCAGTGATGTTGATATGTAAGCTACCCTCAAATACGTTCTATACTAAAAGAAAAATAATACATATAATATTTATACAAGAGAGAAGAACCATTATTAAACATTTTCTGACCGAAATTTATGAAACAAAAGTAATTTTCATTCAAATTAATACGTAAATACAAAATTTCTAACTTTTATAGCATATCTTTAATAATAAAGTAGGTAGGTACTTCCTTATAAACATAAGCAGACAAAATAAATCAATTTTCAAAAAAAAATAAATTAGTCAATTTAGGAAGTAGCTACATAGAATTAATTTAAATTTCACAATTTTTATTTAATTTAATCAATTAGTACTATACATCGTTATTCAAATTAAGTGTTCGTCATTGGTAATTTTTATAATTTTGAACTACATGTATGTATATAAAGAGTAAAAAATGTTAACAATATTAAAATGTTTATCTCCCTTTAGATTTTTTTATGAATCAAGTAGGTAACCTTTGATTAAATTTTTGAATTTTTCTTTAAGAAAAAATAGCATGTATAGGAGAAAGATAAGATAAAAAATCTAATGACATAAGGAGTTATTAATAACAATAAAAGCGCATAACAATTAGAACATAAGCTTATGCATTAATATAGACATAAAGCTTAGAAGTGTATTCCTAGGTCAATTTTAAGTAGAAAATGCCGTATACACTTTTATCCAAAAGTCAAATACACTTCTTTATGCTAAACTGGATTTGATTTCCTTGTAAATTTATATTCCTGAATGTGTCTCTTGCAATGTTTGTAAATAAATTGTCAAAGCAACCAACTTACATGATCAACAATATAGCGATTAATTACAGAATAATTATTCCAGCCGTTCAAGGCGTGTCCAGATATAATCCAAGCCATGCTGATGGTTTTGATTCCGTGGAAGATCTGTATTTGGTTTTTGTTCCCTTTGGCTGTTTGGAACAGTTTCTTTCCGTTCGTGAAAACGGAAAACGCCAAGAAAATCTGATGCTCTGTCTCTGGATAAATATTTTAGTTTGGTTTGATGCCATTTTCTAGCAGTAAAATACTCACTTTGTTGTTTTCTGTACAGGTAAATATCATAGCCAGTCGATAATATCATTAATGAAGCGATGAATGCAAGAAATAATCTATAAAAAATGTATTATACATACGTTATTGTTTGTAAATTTGTTTACATATTCTCCCAATTAATGCATCAGGTACCTACTTACATCATAGCGAAATCTCCGATCGTAAACTTTTTCAAATCTTCCTTGGTATGGCAAAATGCATCGTTAAGAATAGTTTTATTAAAAAGCTTAAAATCATTGGCGGTGCATTGATCAGGTAAACATAAACCTAATTTAAAAACATCCTGAAATGCATATCAAAGTTAAAACAAAGCTCTCGTAATTTGTCTTACATTCTCAAAGAAATCAAAACTTACGTTATCTTCGAAAGTTGATATAGCTTTTGGAATAATTGCAGCTGGTATTATTATTCCAAATAGACAGTACTTTCCTGTAACAGAGTTATGTTTGACGTCCAAACATTGATCGTAATTGCCGAGATCTGTTAAACTGGAGGTCAAAACACCACTCCAAGGAAATTTTGATATCGAATCGATGACTGTAAGAAAATATAAAATTACCTACACAGGGTAATCATGTTATAAGCAATGGCCACTTCTAACAGCACAGTCATTAGAAGCTATATAATTTAACAAGACATCTTAATTTAAAACATACGTGTAGCTGTTTACTTACGATTCCAATATTGTTTAGGATCGCTTTTGAGTTCTTTTATTTGCCTCCCACATAAACTCTCTTCTGCTAGATGCGAAGTTTCATTAAACATACGATCTATTACATCAAAATTGATGTATTGAATTTGTTCACAAACGCACGCACTTAATAGAGTCAAAGACAAAAAGATGCTAAACCCGACCATTTTTAAGTTTTTTTATTCGCTTATTTCACGAGATGTTTGAAAATGCGTTTTCGACAAACGTTCCCATCGAATCGAATAGTTGAGCACCAACTGGATAATCGGCAATCTAGAAATTTTATCAACGATTTTGAAGTGGCATTTCTGAACAATGAAATAGAAATATGTTTGCTCACCTGTATAGAAAAGATAGGTATTTTTTAAGTACTCCCACTAATTGTTTTTTATGTCACTTGTCTCGATGTTTTACGCACAATAATACCTTAATAATTACCTTAATTTTTTAAAGTTTTTAAGTAGGTAGCTGTGGAGACGTGATTATTGTTACAGACTAATTTAACTATCAATTGGTTTAATGACAGGTTATCATGTATTTTATGAAATTGCAAATTGTGTGTACTTATTAACAAATTATATGCAAATTTTTAAAAAACGACTTGTTTGAAATAATTGAGAACAAAAGTATTTTATCTTTGTGAACTCTGATTCTATTGATTATATTATAGTTGATAAACCCATATATCTAATGATCTATAAATTTATTTTTTGTTATTAAATAAATTAGTATATTTTTCTATGATATCTACTGTCATTTCCAAATGCTCAACCTATATCTACAAATTTCCATATCATTGATATATTGATATCAATATTCAAATGTTTAAATTTTTGTGCAATAATAAATATCTAATTTTATTGCAGTTGACTAATAGGTAAAAGATTACCTACCCTGGATTGATTTGACACTGTATACAGGTGACATGGATAGTTTTAAGTGCTTAAAATTTCAGTGATATGCGCATTACTAGGTATACTTACGGTAACTGCAAATTGGGTTATTTAAAACCAATTTTTCAATTTTCAAATTACCTTATTCACTTAGTTTAGTTTAAGTTATAAATTATACTAAACTAAATCAGGCGTAGGTACATATATGCATAGGAAATAATTAAATGTTGATTATTCATACATTATAATTGCATTAATCGTTATGTTATAAATTTTTATGGAATTAGAATCGATAAAATTGGAACTGATAGCTATTTGATTTATTTATAATATCGCTTAGATGTTTTATTCTTGTTAGGTTTAATGTATTTATTTTAGTATTAACTTTAAAATGTACGACTTAATCCTTTATTTATATAAATGTACGACTGGGAACTTATCTTTATAATTAATTTAATCTGATTTAAACTTCATAGATATAGATTAGCTACCGAATAAAAGACGTGGACTTTCAGCGGATTAGACAAAAATTATCATAGATATTCTACGAAATAAATGGATCAATACTATTATAATCATTCTGTATATTTCTAGAATTACTAAAAGAAATATTATTTTCGGTTGTAACCATGCAGCAAAATGTTGTTAATTTAGTTTTTGAGAATAGTGAATAGATAGAATTAATCGATTTATTTATAATTAACACAAGTTAAATGATCGACAAATCGCTTCCGATGACTTTTCTTTGTTTTCTTTATACACGTTTCGCAATGTTTGATACATAGGTCCCGCTGCTGGATAGCAGAAGTTCCTAATATGATTCGGAACCATCGCACAAAAGAACTCAGTTGCACCTTCTAACTCGTCCTGAAAAAAAGAACAATACATCAAGTATAAAGTACAATATTAATGTCTAGTAGGTGTTATTTTCTATTACATTTTTCCACTTTTCTAGTAAATTTTATTCTAATCTGCGTAATTTTCTATTACATTTTTCCACTTTTCTAGTAAATTTTATTCTAATCTGCGTAAGTGATGCGGGTTTTATAAATCGAGTTAATTAATGAGTGTATCAAATCAAACAAAAAGAATTCATTGCTTAAGATCATTGTTTATTTCAGCATAATCTCATTCTGGTACAAACTTGTTCTGGCGTTCTTTTCTGTCTTAAAAATATGTCGTTTAAGTGTTCCAAAATGCTTTCTATGGTCATAGAACAGTAGGCTCCGAAGATTGGAGGCACTAAAGAGCAAACAGCTTCAGTCAACATTTCGAGTTCATCCTAAAAACAAACGTTGTTCTGAAATCGATACTAAATAAAATTCAGTCCGAAATATTATTTGTAGAAACGCATGGTAAAGTAGTCATATTTTTACTACAAATTGATCTCTCTCCCTGGGAGGTGCGCAAATTAAATTGAGAAGGAACTTAAATTGGAGAGAATGGTATTGGTGGATTTGATGTTTTTTGTTACTAATGCAACAAGCCTTCTGCTGATGTATCTGCATATTCATTGTCCATTCACTTTTACAAAATAAAACCAGTTTTTCATTTAAATATCTTATAAATTTAATAGGCGAATCACAAAAGATCAAATACAAATCTAACAGAATTTGACTTCCTCACAAACGTCTTTCGGCGTGCGGTTTTTGTTCACGATTTCCTCCACCAAATTCTGATGCACCACGGTGACAACGGCCGGACAGAAGTTCTGTATAAATGCGGGCACCATTTTGCAGGCGAATTTTCCTATTGCCTGGATTTGCTCCTAAAAACAGAACAAATCGGTTATCGGGGTGCCTTCGTTTCTTTTCAACGTGTCTTGATCTGCGAATTCGTTATCTATGTATACTTGATGCCATTTCGAGGTTCCATGATACTCTTTTTACTTTGATAAACTTGCTTTGTTTTATAAATACTGCACAATTCTATGTTTTACAACGACTTTGGTTCATTGTATTTTGTATTCACAATTTATGTTTTTATGCCGCACTCTCTCATGTTCTGAGTATATCACAGGTTTTTTTAATGTATGTGGCTGTTCACATTTTAAACTTCCAAATATACCAATCAAAATGCACTATATCACCTACAATTCCTTGAATTAGATTTATATAGGAATATAATAGTTTATAACTGCACAAAAATATTAAATACACTGTTCTAACTGATGGTTAAAGAATAAGTAGGCTCTGAAGGATAATACACTGGTAGATGCAAAATTGTTTGCATCAATATAGGCTATGGGTGCAACAAAGACAACTTCCATTATTCTCATATAAAGGAAAAAGAGAGTGTGATATTGTGGGATTGCAATTTTCTCACTCTAACTATTGTTATTATAATATTTCTTTGTTCAACTCATAGAATTGCAACAAACCTGGAGTTAACCAAGTCCATAAATTCAGGCGATAATATTTAGGAAAATAATATTAATTGTAAAGACAGTGTCAAAGAGGAGACAAAGTAATCTTATGGAAAGAAAGAAATCGATCAAAAAATAAAAAAAATAATGGAAATTATATAGAAAGTTAATGGAAATTAAAGGATGAATAAAGTAAATACCTATACATCAAATGTTATAATTCAAAGAGCACTTGAAGCACCAAATTCACCATTTTGTTATATTTAATTATCAGTAAACAAAGTGCAAATTTATACGCAATATAGTCTCCGTAGGTGAAACAAAGACAACTTTCATTAGTCACATATAAAAAAGGTTATATTGTGGAATTGCAATATTCTCACTCTAGCCACTGTTATTTTCATATTTCTTTTTTCAACTCATAGAATTGACCATATTGCATACAAATTTGCTCTTACCGATATACGAATTATTTCGTTGTATATTTAGTAAATTTGTATATAATGTGTTAAAATATCTATATTGCTAATTACGGAAATGATGCTATAATGATTAAAAAATTTTGAAACATGAAATAAAACAGGCTTAAATTAGTGAAAACATTTTATTCAAACTACATTGTTTTTTTTTTGAAGAAAAAATAAATAATTCTCATCTCCCTCCCGCTATTAATCTCTATTTATCGCTTGCCTTCTTTCTACTTAATCAGCACAAGCGCACTAACGAACAGATTTCCTTCGGTTTCCTGTCGTTGATCACGATTTCTTCATAGGCTTTATTGTGTGCTAATATAATGGATTTCGGGCAGAAATCTTTGGCCATGTCGGGCACCCAACTGAAGAATGCCCCACAGAACATATTGGCCAAATCCTCCACATGCTCCTGGAAAAAGTTATAACGAGCAAAATGTACTAAAGGGAAAAAATCGGTTTCTTTCTTCTGTTCTCATGGGTTCGTTTTCTAATTTAATTTCTTCGTTTTTCGTAAAATTGCGAAATTCTAGATAGGCGAAGAATCTCGATTACAAGAATTTCTGAAGGATGCAATTTCAGGATATGTTGGAACTAAACTTAATTTTTCTTCCGGTTTCTTTCTCAACATACTTTATCTAATTTGTTCGGCAGGTTTACCAATATGGAGAAGTTTATACATATACATTAACTTCCACCCTTTTTTAATCATTATAGCATTCGAAATATTCCGTTTATCAGAATATAGATTGAATTCGTAAATCGAGTTTATACTTACAGCGGATATTCCTGCTGATAAGATCTGTTTTCCTACGTCGGCTATGGTGATGCAACTCTTGCAATGTGTTTTTCCTCCGGCAAGGGCACTTCCACAGGCTGCAAAAATCAAGATAATTTTATATTTTGGCTTAAGGAATTGATTTTTTTTTAATTTTTTATGGAAACGAGTCTGATATCGGTTAAGTAGATGGAAAAACAGACTTACCGAGGACGACGAGAAGGGCTAAACTTAAGAATTTCATGTTGGTGTCGGTTTGAGCGAGTTGTTTGCCGTATCGAATTGACTGCGATAATTTGTTAAGCCGTCAGTTTTGTTCGCGATGCGGACAATACGCAATTAAAAAAACAATCTGCATGTGGGACGATTCTAAAATTTTTAATTGCGCTCCCGACAATTAGGACCGATTTTTAATTTCCACTTTATTGTAAGAAAATCGATTTTTTCAAAAATGTACCGAATTATTAATGAGATCAGACGGGAAGTTATAATTGTTAATTAATTTTTTTTATTAATTATTTACCCCGCATTTTTCCCTTAAAACTGTACAGTGTAAAAACATAGGTAGGGGAGAGTAACAAGATAATAGGTACATGTGTATATCTAGATACCTATTGTATTGTACCAGTAGCGAAATAATAGCACATGTCACTAAACATTGCAAGATTGTAGATTTTAAAACCTCTATAAACTATAAACTATAAAAATGAAACATTACTCAGAATAATATAGCTTGACTATACAGGGTGTTCCTAAACATCGTACACATACGGAAGGGGATATTCGTTTGTCCGCAAACGCTTCGTTACCGATCTACAGGGTATTGAAATTTTAAGATTTTTCTTATTTTTTCTTTGGAACTATGCAGTTTTTGAGATATTTAGCTTTGGTATAAGGTATAATTTGACTAGGAGGGAGTCACTTTCAACATTTGTTAAAATGTAGTTTAGTAGTTATTTATTTAAGTCAATGTTATGAAAAATGGTGCAGGAATCATGTCAAATATCAGCGGCGCGGTATGAGTATTAAATATACGTGAATTTATTAACTATATTTATTATTAATCTTTAACTTTTAACGTAAATCCTATAATATAATTCAATATTATTTAAAAAAATTAAATAAACTCATTTTATTTGAATTTAATGCTATTTATGAGAATATTTAATATTCATACAGCGCCGCTTATACCGTGTTGGAAAATTTTTCGCGCATAATAGGGAAATCAATGTTAAATTCTTAGCCGGCTGAAATCCAATCTACCAGTGTACATTTCAATAGAACGTCGCGATCAATTCTAATAAATTTAATTGTTCTACTGGACTTCACACCGCGCTTTGGCTTGGTTAGATTAAAAATCAAATAATTTCGACGGTTTCAACACTTCGACAGTATCAAAACGGGTTCGGATGGGTGAACGTCGAGTCGATTACAAAGAATTGAGAATTTTTAAACGATAATTTATTGAAAAAATATCACTAATAATAAAATAGAATTATGTAGATATGTCTTTTTGCCACAATGGCTTGAAAAAGAAAGTAAATTCTAAGAAAATAATAAAAAGAATACTCCAAAAATAAACTTAAAGATTATTTTAAAACAGAAAATAAAAGAACTCTAAAAAATAGTCCACCGCTTTCTGCTAAACTATAGGCAAACCTGTCATACAGATGTCATCTCATATTACTGAGCTGAGGTGTAATTTTAGCAGAAAATTGAATTATTTTTTCCTTAATTTTCCTTATTTTAACAAGATTTGTTGCTATTTCATAACTGTACCTACCGATACACACATTTTTTTGAAATATCCCCAAAAAACCTATTAATTGTAGTTTCTAAATAATTTTGTACCTCATACCTAACACAAATAACTTTGTACCTCTAAAAATCGCGGCGTGCGATCCAGTAGAACAATTAAATTTATTAGAATTCATCGCGACGTTCTATTGAAATGTATGCTGGTAGACTGGATTTTAGCCGGCTAAGAATTTAACATTGATTTCCCTATTATGCGAAATTTAATTTCCAACAGTGTATTTGAATTTGACTGAATTCCTGCACCATTTTTCATAACATAACATTTTTCGATTTGAAACTGAACTGTAGTTCGAAAATAACTGGCAGTATAGTGATTCATTTTTCAAAAATTTGAAACATGAGTCAACTGCCAGTTATTTTGGCACCGGGGCATACAGAAAATCGTTTGTAATTCTTTTCTCGATAACAGTCGCAGAAACGAAAAGACTTTCTAAACGAAACAAAAATTTTATTTTGTATTTTAGAATCTACCAGCGGCGCACAACAAAAGAGTTTGGGGGAGAAAAGGGAACATGACTCCTGAAAAAATATTACCCTGTAGATTCAACAATCACCTGACATACCCAATAATGTATGCCCTATAACGCAATCTAGATTCCAAATTTGAGCCAAATATCTCAAAAACTGCGGGAGCTCTAAAGAAAAACCAAGAAACATCTTGAAATTTCAACACCCTGTAGATCGTAACGAAGCATTTGCGGACATACGAATATGTTTATTTGAACTTTTAGTTATGAAGTAAGCCAAAGAATTGCCCCCTTCCGTATATGCACGATTTTTAGAAACACCTATAACTTATTAGTTTCATTTCTTCTGCAGATTTATCTATTAAATCTATTAAACAGAGAAGGTACGTATATTTATTTTTATACAGGAGGATTATATACAGGGATATACAGGATGTTCCTAAACATCGTGTATCATCCCATAGAATTTAACAAACATCTGACATACCCACTAATGTGTGCCCTATAAAGCAATCTAGATTCAAAATTTGAGCTAAATATCTAAAAAACTGCAGGAAAATCTCTTATTTAAATTTTGAGGAATAAAACCAATCATCTCAATGAAAAAAAGAAACTTTTACTATATACCTACCTCTATTAAGGATTTACATATTATATTATAATTAAATTTTACATATTATATCCTATATCATAAAGATATTTAATTACATAGTCCCTTCCATAACGAAGCCGGTGTAAATAAACGTTCTGGAACATCTGCAGGTAGGACCACATTTTTGGGATTGGCATTTGGGACACGGAAAGAAGCATCCTTCGCAGGATGGATTCAACGTGCAATCGCAAATATCTTCGCCGGTACTGATAAGTTTTCCTTCCGGTGTGTACAGGACGTTTTTCGGCTTACGACCTTTCCTTTTTCCGATAAGTTTGTTCATTGTGCTTTGGACTTTGCACTAAATACGAATTATTTATATTTTTTTGTACATAAAAATGTCAAAGTTTGGCACCTACTTGTAGCCCCATTGGCATCTGAATTTAAGATTGCAGCGCCATCGTGGCAAAAAATGGAACCTTCGTAACAGGCATTCATTCGTTTGTTGTTATTTGTTTTAACGTGTGAATTGTGAATTTGAAAGTGATTTTTTAGTGTTATAACTTAATTTCTTCCGAACAATTTTTATATTAAAAGACAATTTATTTCAGTTTAAGTAGTTTTTAAGTTGTTAAATTTACTGTCAATTCAAAATCTGGTAAGCAATCTGATTTGTATGTAAGATTGTATTATGTTTGGTTATATATTTTTTGTCGTTTCTTTCAATTAAATTATGAAATATGGTGTATTCAAATTACTCAATGACTTAAAAATTATACTTTTATTTATTCTATTTATTAATAATCTATTTTTTTTAATTTATAATCTTTCATTTTTAGAAAAATGGCTCGATTAAGTATAATCGACTACATGGCGTACATTGAAGGGACAGTTTCTTCAAGATGTGTGGTAGAGGGCGAAGAAGTTTTAAATGCAGGACACATAATTTTATGTGGAAAATTTAATTTGGTGACTTCTGATCTTATTAAATTCTGTGCTTTGTGTCTACAAACTAGCGCACTTAATGGAGAACCTCATCAAATATCCGGAGAAAAAATGCTTCACATCGTTTGTTCCATTTAGTATTACTTAATGGTAAAGTATTAATTCTATATAATATTACAACTAATTTTGATAAATTATTTTATTCAGATCGAGAGCTGTTACATTATTTTTCTACCAGAAATTATTCTTCGGGTATCGACAAGGGATTTTCATAAAACGCTTCACATCGCTTGTTCTGTTTAGTATTACTCCAATAATGGTAAAGTATTAATTCTATATAATATTACAACTAATTTTGATAAATTATTTTATTCAGATCGAGAGCTGTTACATTTTTTTTCTACCAGAAATTATTCTTCGGGTATCGACAAGGGATTTTCATAAAACGCTTCACATCGCTTGATATACAGGAGATACACCGGTCATAAACTTAATTGTTGTACTCGACTTATAATGTGAATAAAATTTTATTCTACAGCAAAGGCATTTTGGCGTTTGGACATTTATTTCTGTACAATCCAGAATCACCCTTACATCCTCAAATTGATTAAAATATAGGGGCATGTTTCTTTTAATTTCCGAAGAATCGGGGAACCTTATACAGGGCTTTAAGACTGCACTTAATATAGGCAACATTTCAAAAATATATTTTTTACATAATTCGGGGGAAATAGCAAACAATACTGACAACGTTACATAAGAAAGATCACTCTTTAATTTTGTCATGACTAATACTATTCGTTCTTGAAAAAAACAGATTTATAAAAGCGACGAAACCGACAATAAAGACAAACACGAGAGAAAACAAAACAAAAACAGAACGAACGTAATGGATGCAAAACCAAAACAATGGTGCAATACCTGTTAGAAGCGTTCTATTTTCTGCCACCAGAGGGCGTATCGCTTATATTGAATCGCCAATAGTTAATTAAAATGGTTTATATTTAATAAACTGCCTTTAATAACAATTCTGATTAGCTGGTTAACAAATGTATTAAAAATAAGGTATGAATTTACTTAAATTAATCTTTAATTGTTACTGAATTTGTGAATTATTTTACTGAAGAAGTTACTGAAGAAAATATGTGAAAATAGTCAAGTGTCAACTACACTATTAAGTAAGAGGCTTAATAGTAAAAAGAAAGGAAGAAGTAGAAAATAGTTTGACAGACAGTTTAAATTGAGTTAATTGAGGTTATGTGAGATATGAGCATTTGAAATATAAACAAAACTGTGATAGTTTTTAAATAATATTAGAAATTAGCCTAATTTAATCTAATTAAGTACTTCCAAAACATGCAAAACACGTCAGGTTTCACTTTCGGTACAACGAGTACCCCGGCCCCGGCCGGTCAAACTGGACTATTCAATACGAGCGGTGGTTCAAGCCTGTTTCAACCTCCAGCCAGCGGTTCGGCGACTCCATCGCTGTTCGGCACAGCCACGGGGGCAGCTACAGCTACTGTAGCCCCCGCTTTCGGAACCAACGTAGCATCTAGCGCCCCTTTGTCATTCGGGGCACCAGCGACTTCTACACCCGCTTTCGGAGCACCAGCGACCTCCGCACCCGCTTTCGGAGCACAGGCGACTTCCGCACCTGCTTTCGGGGCACAGGCGACTTCTGCACCCGCTTTCGGGGCACCGGCGACTTCCACACCCGCTTTCGGAGCACCAGCGACTTCCACACCCGCTTTCGGAGCACCAGCGACTTCCGCGCCCGCTTTTGGGGCACCAGCGACTTCCACACCCGCTTTCGGGGCTCCGGCGACTTCCACACCGGCTTTCGGAGCACCAGCGACGGCCGCGCCCGCTTTCGGAGCGACACCAAACGCCACCCTGAGTTTCGGAGCCCCGACAAGCGCAGCTCCCGCCTTTGGAGCCGCTCCAGCGGCCAGTTCCTCTCTAAGCTTCGGATTGAATCCACCAGCTAGTACCGGCATTGGTTTCGGTCTTGCGGCTTCCACGGCGACTGCGACTCCTAGTTTCGGCAGCGCCACTGCTGCGCCGGCCTTTGGTACCGCTACTACCGCAGCTACCAGTTTCGGAGGCGGAGGTACAACTGCTTTTAATTTAGGAGGTACGTCTATTAATATATCGCCCTTTTTTACGTACGAGTATGAGTATTTGAGCCTGAGTATTTTCAGATGCCAATATGACAAGCAATAATACAAATTTTATGTAATGGATAAATTTAACTTTTGCAGTAGTATAAATAGAACAGGTTGTATATTAAAATATAGAGACTCATACTGTAGCGTAATTATACCTATAAGTTTCTTTTATTAATTTTCAACAATTAATCCTCATTTCTTTTTGCTCTAGGAACATCTTGTAGTGCTCCAACAACCACTACGACTTCTTATGGTCTCGGAGGACAACCGACCGCACAAACTAAAATAATAACGACTCAGAAAGATGTGACGCCTAAAGACCAGCCGCTACCTAACGAAATCCTCCAGACAGTAGAAGAGTTCAAAAAATTAGTGAAACAACAGAAATTGTACAGTTCGGACATAGCTCGTTGTTCGGTCAGGGACTTTAGAATAGTCGAACAAGACATTAATCAGTTGACAAAGCTGTTGTCGGAAGTGGAAATTCAACTTCAGAAAAACCGGCAATTAGCTGAAAAGTTAAAGTACGACACGGCGAAATGCTTAAAAGACGTCGAAATCGCCCAGAGAACGCAAGATACTCCCCCAGGACTGCAGTACGAGAACGTGGCTCCGTTAAAGTTCTTTTTAAATTTGGCTGATAAATTTGAAAAAGAAATGCAGGTAACTATACTTATTAATGCACTGATGTTTAAAAAATACAAAATATTTTTGTAGGCTCTTAAAGTACAAATCGAGGGAGCTGACAACTATGTGAAAAATTACCGCAGCAGTAGTGCCCTTACTCCGCAAGACTTGCATTTGGGAATGAGAAGATTGCACGAATCCTTCGTCGCTTTAGCTGGTCGATTACACTCTGTACATAATCAAGTGGAGTCGCAAAAGGAGGCTTACGTGATGACTCGAAGAAACTTATTCAATGACCATTCTAATCCTTTCGAAAATCTCTACACACCTGCTAATGTAAATTTCCAGGATGTACTGCACCGAACGCCTCCGAAAGTAGCTACCGGTCCAACTCCGTTTAGTAGTCTAGCTATAGGTACTGTTTCCATTTAACGGCCTGCATGGAAAATTAAAGCTTCTTATGTGAATGTCTTCTTTTGTGAATTGGTGATGGTATACTTGGCAAATTATTAAGAAATTTAAATCGTTAAATTAGCTTCTATTAATTGAGTTATTTAATTTGTAGGTCTTACTCAACCGCTTGGTACACAGCAAAATCAAAGCAACGTTCCTTATTCCACTCCGACCACTTCTGGAACGGGATTTGGAAATGTGGGTTTCGGATCTACTCTAGGATCCCAACCGGAAAGTCAGTATTTGTTCGGTGGTGCATCTGCAGTTCAAAATATCAATAGTTTTCAATTACAGAAACCGCCTACCGGCAATAAAAGAGGAAAACAATAGCTCCGGTGGCCGCGAAATTTTCGATTTTAACGTAATTTTAATATATTCTGGCTTAATATTTAATAGTATTGTTTTTCTAAGGTAATAAAAATTATTTTTGGAGCCTTTAATATTGGTTGTTGAATATTGATTGAAACGGATTCGGTTATAGCAAATTAGTCTATTTTATTTTATAATTATTTCAAACTTGTATCGAGAGTAATCATGAGAAATGAAGAACTTTCTCATGTATAAAGAAAGAAAGATTTTTATATTTTCTCTATGCTTGTATATCATTGGCCCTCCTAATTTGAGGAAACTATTATAGCGTTACCCTTCTATCTAGAGTATTACTACATGATTAAGTTTCGTATCCAAATATTCCTATTTTACCCTTTTCAAATAGAGCAATACGTCTGAAATTTATTAAATATTAATTCATTATTGATTAATTTTTCTTTCATTTCGTGTGTCTATTGAATTTCTTGTAAATAAATATTATAGCTCTACCTTTTTTACATCCAATTCCTACAATTCAGTTACTTAACAACCGTTTGTTTATTTGACAGTTGACAACTGACATTAAATAAAAAACAGCATTGCATTTGATCCGGCGTGTGTTCTTACTTTTATTCTATTCCAATTTAAGTATATTAATTGAGAAAAGAATAACTAAATACAATTATGGCGGTAAGTATTATTATTAAATCAAATAAACTGACATTAAAATTACTTCTTTGTAACGAAATTATTCGGTTTTAACCTCAACTAACCAACAATGTTTACGTTGAATTTTAGGCTGCTGCAGCGGCAAAAATTGCCGAAGTACGCGAGACAACCCGCGTAGAAAGAATTGGGGCCCATTCTCACATTCGAGGCCTAGGATTAGACGACAGCCTTGAAGCTAGACATGTAAGATCAATCCCATTAGCTATATCAACGTATTAATATGCTCGTTTTAGGTGTCTCAAGGTATGGTCGGGCAAGTCTCAGCTAGAAGAGCAGTTGGCATAGTTCTGCAAATGGTACGCGATGGTAGAATCGCAGGAAGAGCTGTTTTATTAGCCGGACAGCCTGGTAAATATTTGTTTTTCTAGAATATTCCAAGTCGGAGCCATATATTGATTAAACGTAACCAGGTTGCTGGGAAACGAATTTAGTACAGGCCCATTATTCTATAGGAAAAATCATTTAGGAATATTTTAGCTCAAATTAAGATTGGAATAAGATTAATAAGAAAAATTAATCAATTCATTTTGAGAGCAGCACTTCGTTAAAACTACTGTTACCTTAATTATTATTGTATCAAAATCTTTTAGGTACTGGAAAGACTGCTATAGCAACTGCTTTAGCTCATGCTTTAGGACAAGATACGCCATTCACTAGTATGGCTGGATCAGAGATATATTCATTAGAGATGAGTAAAACTGAAGCATTAACGCAAGCTATTAGAAAGAGTATTGGAGTCAGGATAAAGTATGATGCTAATGTTTCATCTGTTGAACTTTTTATAATGTATTCAAAAATATTAATTGTAGGGAAGAGAGTGAAATTATCGAAGGTGAAGTTGTCGATCTGAGCATTGAACGTCCAGCAACAGGAGTTGGTACTAAAGTGGGTAAATTGATTCTCAAAACTACAGATATGGAGACTGTGTATGATTTGGGCGGGAAAATGATCGATAGTATTCTGAAAGAGAAAGTTCAGTCTGGTGATGTTATAACCATAGATAAAGCTACAGGTAAATCTGATATTTATTTAATACAGTTCGTAAAAATAACATTTAATATTTTTTATATAGGAAAAATTACGAGATTGGGTCGATCTTTCGCTAGAGCTAGAGATTATGATGCTACTGGTCAACAAACGAGGTTCGTTCAATGTCCCGAAGGTGAACTGCAAAAGCGCAAAGAAGTTGTCCACACCGTGACTTTGCATGAAATTGATGTAATTAACAGTCGCACCCATGGATTCTTGGCACTGTTTTCAGGTAATAATTTCATTCATCTTTCAGCAGTCTCACAGTCCACTCCTGGACATGGGCCTCTCCCACTCTATTCCACATTTTCTTGTTCTGGGCTGTCTGATACCATTTGTGTCCCGCAATTTCCTTTAGGTCATCCAGTCACTGTCTCTGAGGTCTCCCCTCAGAGACTTCGTCTGTGCAAGCCAGGTCTCCATTATAATATGCGTTTTACCCATCTATAGTCATTAAGACCATTTGCATTTAATATACTTAACATTGAAAATTGTTACCATTTAAAGGTGATACGGGAGAAATTAAACCAGAAGTAAGAGAGCAGATTAATGGCAAAGTAGCTGAATGGCGTGAAGAAGGAAAGGCTGAAATTATACCTGGTGTACTGTTTATTGATGAGGTAATATACATTTCTTACAAAATACCCGAATTTTATAATAATTGTTAAAATGTTACAGGTTCACATGTTGGATATAGAATGCTTCTCCTTTTTAAACAGAGCCTTAGAAAATGAAATGTCTCCAATTGTCATAATGGCCACCAATAGAGGAATCACAAAAATTCGAGGTACTACTTACAAATCTCCACACGGCATACCATTGGACTTGCTGGATCGAACAATTATCGTTCCTACTCAGCCATACGACGAAAAGGAATTGAAAGAGATATTGAAGTAAGAAACTCTTAACTAGCATACGAATTCTGCTTCATACAATTTGATTTGCAGTATTCGGTGTGAAGAAGAGGACTGTCAGATGTCTGATAATGCTTTGGTGGTTCTAACGAGAATCTGTAAGGAGACTTCCCTGCGTTACGGCATGCAGCTCATTATGACATCGAGTTTAATCGCTAGAAAGCGTAAAGCCCACGAAGTCGATGTAGAGGACATAAAACGAGCCTATCAATTATTCTTTGATGAAGGTCGCTCTGTGCAATTTCTCAAGGAATACCAACAAGAATTTATGTTTAACGAAAGTAAGTATCTATTAGTATTCTTTGCGATAATGGAATTATATGACTATTTTTTTATATTTTAGTTGATGAGAAAGATGATATGGAAATGGAAACGATTTAAATGAAATATTGTGGATTATCTGCAGTTTGAAAACTTCAAGTATTTAGTTTCTTACGAATTTTCAATTTGTTGTAATTATTCAGTTTTTTGCATATTTTAACTTTATAATTAAATTTTTTTATGACACCAATATTTTTACAGTTATTAATTATAAACAACTCACCTGAAAGTATAAAGCATAAACAAATACCTTTCTTTCTTTATGGAGTGTTATTAGAAATGAGAAAGTTAAATGGCTAAATACAATCAAAGTAACAGGTTCGTAATATTTAGAATTGACTTGACAGAAGATAACCTAAAAAATTCGAAATACATCCATTTGACATAGTTTTATTCACAAAATTAATTCATTAAAATGTCCAAAGCGGCTGCAAGATTAAAATCTGCGAAAAAAGTAACCGAAAAAATAAAACACGGTAAATTAAGGACAAATATTCCGGCCGGTTTGGCTGCGGCTGGTCCTCCACTAGGTCCCATGTTGGGACAGGTAAAATTTCCCTTATACAATATAAAAGTTACTAATACCTTATCTTATAGAGAGGAGTAAATATTGCAGCGTTTTGTAAAGATTTCAATGAAAAAACCAAAGATATTAAGGAGGGTATTCCTTTACCTTCTAGAGCTGTGGTACATCCTGATCGGAGTTACGAGCTTGTAATCCACCAACCCCCTGTTGTATACTTTCTAAAACAAGCTGCTGGTATTCAAAGAGCGGCTATGCATCCGGGTAATTATTGCAATTACTACAATGCATTTAAATTTGAAACGACATAATAGAATTTAACATGTTTCTTTTGTATCCATTACAGGCAATGAGGTGGCCGGTAAAGTAACTCTGAAGCATGTATATGAAATAGCAAAAATTAAACACTCTGACCCTCCGTTGGAATTTTTCAGTTTACAAGAGATTTGCAAAAGAGTTATTGGAATAGCAAAATCGTGTGGAATTGAAGTTGTTAGAGATTTAGATCCTAAAGAATACGGGGAGTTCTTGAAAGAACGAGAACTTATCGTGGAGCAACAAAAGAAGGAAATACAGGAGAAGAAAGAGGCGAAAATGCTGAGAACAGGATAAGAATAGTTGATTTTAGGTACAATTATTGTTTGTAGATTTTTGATTAGAAATACAATTATTTAAAATTATACTTGTGCGCAGTGTTTTTATCCACTTATTAACCATAATTTGGCGTTTCCTAGATACAATTCATTATATTATTTATAATATTCATTAAAAAATAAATCGGGTATTCCAATAAGTTTTCTTTATATATTTTTTATTCAGTAAATTTACAGGATGAATTTTTACAAAACTACTTAAAAATTATTTACTTGCCTTTACAAATTATTAAGTGTCCATCATGCAAGAAAACTAAAGGCTACTAGAAGTCATGTCGCAATATTTAATTTGAAGCGATGAAAAGGCAACGGATAATTTGATCAGCTATTAATATTATTAAAAAAATTGGAAATTAAGAAATGAGGCTACCAAGCTCGTCTGTATAATTACGAGCGTGTGTGTGTGTATTTGTCTGTGTCATTGCACGCGAGCTTCCACGTTAAACAATAAGAATAAAATAAAAATAAGTCGGAACTTCCTCTCCTGATTTACCTTATTTTATAGTCCTGTCGTTATTGAAATAATTTTCACCAGAATAAATTTATACACCTTACAACAAATGAAGAAATTAGAAGTAGTTTTACTAATATTTCGTCAATTCACAACCAATCTGTAACAATTATGTACTTGATACACTTAAATAGATTTTATTCTAGTGTGTTTCTTGTAATAAACACATTTTTAATTACATGCACCTACATCTCACGTATTCCTCATTACCAAACAAAGAAACCCGAAGAATCAGGAGCGAGAAAATTCATTGAACATTTTTTTGTCTCCCATTGCCCGGCCTGTAAATTTTCTTACGTCTTACGTGATGCAATTCCTTCGAACCTTGGTAAGGATAATCTTTTGTTTTAGCATACGAATCCCCATCTGTATAAATAAATACCGATGGACATCGCTCGTTATCTATTGTCTCACGTAGCTATTCGGTTGAATACATACCAAGTTGGTGTTTAAAAATGTTCGGGAAATATTTCATTGCTTTTACTGTAAGTATATTGTAACAAAAATGTTAGTACAGTAAGGGCTTCAAATCGTAGAGTAGATCATACACTATTATTCATTATTCTTCAAAGAGATTAATTGATCTTTAATTGAATATTTTCTAGGTAATATTATTTGCTGTAGTGGCATTCGCCGAGGAAACAGAAATTTCAAACATCGAAGAAGTACCGGTGCAAGATATCCCGAAGAAGACGAAAAGAGGCATTTACGGAGGTTACGGCTTGGGTTACGGAGGATACGGTTACGGATATGGTTACGGGTTAAGAGGTCTAGGTCTCGGTTACGGATATTACGGAGGCTACCCATATTATGGCGGATATGGTGGGTACGGATATTATGGGTACCCAAGATATTACGGTGGCTACGGTGGTTACTACCCTTTCTATGGATACGGTTGGTAATAATTTCAGTTTTTTGCTTTAACAGAAGCGAGTTTTGTATTTATTAGATTAAGAAAATCTGTATATATCTGAATAAAAGTTTTTTAATCTCTTACGAATGGTTTTGGCATTAATGGCCCAAAAGAATATTTGGTATTTTATTTTGAACTAAAGAGGGACTAATATAGACCATAAAAAATAATATTTGCATCAAAATTAAAATATATAATATAAAATAATCGTAATAAAAGATATTTAACAGAAATTGAGCAATGTTCTCAAGCAATTCAGTAATTGCTTCGTCGATATTTCAGTATGTTGAAAACTACAAATTATTCGCTAAATAAGAACAGTTCAAAAAATAATTAAAGGTGTTCCCTGGGCAACGCCCTCAATGGAGTATTCCTCGGTGTTGTGCATAATCTTTTGGGCGTTGGTTTCACGTGCAAAGGTCTTTTAATGTGAGGCACGGGAGTCGCTACTTCCATACTCATCAAATCGTTTTCTTTGTTCTCTTCTTTCGAATACGAAATTCGTCGGTTCTCGAATTGACTGTATTTTTGTTTGAGATGAGTTTTTTTAGGCGTGACGTTGGTGCTGCGTTTCAACACCCGTCTTTCTTTCCTAAGACAGGAATTCCTCGGAAAGGTCTTACCTGGCGAATTGATCATCATCGATTGATTGAGATCAAGCTTTAAATTATCACCTGTACTGTAAGTAATATCGGTAGCTTTGAAAGAAGGTGTAACCAAAACGTCGGTGTTCATAGAAATTTTGCTAAGAGGAGAGGAACCGTTCGATTCGCTCGAATGTTGCAGAAAGGTATTATTCCTGATCAATTCGCGCGACCTCCTCCTTATGTTGCCTATTTTTCTAGCGCTCGGAGATCTGATCATTTTATTTTCGGTTTTTCTGATCCTTAACTCTTTGCTCAGCTTTCTAGCCAGCTGATCGGTGCCTGGACTCATCGGTTCATTCTGTCCCAGCGTTTGTTCGTAAGCACTTTGTATCCCAAGGATGTCTATCTCGTTGTTCATGACAGTCGATTGATTTTGTACACTTTCCAGTTCAATCGACAGTCGCTTCTCAATGGCATCCACTCTGTTTTTGATTTCTTCGTATTCAACTTTAGGCACACGAACGAAGAAATCTTCCTTAGATGAATTGGGATTTACATCTTGCTCATTGCAGGAACTCAAGTTGATGTTGCTGTCGTCTTGAGATGAAACGATGAATGAATTTCGTTTCTTTCTTTTGAAGTTAGTAGCCGATGTTATAGCCGACCAACTTCTTACTAGGCTTGTCTTCCTTCCGCTTTGCTGAGTGTTGACCAACCTAAATTTGGAGTAACAAGGAAAATCAAATAACTTGTAAAGAAGCGAAGGAAAAATAAAACTTACTTGCTCTTCGGGATGCTTATGGAAGGTGTTAGTAACAAATCGGGGGTTACAGTGTTAACTGCTGTGATATCATCCGTTTTGTTTGTTACAATTTTTTTCAGACCGTTGAAAATTCCTAAGAAAGAAAGCCATAAATTTGAATTGCAAAATAGATAATAAAACATACTTGTTAACGATCCACTTCGTCTCCTTTTCGTTCTGTGGGAAACATCCATTTCTCCTGGCTTCAAGTTTCCAATTTGCTCCAGAATATAATCAGGTATAATACCAATGCTGCTCGAATTATCGATCATGCTCTATAACAACAGGTTGTCAAAATGTTTACGAAATTATTGTTAATTTCTACTTACTTTTACAATCTCGCAAGTTTTCTTTACCATCAGTTTACTTTTTGGAGCCAATTTCTCGTTTAACGGAAATATATTCGGAGCGATTAATAGAGATAAGTTGTAGGAATTCATTTTGTTATAATTTGAATGTGCGCTTATTTCATTAAAAAACTAAAACAAATTTATAATTAGAACAATACCACAGAAAAAAATAACAATTCTATTATCTACCTGCATTAAAAACACAAGAACATTCAAGTGTTCTGATGGCAATAAAAGGCAAGCTAACAACAGAGCTTCCACTTTATTTTCTACTATGGAACTCCTTATGAATAATTCATGGAATGAATAAGGAATTAAAGGTTCAGGTAGCTCTCTGAGAAAGTATTTGAGAACAACAGCTACGTCAATTTCGTGGTTATCGGTTCCTAGCATACATCCCCTATCGAGCAATAACTAAAAATTAAAAGGTGGTGTGTTGAGGGATGTTTATGAATATTATAAGTATATTGAAAACTAGGTACCTTAATTTCATTTTGTCTCGATTTGGAACCTTCTTTACGAAAAAGACCTTCGGTTTCTACTTTGGATAATATGTAAGAGCACATTTCATAAAGTCGCTTTGGCACTACCAATTGCTGGCCATTCTTTAATGTAACTGTCTCATTTTCGAGATTTTGAAGAGGCGTTTTGAACAGCTTTTTTAGTTTTTGATTCTAGAAATAGTTGATGTCAGTATAATAGGCATTTCCGAGTAATAAACGTCGAGCGACAAAATCTAATGGTAATTAAAAGTTTACCTGTACATTGAGTTTTGGATACTTCACGCGTTGTCTGATTCCTAATTTTCGCAGTTGCTTCGTAGCAATATTTCTAATTTCCTCTTTCTTATTTACATCGTTGATAAACATTTTGAAATGTAGAAGTTGAAAACATAAAGAAAGGATTTCCAAATCTTCGAATAAATTAAAAATGTAACTGAAACTTGGTAGTTTTGACTTTTGACAGATATGACATTAAGACATTTATTTTCTTCTTTTTATAGTTCATAAATTATCAAACATTATTTCAGTAACGTTTTTTATTGCATTAATTTATTATAAATCGCTTTTCATAATTAAAGAAAATAATAATGGTGTTAATTTTAAAATATGCAATATTTGATTTCTTGTTCTTTTACAAAGAAAGGATTAAAAGAAAGTGGATGGATCATAATTATGTAAATGATTGCCAATATGACAAATGACAAAATAAGAAGAGAAGGAAAAATAATTTAGGTTATATTTATATTTATAAAAATAATCAAGAAAGGAAAAGAGTAAAAGAATATAGCTTTTTAAAAACTTAGAAAAATGAATCCTCTAACGTAAGTATCTAACCATCATGAGTTACTAAAGAAAGTATGATATTTATAACTAAGCTTATATTATTTCAGAAATATGAAAAATGTTTTGAAATTGAGCGAAAACGAATTAGATAGGAGAAATAAGACTTCCTGGCACGATCAATACAAAGATAGTGCCTGGATATTCGTCGGAGGGTTGCCATATGACTTGAGTGAAGGCGATATAATATGCATATTTTCACAGTAAGTCCTGCTAATTTTTTATAGTCTTCATTAAAGCTTAGTTTGTTTTGGTTTGTTATTTAGGTATGGAGAAATTGTAAATATCAACCTTGTTCGAGACAAAGATACAGGAAAATCCAAAGGATTCTGTTTTATTTGTTACGAAGATCAGAGATCAACTGTACTAGCAGTGGATAACTTTAATGGCATTAGAGTGATTGGACGAATAATTCGAGTTGATCATGTTGCTGAATACAAAGTTCCTAAAGAAAGCCGAAAAAACGATAAATCAGATAAGAATGATTCAAGAAAAAGAGGTAAATACAATTAACAGCAAGTATGTTAACAATGAGTATGAAGTATGAATAAGTATGAAGTAACAAAAATGTTTAATTGTAAATTAGGTTTTTATACTCAAAAATAAATGTATCAAAATGAAATTTATGTTATAGATGCACTCAAATTAAGGGTAAAATAATGTGAATATAAAAAGGACATGTTTAATAATAAGACCATAATTAATTTCTAACTTCTATATTTTTTGCTCCACTTGCCTCCTCACTACATTGCTGATATTTATTAGTAAAATTTGACACCCCAGTATTAACTATTTTTGCGCTACCTAAGCACTCTTGGTTCTTTACAAACACAGCGTATTGACCCTCAGTTAAAGCCCTTTTTTCATTATGTAGTTTAACCAGCAGCCCCTTTTTGGTTTTATAAACCAGACAAGGAGACCATCGTTTTGTATGTTGAAATTTAAAATCGCACTCTAAAATATTATTCGATTTCAACTCTATGGGTTCCGAATGGATCCAATATGGCGGTTCAGTAAAGACCAAATCACTGAAGAGGATCGGATGATCAGTTCCTTGAGCCTATAATATTGAATATTTTTACAGATGGAATACAAACTATTTATTTACATACCACGTAAATAATATTTCTTTCGATATCCTTTCTAGCCACAAAGTAAGCAAGAGGAAGGCCCTGAAGCCTCGATCTTTGCCCTAAAGTCCACTGATGAACTCCACGATGTTGCCCCACGACTTTACCCGTATCTACGTCGACGAAGTCGCCCGGTTTATCTGCGATATACTGAATAAAATTATGTAAATTTGAAACATCAAAATTAGCACCTAAAGTGTTTGAACTTGTGAATTAATTTAGGTGCTTTGATAATCTTACTTCTTGGATGAAAGTTTGAAAGTTTCTGGATCCTATAAAGCAGATGCCCATGCTTTCTGGTTTAAGGGCGATTTTTTCCAAATTATTTTCAATCGCTATATTTTTCACTTGCCATTTTGTTATATTCCCTAACGGAAACATGGTTCTCCTTAAAGCCTCTTGTTTCACCTGACATAGGAAGAAGGTCTGGTCTTTTTTAGTATCTTTCGCTAAGAGTAATCGCACATCTATAAAAATTTTTACAGTAATTTTAAGATTGTTAATTTGGACAGTGAGTTACTTTTATTTGGTTGGTAATTTTCTAAATATGTTCCAAAACTGGTATTTGCATAATGTCCAGTTGCTATTGCATCAACTCCTAAATGATCCATTGCATATTTATAAAAATAGTTGAATTTAATGTTTCTGTTGCATAAAACATCAGGATTAGGAGTTCTACCTGATTCATATTCTTTAACCAACTCGCTAAAACAATATAAAGATTGATTGAAGCTTTAATTCGTGCAAATTTTCGATTTTATTACCAAAATACTAAATTCCAATATTGTTTAACGAAATTCACACAATGAAGTTTTATTCCTATCGAATTACAAATTTTTTGGGCGTCTTCCAAATCCACTTCGCTACTACAAACTCCTTTTTCATCTCTTATATCCCAATTTTGCATAAAAACCCCTTGTACATCAAAACCTACGAAACTTTCCAATTAATTAAAATTCTGTATAATCCTGATGTAAATACCCTTTGTTTTTAATAACATTGCTGCTACAGCACTATCAACACCACCAGATACGCCAATTGCCACCTTTTTAAACATTTCGTAGAATTAGATATATTGGACTAAAGCTAAGAAGTCGATGACGATTTTATTTTTCAATTCTACTTGTAATGCGCTTTCGAAACGTTTGATACTTTCTTCGTTTCTTGGATCCAACTTTTTGAAATGTTCGTTTATTAGTTTATAATTATCTGAAAAATAATTAACGAAATCTAATCCCTCTTGAAGGATCCTAGTTAAAGGAGGTTGGAAAGCAGTTCCTTTCAATAAATCGGATTTTTCTTCCCAGTCCAAATTAATCGTAGATTTTTCTAATATGTGCAGTTTATTTTTTATTTCTTGATTGGATAAATTCAGTTGATTTCTAAAACAACATAAGAAGAGGGCAAGAGAAATAAACGTATAACAAAATCAATTAAATGCACTTACATTATATTTTTTATCAAAATTATTTCTTCTTCGATGCCTTCGGATATCTTGAATAGAAGCTTTTCCTTAAGTTCTTCGAAATTGTCAATATATTTAATATTAGCCCTAGTAGAAATAATAACAAATTATAAATAAATAACATTTGTAATGAATTAATTTAATTGAAAAAGTAATAGTTATAAACTTACTGTTCAACGTGACGCAACTGTTCACAGTAATTAATTAAGGCTCGTAAGGGTTTTGCTGATTCCTTTAAAAGGCTTGACCATTTACTTGTGTGTTTTTCTAATATTTTACAAAAATTGGAAATATATTCTCCAGTTTGATCTTCAAAATTTGGTTGCATATTTAAATAACATACCTAACCTACAATAGTTTATAATTCTTCTCTTTCCAAAAGATTAAAAGTTACTACTTTCGTTTAAAGTAAAAGGCTTTTCTTCATTATCCAAAACGACTAGTGTAATGAAGCTATTCAGTTTCTAAAATTAAAAGGGTAAAAAAATCCTGAATCAAAAAGATGAATAATAATAAAACTTTTTGACAAATGTGTCATTTTATCCAATAATTTGTTCATTCCAAAAATGGTCTTGCGCAAAAATATTTTTCCCAGAACCAAAGGCGAATATCTCTCAACGGGCAGCAACGTAATTTTTACCCCGCTAAATTATTATGTCTTCAATTTCGTCGTTTTGCCCCAATATTGGACCATGTGGTCGGAGGAGTACACCAAGCACTTCATCATCAGCTCCTTCTTGACCTTCATGATGTGCTCGAACATGCTGGCACTGGTCCTTTGCGATACCACCGTCAAAGGGAGATTCCCCGCACTAAATAAAACCCGAAAGGACGAGTGGAAGTACTGCGACAAATGCCAGACCTCCATGCCTCCCAGGTCGTGGCATTGCACCATCTGCAACACTTGCATCCTGAAGAGGGACCACCATTGCTTCTTCACCAGCTGCTGCGTGGGATTCCACAATCACCGGCATTTCATGATGTACTTGTTCTACACAGCGCTTACGACAATGTACGCTAGTTACTTCAATTTCCGATACGCTTACGACACCACGGACGTCGAGTACACGTGGATGACTCTGGTGAAGCTGTTATTCCCGATGCTGAGCGTGTTCTTCATCAAATGGTCCTTACACCATCTCTATTTGTTGGTCATATTCGAAACGTTCGCATTCGGTTTGATGTGCTGTTTCATGCTGGTTTGGTGTGGATATTTCATCTCGAGAAACATGGTGATATTTGATAAAGAGCACTCCAAACGGTACAGAAAGAGCGTGATGGAGAACGTGCAAGTGGTGTTTGGAAGAAAGTGGTATTTGGTGTGGCAGGGACCTTGGGTGTCGAGTGAGCTACCCTGTGATGGTACTCACTGGGATAAATACATGTAATCGGAATTGAAAAATAAATTTTTGCAATCAGTTCATTTCAGAATATGATCAGAGTAATGGTATCATGGTAATCATGGTAATCATGGTAATGGTCGGCGGACCTATCGCTCACATCGAATTCTCGTTCCTTTTCTAGTACACTACTCATATATAGATGGATTTATTTTAGTTTGCAATATATGAGAGATGATATGAGCCCATATTTATAAAAATGAAGCATTTACTTTAAAGTAAATGGTAGAAGAAAAATGTAACGGAAAAAGGTTTTAGAACCATAAAACTTTTTGCTTTGAAGCAAAGCAGGGTCCTCGAAGCAAAACCTCTTCCTTCGCACTTCTTTTTAATGCTTATCCTGAAGTAATTCCTTCATTTTTTGAAAGCGGAAGGTTATTTCTCTTTATAAATACGGTCTATTGACTATTGTGTCAAAGTTGCAATTGCAACTTTGCACTCTAACAACTTTATTTTAAAAATATTTCTTTTTCAACTCATAGAATTGACCATATTGCAAATTGAAATACACCATAGGCGAGAGTTCGGGGTGAGCGATAGGTCCCCGCCAACCATCAAACAATTTGTCCTACTAAACTAAAAATAATTCCCCTCACTGTATAACAACAAAGTTTAGGTCAAAACACGTATCTTATTAAGTGCAAAGAGAAGAAGAAATGACATATGCCTTTAATTTTTTTAAATTTCTAACCTAAAACATTCAAAAACTATATAATGTTGAAGTTAATTAGTTTACCCTTACCGACAGTTTCGTTAATATTTCTAGCTGTAACATTAATTCCTTGTTACATTAAATATAAGAAATTAAAGAAGAAATACAATGAACAAGTTCTATTTAAAGAACGACATAATTGTGTTGTTATGTATACAGCTCAGTTAGGAATGAAAGGCTGGCCGCCTTCAGAAGCTCGTATTTGCCCTAATATTATCGAAAAGGACTGTTTAGATAGGATGTACGAGCCGATACTTTACTTTATAAACACGTCTGTAATCACTTTAGATATTGCTTATATGATGATTTCGATAAACAAGATTTACGATGCTTTATTCGAGGCTCGCAAAAGAGGCGTTGAAATAAGATTAATCATGAATTTCGATCACTGTAAAAGTGATCTTTCAAGTATTAGAAAATGCATTAATCAAGGTACATCAGCCATTTGAGAGGGGAATACAATTTAAAGCTATTTTTTTAAGGTATTAAAGTACAACTCTACATATCGAAGAAAACTAATCTTGAAAGCATCATGCATTACAAGTCGATGTTAAAAGATTACGAGGAAAACAAACAAGGATATGTTATGGCCGGTTCTATGAATCTGACAAAGACAGCATTTTTGGACAATTATGAAGACTTAGTTTTTATGTCTGACCTTAATATTGCTAGAGCTATTCATACCAACTTTGAGAAATGTTGGAGATACATCAAGACTGAAAATGAAAATTTAGTAAATAAATCCACTCTTATGGAACTGAACATACTGGGTAACTAGCATTTTAATTATATTATGTATAATATTGAAGAGTTGGATTGGTTTAATGTTTATTAAAAACTTGGATTTTTGGAAAACTTTCTTTGACTATTCTGAATTTTCCATCTATCTACAGCTCTCTAATTAACATTGATTACTTGATTAGTTAGTACTAATTCTGTTTCTCTATTTTATGTTTTTCTATTAAAGTTTCTATTAAATTTCCAGAAGATAATTAGTTTATACTCCACTTCAAATAACGGATGTAAGTAATTTTATAATTACTTTATAGTTGTGTTTAGCGGATTAACAGACTAGAGGAAAATAGAAATTGAAATTGCCAGAACATATTCAATGTTACTGTTACTATTTTAAATTAGTTCAGCTAACAAGATTTTCTAATTTAGTTTTAATTACTTTTACGTCTCCGTTGTTCTGAACAATTGCGCGGAATTAAAAAATTTCTGAGTAATGAAATTTTGTGAGAATCACACATAATAGGAGTTTTTAATGAAATACTTGAGTTTCACAATAATTTTTTAATAAAAAATAATCTATGTACAATAAACTAAATACAAAGATAACAGTATTTACAGGAGTATTAAAAGATATATTGACGTTCAGTATAAAAAAGACAAAAATGTTTTTAAATAATAATTATAAATATAATTTCAATATATCATAACCAATTAGATATATTAAAGAATACTCAAAAAAAACTCTTAAAATTTTTGTTAAAATTGTTAATAAATTATGTTTCATAGTTTTTAAAATATGTTTCAAAAACAACAATAATTTCATTTTTTGTTTAGAATGTATAATAGAATATGAATGAAAATATAAGTCTTTGAAATATACTGAATGCATTTAACGATTGCAATCGTTGGAAGCGACAATAAATTAGCCCCAGTCACATGTAAAAAAACCAAAAATAAATTGGTGAAAGTGCGTATACAAATAGTAGGTATATTTGTTTATAAATTGCGGGGATCGAAGCTTATAGTAAATATTTGTGAATCTGAAGGATCCTATTTTTTGTGTACTATAGGTTCACTACAATTTTCAGCACTGAATTTTTGCTCCCTTGATTTGTATTACTTATGTGAAAGAGACTCTAGACCCACGAGGTATTTTCGTTCCAACTTCACATACCTCTAACAATGAGTCATTTATCTTTTTATTATTACCTAAAATGTGGTTCACTGGTTTAGTAATAATCGGTAATACTTATATACCAATTTACAATCAGTTTTGTTCTTATTTAACTAATTATAACTAGGTTTGTTCCAATAACAGACAGAAGCATTTAGCATAGATAGAATTGGTTTGGGCGTCATCTTCTGCTAATAATTAATTTCTACATTTAAAGTTAATAATTATGAAGGATTTTTTGGCAATTGTATCACAAAATATTTATACACCTAAATGTTACGAGCAAGTTCTGAATGAAATGTAAGTTTACCATTACACTAAAATCTGATTATTTCTGAGAGGAGGAACAAACCCATCGGAAAAACCAAACGGTTAGCGGAGGAATTGGTCATGCATGATTGAATACTCGGAACATCCAATGATTTTTTTCTAAACATTTAAGTACAACATCTTTTTCCGCCCATTCAAATATCTCACGTTGTCCCCCATTCGAACGGTAAGCGGCCTCAGTTCTTCTCGGATATCGTGCCTAAAGTACTGGTCGCGGGCTTATCGGGCCTGTCCTCCGAACCGAACGTGGCCAACGGATTCACCGTGATGTTGGGGCGAGATTTCGCCGGCCCTTCCAGGAAGAACGTCTCCATGGTTCCTTTACCTTTGACTTTTATGGTGCCCCTGCATCTGGTCGGGTAACCCTTTGCTTGGAGGATCTGGTTCACTTCCCTTGTTATCTGCAAGGAATAAGAAGACATGGAAAATTGCTAAATAAATGGATGGCAATTGAAGGAAACTTGAGAGTTTTGATTGATAGCAATCAATGCTATGCTAAGCATAGCATAGAGGGTCAGCACTATTTATACGCAGTTGCAAAACCTGGGGAAGAATGTTTTTAGATCTAAAAGATCTAGACACAACAAGGGCCTTGGAATTCTAACGTTCACATTTATTGGTGAGCTCTGGCAGGAACAATGACCTTACAACAGAGGGAAAACTACAGAAGATCCTATGATGAGGTGGTTACATGGTTGAATAGACCTGTGCTACCTGTTTTTTTGTGTTATACACCAAACGTAGTTTTTTTGATGAAACTATAATATTTGCACTTACTTGGATCTTATCCTGAATACCGGTGCTGTCCATCCTGCTGGCCACGTTGACCGCGTTGCCCCATATGTCGTACTGGGGCTTCCTGGCGCCGATTACGCCCGCCACCACTGGCCCCACGTTGATGCCTATCCTGATCCGGAAGTGATTGAACGAGTGCTGGTTGACTTCTTCGAGGAGATCTCTCAGCCTTAGCGCGTAATCCGCCATGGCGCTCACGTGCTTGTAATCCGTCATATCGCACGTGTTCTGCGTTAAACCTGCAGTAAATTTTTAACAAAAATATATTATTAAGGCTGTCGCTTTCGTCGCACTGGGGGATATATAAAAAGAGAAATGGCTTTAGAGGTATTTGCTAATGTGTTGGTAAAGTGGCGGATTACGGATTTAGTTCGGACGTTGATGTAGCGATGGACATGTATTATTGCATTAAATGTGTTTTTTTAATTTTGAAGAGCTTATTTTTAATGAATATTCATAATAAATTTTATAGTAGGGTACATGATTTTAAAAAGTCAATGAGCTTAATTTTATATGTATAAACTACTAATGGGCTCATCGATTTTCCAAGCGTACTGCTCGCTGTTAAATATTTGTACAGCACCCGTCTATCAAATTTAATTGAAGATCGCATAAACTTTTTAAATTTTCTCCGCATTATTCCCGTCCGAAAAGAAATTGCTTCTCTGACAGATCGACGAATGTTTAAAGAAAAAAAAGTAACTATACAGATATAAAAGGAAACGACGAACTAATAATTGAGTTTTCGTTTGATATTTTCCCTTTTTATTTCTCCGAATGAAAATTTGTAATTGAATTCGTTAATGAAAATTCCACCGTTGTAAAATAATTTAAATCCCCCGAGCGAGCGCTCCCTTCCGATTCGAACGGCTTCCGCCGTAATTACGTGAAATATTTTAGGAACGTTTTTAACTAATTATTTTCGACTAACTATACTCGAGTAAGGTGAATTGTTCTGGAATTCAACAAACAAAAAAACGAGACTAGCGGTATGTACGGGATTAATGGAAGAGCACTACTAACCTGAGGCTGCCATGTAGGTAGCGCCGGTGCTTTTGATTTTTTCGATGTACTTGAACTGATCTTCGGAGAGTAATTCATCGAAATCGGCGATGATTTCGTTGAGCAGCCTCAGGCACTCGACGCCCTCGTTGTTCGCCTCCAATTCCACGTAGAACTCCGAGAAATTCGGTATCGATGCGAACATTATGCACACAAAGTCGCACTGCTCGTGGTAGAGTTCCTGACGACAAGAGTAAATTAAGCGCCAAAAAAGAAATTTACACGCGAATCGCTTACATCGTTATTTTTCTCGCTGTTGAGAAAATGCTCTGCTACGTGAACGGGGAGTATATTTGCCAATAGCTTTCTGTTGTACGCTTCCAAGTGTTCCATGTCCTCTTTCTCCTCTACAAACCAATTAATTAATAACTAGCTATTTAGGTTTGTTCATCCTTAATCCTTATTAATTATATAGGTATTTTGAATTACCTGTAGCTTGGAGTTTCCACACGAAATCTAATCGGTATGTCGCTTCGGTTTGTTGCCCGTGCAAAATTAGAGCTATCACGAATGCCGCTAATACTATGACATTCATGTATTGGTACGTAAAAGATACTTCGCTAAAAACAATTAAATTCCAATTAAGCCAAATTTAATATAGTCTCATAATTGCGTTCTGATTTAATTTCGCCCCTTCTTAATAATCGTAGGTAGATATTTGATATTTGATGAGTTAAACTAATGAACGCGGTCGCTTAGGCGTGAAATAGCTGAACTCACCTGGATCTGTAGAGACAAGTAATTGACTGCACGCCTTTGTTGTAAATTACGTAGGCCAGGAGAAAACCTGTCATCCCGCCTAGTAGGATGACCGTTTTCAATAAGGAGATTAGAATTTGATAGACGGCGCACGCTATCATGGAAACCATCACCAGCAATAATAAATACTAGAATATTACAAAGATCAAAAATGAATAATTTAAAAAGTACCAAAAGTGAAATTTAACAAATACTTACATCGACTAAGTAATAATGTTTACAGCCTTTGTTTTCGTTCGTATAATTTAATAGATCGTTTGTACAATTGAATTCTTCGAAAGTAGAATTTAAACATTGAATTTCGAATGAGAGTGAGAACTGAAAAAAGAGAAAATAAAAATTTCAATAATGCAAATCGATACTGTAGGAAAAATGCCTGATTACCGAAGAAACTTTGTTACCTGCTATACACAAACTTCAAGTAAATTAATGCCAACTTACCGTTTGAAACATAACTAAGGCGTAAATGGACGCCGCCATTATGAAACAAAATATTTGAGCGATGTTCCTGTTCTTGTGAATGGTTCTCGATACCAAAAACAAACTCGAAAAACCTCTCTAAAAATAAAAACAAAAATTTTATCTACTCTACGCTATATTTTCCAGGACACTTACCCTTTGTTTAATACTGTTCATATAAACCAATATTGGGATGAAAACTAACAAGAATAAAATAGGAACTGAACACATCAAGGCGGTATTATTCCTAAAAAATACAAAACTTTCATCATAAACATACATCACACTTTCTCATTAAAAATCCTAAAGCGTTTCGAATATCGAACTTTATCCCAACATTTCTCTCGTCACATCTTCGTGTTTGTGAAACCGTTATTTCCCCCCGTAATGAAACGTTTTCCCCGCCGTTTGAGTAATTTATATCTCAATAACTCCCCTTAGTGTAATCGAATCAAACACAATGTAGTCGTCGAAATTTCACCGTAAATTAAATAAACAAATTAAAATCGGTTTCTGCCGTTGAAACTAACAAAACGTTGTTTGTGAGAACGGAGAAACAGCCGAACTAAATGCGTTGTTGTTAGCTCAAGGGGTGGAAATGGATATAACCGAGCAAATTAGCAAAATAGCTAAATGTTTAACTAACCATATACTCGATACTCATATGCACGGTAGTTATATTTGGTTGTTGAGTTTAGTTCGGTATACATAGTTTTGAATTCTTTGAATGAAATTGGACAAGTACAGGAATATTTAGCAAATATTAATTTTAATAACAAATTTAATAACTTACCTTCTAAACACCGCTAATTGAACTAAAATAATTGTGATAAAACACATCGTAGAACAAAAAAAATACATAGTGAGCATTCTATCCTTTTCTAACATAAACTGAAAAGAAAGTGCCGTATTAATTACTTGAATTATGCTATAATAATTATCATTATTTGTTTAAATTATATGTATAAATACCTTAGCCTCTTTGGTAGGATCTCTAAAATTAAGTAACAACGTTCGACAGTGCTCTGTCCTTAATCTATCGATACTTCTGGCATCGATTGCCTTCATCAGGTACTCGTTAACTTCATCTTCGGGATTCTTCTCTCTTTCCACGGGCTCCCCGAAACCAAGCCTATATTAATAAAAGAAAAAAAGTAATACAATTAACTAAAATCAGATATTTAAGCGCCAATAGGGCCAAAATCCTTCAGAACACCTCAGGATAGTCGGGTATTAATTGCCAATACGGATCTGTTTATTCAGGTTCCCTATTTAACACCTTTTTCTTGTACCTACTTACTTTGAAGAATGTCCATGTTGGGATCCGTGACCCATTATCCTCATCTCCTTTGCTATGTTGCCGTTCATTGGGTGGCTCTGATAAGGGATCGTCGTATCCTGGAAAAGCGTAACACAAAGCATTGTTATCTCATCTCAAACGCACGAAAATGGAGACTTTATATTTTCCCACAAATTAATAATTATAAAAGGTAGTGGATTTTCTAGTAAAGACTTCGGGATGAAATTTTATTGGTTTTTTGACACATAACATTGATCTGAAAAATTGATATGAAAGGGTCGAGTTTTGTTCAGTTTTGGCTTTAAAATAAAGTTGGAAAGTTTTTTCACTGCATGTTTTGAGCAAAACTTCTACTAAAACTGGGTTAAGGACGAACTATTCCGAGCGCCATAGCCAGGACTCACTATTTAATTTTTCTACCACTTCGCGCAAAGTATTTAATTTTCACTCTTCATGAGAAAAACCATAGCCTCTAATAACATATTTTTCCTACACTCGTTTAATTTGAAACACACGGTATACAATAATGTTTTCTAAGCATGCAGAAGACTTGAGATTTATACAGCGGAGAAAGCGGAGTCCATTAAGAACGAGCTTGCTTTCCAATTTTTCCATTTTCCCCGAAACGTTTAGCGTTTTTCGCCTAAAGAGTTTTTGGAGGTTTTCGCCGTTTATCCAGCAAATGCTACGCCTAAGTAAATCGTCTACATCGCTTCGACATTTCGTAATGCCTCCTCGTTTTATTACTGATACTTTTTGTTATTGCCTATTCCATCATTGCAAATATTTTTTTTACCTTTACCTATACACAAAAATATAGTTGGAAAATAGACTACTGGAGAAATAGAATTGGTGTTGTGAATAAAAAATCATGAGTTTACTTAGCACATCCACCAAAATTTAAAATGCATAATATAGAAAGATTAAAAATAGAAAAGGCACGGTAAATTTTTTATGCCCTTTGTCGAGACGATTTTTCCAAGTCGATTTCTTGTTAGTCGTCTAAAAATAACCCATCGATTAATCCGCAAACAAGCAGCATCGAATTCGTCGGATTCACTCCACCTGCGTCACCTAGAAATCTGACGAATATTCTTTTGTGCCTTTTTTCATTAATGAGCAAACGTGCAACTGAGACGTTCTCTCGTTACCTAACGCTTTTTTTATCACCGTCTGGTAGGTACCCACGTCCCGAGATAAAGACGAATCTCGGCGAAAAATAGGATGAAAGGGGGATTTAAAGAGGACTTTTATTCGAATACAAAAGGGTATCCGAGTAAGGCGTTTTTTGCGTTAATTTGCCAGTAATAACTTACCCCTCTGTACGACGGCGCTACAATTAAATACGTATTTATATTGTGATCCTTCAGATACGAGTTTCTTTCTCCCCCGTTACCCGGCTCTACGACGTAGTCGTTTCCTAGACACTTCAAAGTTTCTTTGGTGATGTGAACTCGTCTACAGGACAGATATTTTCATAATGTACTCGCAATAATAAGGAGTATGCACAAGTTTATTATAACGAGCTCTATATTACGTTTATTGCAGTAACATGTTCGGAACTTCGCACGCGCAACGTAAAAATGTTTTCCAGTTTTCCAAAAGTATTTTTAGAATTTTTATCAAAAATAACAAACTTGTATAAGCCAAGAAATTGGTAAAGTTGCATGTAAAATTTTGTGAAATCATCTGAATAATCGATAGATTTAGTAATGTATTCTAAAAAAAACGTAAGCTTGTAAAATCTTGTAAAAACATCTAAAAATTTCCACTAATTTGGCGAATTTATGATTGATTTAGCGAATTTAGCGAATTCTAAATAATCATCAAATTGACTCGTAAAATCTTTTAAAATCATCGTAATATTCGACTAATTTTAATATAATATTCAAAAACTCGTCATGTTGTAAAATTTTGTAAAAACATAAAAAAAATACTAATTTCGTAAAGGATCATTATAAACGACTAGCAGATAATTCAAAATGCTAAGTTAATTTTCCAAGTAATTAATCCAAATGCATAATAAGAAAATAAATTTTCGGCTAAAATAAAAAATGCACTGTAATTTAATAAATGTTCGGTTAAAAATCAACATGCTCGGTTAAATAATAAATATTCGGCTAAATAAAAATGTGTTCAATAATTTAATAAATGCTCGGCAATAAATTAATAAGCTCTTGAAAATAATAAATATTAGGCAAAAAATGTAGATGCTTGATAGGAGGGAAGACGGGAGTAACAGAGGGTAGGAGGAGGTAGGGAGGAGTAGAATAGGGTAGGAGGGGGTAGGAAGGGTTATGTAGAAGAAGGTAAGTAGGGGTAGAGTAGGGTAGAATAGGGTAGAAGAGTGTAGCGTAGGGTAGGGGAGTGTAAAAGGGGGGAATGGGGGTAGGCAGATGTTAGCGGGGTGTAGAAGAGGATAGGTAGGGGTAGTGAAGGGGTAGAGGAGGATAGATGGGGGCAACGATGGTAGTAGAGGGTAAAGGAGGGTAGAAGAGTATAGCGTAGGTTAGAGGAGTGTATTAGGTGGGGGAGCGGGGGTTGGTAGAGGGTAGCTGGGGAAGAAAGGGGAAATGTAGGGTAGGGGAGCGGAGCGTGGGTTAGCGGAGCTTAGAGTAGCGGAGGGTATCATTGCGTAGGGTAGCAGGGGATAGGTAGGGGGTAGCGGAGGTTAGAACATGGTTGCGGAGGTTAGATGAGTGTAGCGGAGTGTAGATGCAGGGTAAAGGGGGTAGTGTAGAGTAGTGTAGAAGGGAGTATCGGGTGTTAGGCGGAGGATATCGAGGGGTATGTGGTGTTAGTGGAGGATAGAAGAATTTAATTAAAAATAGTTACCGAGCTTTTTTATTTTTTTATAATGCAAAATTTCAATTAATACTAAACGTAGATTACCGAGCATTAATATATTTTTTAGTGCAAATTTTAATAAAATATTGAACGTTATTTACTATGCAAATTGAATATTTTGTATTGCGATTTTTTAATAATCATTAGGCATTTTTCATTATTCAACCATGCATTTTTAATTTTTTAACCGAACATTTAATTTTTTTTTGCTGAGCAAAATGCATTTTTCAGCCGAACCTAAATTCCCACGCTTTAGTAAATAATTCTAAATAATCGTCAAATTCGTAAAATAGTATCGTAAAATCTTTTACAATCATCTGAATAATCGACTAATTTAAACTAACTCAAAAAATCTTCATATTTACTTATTAAATCTTGAAAAAAATAACCTAAAAATTAAATAATCACAAATACGAATTTTTGAATGCGAACGTTTCAGCAATTGTATCATAGTCACATTCTAATCAAGTTTGGTGACGTAAAACATAAATGTTCAGAACATATTTGGAACATGCTGCTGCAACAAAACCTATTACACAATACGGGCATTATTATGCACATTTTCACTCACCCCGGTATTCCTCCGCTTTCCATATAATTGGCCAGCGTAACGTCATTAGACCAGACGTCGAATTGCCATTTTCGAAGTCCCAAGACACCGCAATGTACTCGCCCTGTATGTATTCCCACTCTCATGTTAACGTTGACGTTCATTACTCCTCTCACTAATCTGTAACGAAAATGAATTTCCTTATTATTTATAAGCCGCTATTTATCGGAAGCTCTGCAAATATTCTTTTAAATGTACGAATTGATCTGTCCGAGGTAACTTAACGTTGGAAATAATTCTTCGTCCGGCGCGATCATGCAAAAAGACAAAATAGAAGGAAAAATCGCTTAAATTTTTTATTAGCAATCTCTCGAGTTTCCGTTCCCGGAGTTTCCGGATCACTACGCACCTAATATGGCTTTATATATATATATTGGTTTGTTCGACGATTACGTCCCAATGGTGATATCGGTGAACTTATACGGCTCCGAGAAAAACGGATCCAATCTGACGGAAAAATTCATCTTAGTTCCTTCCACGTTCAAATTTTTAAGTACATAATACATTTGTCGAAGAAAAATTGTTTCCAATAAAGGAAACCATTATTTCCAGAAATAACATTTGTTGTCATAAAGAATTATTATTGGCAAAGTAGAGACTTTTGTATATCTTTATGATTCACTTCCTTTCAAAACTGGGTAATATGTATACCTATGTGTATAATAATGGCTTAGTAAAAACTTCAGCAATTTGTATGATTTTAAAAATAGAAAATCCAAAATAGACGGAAATAAATTACATTATCTAGTTATGATCAAATTAAGTCCCACTAAGTATACAAAACAAAAATTAGTAGGTATTTTTAATAGTAATTGTATTTGAAATTTTTGCTGGATCATCCTCTATATACTTACGCTATTGCATCAATCATGTCCAGTCCCATTTCGACGGTGCAATGGGCATGATCTGGTCTAGCTTCTGGTAAACCGGAAACGCAATAATAACAATCTCCCAGTAGTTTTATCCTGAGGCAATGATGCTCGGCAGCCAACCGATCGAATCTAGAATAATATGAGTTACAAAGAACAAGAAAACTTATCGAAGGAATTCCACGATCACAAAAATATTAGATATAAAGGGGATTAATTAATTAATTGCCGATACTTTAGGATGTGAATATTTTCTGTTTCTATAAGAATTTTTTGTTCTAGAATCTGCTTGAATAAAAAATGGTACGCCACTGCTTTTTCTAGAAACCATAATTATTTCTAAAATCCTCATTATAATATAATATAAACCAAAACAATTTTTTCCCAAGTTCATTGAGACTGCTTTTGATATCTTCTTGAAATTTGATAGGCCATCACCATTCATGGAAACACTTTTTTGGGGACAAAAATTAATTTTGTCTACTCTAACTATTACCAGTGACATCTACGTCCGAAATTTCTTAAAAATATATGGAGTAATAAGAAAATTAAATTATGAAAGAAAAGTATTTTTTTCTAAAACTGTAACACCCTGTAGCTCGAAAACTAAGAGGTTTATGACATACATTGATATAAACTATTTTTCTTAAAATCACCCAAATATTCACATCCTGAAGTATCGGGATTCAATTAATTAACACCCTGTATGCATGAGAGTATAAAATATGTCAATATGACCATCACTATGACCATCACTATGTCTATCAATAGGACCATCACTATGACCATCACAAGATTAGTAATTTGGCTTTTATAAACATCTTAATTGACCATTCTTGCACTTTCACATGAAAAATTTAATTACGTTTGTACTAAGTGGGGCTCAATTATAAATGTAAGAATTAAAAGTATTCGTGGCTTTTTTAAATGCTCTTCGTATTTGTATACTTACCGCGCAAACAGCTCATTTAGTATTCGGACGAGTTCCTCGGCTGTGCACTGATCAGACAGAGTCGTGAATCCGCATATGTCGGCGAAGAGAATACTGGAAACGTAAGAGGAAAAGGATGATAAAGAAAGCGAACGGATTGTTTGTGTGTCATTTCTTTAAAATACGCCACACGAGCGGATTTAATGTAAATAGACGAGTATAGTACTTATCGAGCACTCCAAAGAAGTTTAAAAGTAGTAGAGTAGAAATGTGACCCTTGAAGCTGGATTCAGATTCAAATTTACAAACCTACACATATGACTAGACTACCTACTAGTAATCAAAGCGAAGCAGTACAGCACCATCAGGTAATTATAATTTCCTCAACAAGCATCTTATAGTTATAGAAGTTAGAAGCCAATTTAACAAGCCGGCCTATTCCATCAAATCAGCTCAAAATGTATAATAATCCTCTCTAGATTCTTAGTTTATGTACATGCCTATGTGCAGTTTGTATAACTCACAAAGTACAAGCTTTGTTAACAACAAACTCATTAAAAAACCAATACATATATCGAATGCCAATTTACATTCGTAATGTTGATGTTAATATCATTATAAATCTATCACAATTACGCAATTAAACCATAACGAATGAACAAACAAACCAATCGATGCTTCGATAATAAAATAAAAATAAAATTACTGGCACAATAGAAGGGAAAAATCGAGCGATTTTCCAATTGCTCCTTGTTGAAATGCGCTCGGGTAGCGATGTTTTATAAGATTTCCCGTTTCACGAGCGAGTCAACAAGTCGCTTGTGCACCAAACAGAGAGAAAACCCACCAAAATATCCAGCCAATTAAAAGGGAACGCCAAAGAAAAACATAATGGATAATGGAGTGTTGCGAGGGTAATAACAATAAAATAATTTTTGCGCGGCTGCCCGATGAAAAATCGGTTTTTGCAGCTAACGAACGTGACCCAGTTCAACAGCGCGGTTTTCTGCTATTTTTTAATCTGCCGCTGAATCATCAGCACGTCAGCAGATGGACTATTTAATCTCTTGTGTTATACCGTTAAATAAACGGTTTATGCAGTTGTAAAAATCCTTGCTATTCGAATTTTTTATTTTCATGGAAAATATCGAAATGAGATAGAAAATTTTCGAGTAGCGATGAGAGAGAAAATTGCGACAAAGCATTCAGTAATCCTTTACTTATAACTCATCACTAATGTCGAGTAATCCGGACTACGGATTAACGGAGCAACTGGATAAAAAATATTAACGGATTCCTCGTTCCACTCTCGGGAATTTATTCGAGAAGAAGGGAATAAATCGTCGTTATAATTAGTATTTAAAAACTCGGAAATACAATGCAATTATTTCGGGAAAATTATGATTCAAAGTAGATATAAAGTTTCTTGTTAATTTCTTAGAAATCTGAGAATTAATAGCATTACAATAATACAATTTTAAGTGAAAATACCGCTTAATTTTCATTTAATAATTTTTTGGTACATTCTAGTAGGTACTTACCTACCTACAGAATGTCCAGAAATTAATAAGGAACCTTGTTTGTTGTTGACAATAAACTTCCTGTCCTAGATTATGCATGGAAAACCCAATAATGTATGCAACAGAGTTAATTTCAATCTACCTGCTAACGTCCATATGCTCCTGAAAACAGGATTTATCCCTACAGGAAGAGATTACTTACGCCATCCAATCGAGAGCCGCAGTTTAACTATTGTTAGAGTTACTAGCTGCTAACTAAAGATGCGAGATTTTCCACAATAATTTTCCCAGAATCATCGCTTATTTATTACGTTCTCCGTTCAATCGCTTTTCTTATATCATAAACGTTAATGGATTGTTTCGAATATTGAATGGCTTAATAATTAATTAGATATCGCTTTAAACGGAATCGACTTCGAATGGTTCGGAGGGTTTTGTTTAATTATTCCTTAACAATGGGGATCCCTTCATCGCCGATATTCCCGAGAGAGGGTGCTCGAAAGAATTCGGAGGTAGGGAAATATTTCCACCGTTATTGCAAATATATTAACAACTAATGAAAGGGAAAGCGTTCGCTTCTCGAGAGTTATACACGAATTAAATATTAGCTGGGAAATACAAACGAGATTGGATAATGATAAATGATCTCTGGCGCAAATAAAATATGGACAGCGAGAAGCTTCTAATTCGAATAAGCCAATTTAAATTGTAATTTCACTAATCGATCTGATAACCGCTATCGAAGGAAAGGGTCCGAATAATAAAAGAAAAGCAAGAATAATCCACTTTCCCAGAAGTTGTAACTCAATTTCAGAAGTCTTTTATATATTCGTCTTAACGATCTCTAACCCCCTACAAATATAATTCGCGAGGATGAGCTTTCAGTGGCGCCATAAAATATTTTTTTCCAAAAAATCTCACCCACTTTACGGAATAAATCTAACTTAGTGGCCATAGAATGAAGCAGTTTGCATATAGTAAATCTGCATTTTTAATATCGTAAACTACCGTGTGTATGCTCGATATTACAAAGTACGAGCATAAATTACAAAGATGAGCAAGTAGAGAAAATTAGCCGGAGAAAAACGACCCAAAGAAAAACTAAAAAACAAAGATTCGACGTACTTCTTAATTAAACGAACCGCCTCTGTTGGAGCCTAAATAATAATACGGCAGGAAAGTCAGGGATAATAAAAAACAATGCCGCATCGAAGGCAAAGTTAAGTTAGAGTAGTCTCAAAGGAGATTTCTCTAAAGAGAAAGGAAAACGACGTCTTTACAATTTATACCCGACGATAAAGTCGAACGGGGACGATTTATTCGAAAAACGCTATATCAGTTTTTATTTAATATCAAGAAATTATGTGAAAATGTCTACTTAATGAATTAATTCAACCCTGAGTTTACTATTGATGTGTTTGACAAAAACATCATTTCATAGAAAATGTTTTAACTTCCAAGTTTTCTGTTGTGTTGTTGCTGAAACTTTTATACATTGAGCGATATTAGACATTTATCACATCACACGAACCCGAACGCCGCAGAAATTTCAACTGTAAATTCAATTTTTCTCCCATATACAGTAGCATCTTTTTCACTATAATTTACTTTCTCTCATCTTTTATTTACCCAATTCAATTCCGAAACTCCTTATGTAAGTATTTTCACCATAACTACGTATTGCTATTCGAATAAATCCAATTTATTAGTGCTTTTGCAAGTGCAACTCACCTCACATTCTCGTGTTTTTGTATGTAAATTTTGTGAAACTGCTCCTGCTTCGGTTGGCCGGCAATATCTGCTTTCATTTCCATCGCGACATGACGCGGCAAAACAGACAGCAGCAAACGTTCCTTGATAAAAACAAACATAAAGGACGTAAAATAAATTCAATCAGACGCGAAAATGCAGAAAAATGCGACTTTTCCGATTCTTTCTTAAGAGACCTCTTTAATGTGTACATTTCCCAAAAAAATAACACCCGGTATAACAACATTTCCTAAGGAAGCAAAGGGTATTAAAGTGGCGCAGTCGAATCTACTAGTAATGGAAAATTAATCGATGTAACACTAGAATCAATCCGAACAAATATGTAATCTTCCATCGAAATGCTCTCGAAATATTTATCTACTCCTTCGGATATCCGTTCCTCCATCTCATGCTTTTATTACCTTTAAGAACCCTTTCGGAGACGGCGGAACGATTCCTCGGAGTCGCTACGACGAGCGAGGCCTTTTGGGGCCCATTCAATAGACCGATTCGGACCGGGAGAGTTCTACATCATGCACCGTCTCTCTACCTGTTGAATGGAATTTCGGTTTAGATAAGGCACCAAAGGACCCCCGCACATGATAACGGCCTAGCCTAGCGAGCTCGAATTAATTTTGCCGAACGGTAGGTAGACGCACGGATTTTAATCAAATATTCATTTCGATTTCCCCCGAAACGATTATCTAGATTGCTTCCATAGGAAAGTCTTGTTTATATTTCAACGACTTATGTATTAGATTTGTTCCAGCAGCATGTTCTGAACTTAACTCGTATGCGCACAATGTAAACATGTTCCTGGAAGTGTTTCTGATATTTTTGATAAAATGTTTTGCGTTCTTGAAAAGCATTAAAATTGTTTGTAAAAATCGACTAGATTGATAAAATTCTCTAAAAAAATCATCAAGTTTACTTGTAAAATTCTCACTATTCTCTTCTCTTTACTCTCCGATCTCTACTCTTTACTTTTTATTCTCTACTCTCTTCTTAATACTTTCTCACTACTTTCATGCACAAAATGTTCTCTCTACTTTTATGGACAAAAATTTCATTAAATTTTTATAATTAGTACTGCATCAGTCATTTCCTTATCAAGTTTCAGAATATATTTGGAAATATGCTGCTGGAACAAACATGTTATGTAATTTCAATTTGGATATTATTTATGTGTTACTAATGTAACGAAATATGTACATAGATTTCTTACTTGTTGTTGATTTTCCCTTTGTATTTTCAATCTGGCTTCGATGCATTGCCTGGTCTCCAAAAAAGCCTTCCTTTGGGCGACTTCTCGGGGATAATGGGTGCAAACGCCGGCAATGTTTCCGCATAGCAGGATAACGAAACAGCTAAACACCTGCGAGAAATATTTCCACCCTTATTTCTAATAGACTCGAAGTCTGCGCGCCGAGAACTTACTTCGAAGAATCCGGTCATTTTCCCGACGTACACCAAAAGAAATATCTCGGCTAAAGCCAGAATCGCGCCCGATAGGAGAGCGTCTTTGAGCCTGTTAGGCATGAGGGAATACGTCAGATAGGTGAACGCCAATGCGAAAACGGCTCCCAAAAGAGGACGACTAGCTTCGAAATAAAACGATATACATATCTGAAATAAACAAAAAATAACAGTTTCGAATGTATGCTTCTTTTTAAACGATTTTGTAGTTGCTTGTAAAGATGGATTTCCTTATAATTAATAACGACTTAATAGGCTTATGTACAATAATCCACCGTAACCTCTAGCTTAAACTTGTTTATTTAATATTCAGCGTAAACTTCGTTGTTAATTATGAGGCAAACTTCACTGACGACTTTGCAAAACTTACGGTCGTTAGATTATTGGATAACCAAAAACACGATCAAGGAAAATTCGACCAGGGAACTCGAGCTATCAGATTAATCGCCTTATTTTCAATAAATAACTACGCATCTAGATAGTTATTTGTTCGCCTCGACGTTTTGTGTTCCCGGCCTTTATCTTCGAAGTTACATTTCGAAAGTTCCAAGTTACTAGAGTGTTGTTAATCGACCTTCGGACTCACGTTACCTCATAAGTTTTAGATTTGGGCCTCGTTTCACGAAATTATTAGTTCAATAGTTATAATAGTTTGGTTGAAGTTTTCCGTTATGCGAGTTAATGAAATCGTCCCGGGGGCTAAATTGTGGTAATAATAGACGTGTAATTATAAATAGTTCAAGTCCGTTGGAATAAGTGCGTTAACTGCGCGTAATTAGATGTAAAAATTTGCGTTCTAATCGACCTAAAGTGAATTTTCAATAATCCAATTTCGACCCCGACAGTTTCGCTAGGATGCGAACAAGAGAAATTCCCCAATTGCGGATTTCATTTCCTATTGGATTCGGTGGAAACGTAATTACCCACCTATTCGCTGAGCAATAAAACGTGCTTCCTCTTTACGCGAGACAAGTAGGTATAAATTACCGAGGGCTCTTTTACCCTCGAAACGTTTAAAATAATTATTTTAATGGATATAATGAAATAATAGAGAAATAGAGGGTATTCTGTTGTGTTCAGTAAGCTCAAACAAGCTATGTAGGTAATTATGTAGAACGAAGATTTATATTAGATAGGGATATTTAATGTCGTATTGGAAATTCTATTATCACTTACCTCCATTGTAACGAAAGTGACTAGTATGAAATAGGATATGATGATAAGATAAACTTCGTTCATCGCAGGTCTTGACACAATGTTAAGTAGAACTGGAAACAAATAAAAAGAATAATAGTTCAAGTATGAAAATTTTATTACTCCTAATCATTCCCTATTTTCATCCCTTTCCAGGCATTATAACCAATCTTTAACCATCTATTTTCTCTCAATTCAATCTTCTGTGTTCTTTATGTTTCCCCAAGAAAATAAGGATATAAATAAGGATATATGTTCACTCACCGGCGTATATGGCTATGCAACAGCCTGATGTGCAAACGAGTACTAGCAATTTATCGTATCTTATGGAATCTGGCAGGGGCCCATCCTCTGGGAGTTTACGAGGCATCACGAAATCCGTCAGCGAGATCACCAAGAGGCAGACGCACAATACCAGAAGCAAGGTTATCAAATTGGTCATGTTGCTCTGGTTCATTTTCAGGAAATATCTTTGGTAGAGCATTTCCACCTGTAAGAAAGAAATTAGTTTATAAATGAAGAAAGATTAGGTGTAATTTGATGTTCCAGGGTTTGATATTAGAGGGTGTGTAAAAGTGTTATTTTTACACTGTAGATATTTATATTTTTTGGATTATACGAGTAGAGCTTAGTTAGGCAACTTTAATATAGTTTATTAAATCAAGAAGTTGCAAGTTAATTTATTTGCTAGATTAATTTAAAATGAAACACCCTGCATATTTTGATACTACAAGTTTCTTGTAATTTCCTTTCAAACATAATTAAGTTTGTCCGTATCGATCTCCCTCTTACAGTGTATGAGAAAATTGAATTTTTTATTAATTTTATGAAGAATATCATATTTGCCTCAATATCGATTTTGAATATTTTTCTCCTTACTGTTTCATAAAAAATTGGAAATCTCCGGTTCCATTATATACATTTATCTAGCGTCGATCACAAAGCTAGGAAAAAGGCATCCCGTATATTTCTTTTCGGTAGGTATTGTTTTTGATCCGATATTTTTATATTTCATTCCCGCTTCGAAAAGGCAAATTTCGCGCTGTCGCTTTCGCAAAATGGGCAAAGCGTATCTGCGCTTTTCACGTTCGGAAAATTTGTTAATCAAATGAACTCTGTGCCATTGGCAAGAGGCACTCTTTACGGACATCGAATATCTATATCGAATAATAAAAATGCAGCAACAACGCCACCTGAGCGAGTATCGTCGAATGCCTTTCATCCCCATATAGTTTTTCAAATGGAAAATATTTTAAAATTAAATGGCAGTTTTATTCTACTCTAGAGGTTTTTTGAAATATAATACATTAAAATGATAATACAAAGAGAAGAAGTTTGTAGAAGAGTTAGGAGGAGAGTTTGTAGATAATGTATTAATGTAGGTAATCAAAATATATTTTTATTTTTCACCCAATCTTACTTTTTTCTGCATGAATAATAATCGTTCTTCTAGCCTGTATATTGAATATTTTTCGCTCTAAAGATTTCAATTTCCAATTTATTGGGTGCAAAATTGCAGAAAATCAATCACTCGAAAACCCTTATAATTTATAACACTGTAATCCTCGAATATTCTATGACAGGAGAGATAAATCGATTTTAATTAAAATCAAATAAATTATAATCGATTTTCACTGATTGTTATGCAATATTAATTTGCGTAGGTTAGTTGCACCTGTTTAGTAATTATTTATTTTAAAAAATAAATTTAATGGCTTAACAGGCTTTCTTAATAAAAATTATAATATGTACAGACCGACCAGAATAGTTGAAGCATCCAATGTTATATGCGCAGTTATAAACATGTCCAAGGATCCAGATTTTCTAGTTTTCTTTTCTTTACTTCCACTATATGTTAGATACAAAAATAGATATCTCTTAAAAAGTATTAGAAGTGAGTATTTTATCACCAAGTAAAGTATAGGTACCATAGGTACTTCTACTACTACAGAACAATTTCCATATTAAACCGAGAAAAGTAGATTTAACGTATATCGATTCTAAAACAAGCTTGCACTATTTAATGCAGAGATCCGAAAGCTCCTCGACTGAACTGCGGACTTTCCATTCCGATTTTTTATGCAATCGGCACGAAGAGCTCTCGCGTAGTCTAGTTAAATCGCCCGTGGGGAAAATCTTGCATAACGCGAATGGTACGTAAAGAGATGAGGAACGGGGGGGCACTTAAGCGGGTCTCAAAGCGACACTGAAAAGGGAGCGGTTAAAACGTCCTACTAGTTCACTAAAAAGGGTTAATTATTACACGAATTCGCGGTTTACGCCGCCATGTTTGATACTTTCGTGCACTTGATGTAACCGAGACCAGCATCAATGAAATCTAACGATGTAGTCAACAATTGTTGGAAATATTTGTTTTCAATTTTGTGGCCTATTTAATTAGATAATAAATTTTGTAAAAAAGTGAGTTGAAGACCTAAAAAAGAGTAGAAAAAAATGTCTAGATACCGACCTGTTCGTTTTTAAACTGATGAGTGCTGCATATTTTCCCCATAAGTCTTCCGATTTTAGCGAAGAGCCCGTTCTGCTGCCGGACCTGATCGGGCGACATCAGCAATTCGGCCTCGACCTCGCGTCCCTCCAGGTCGGGACTCGAGTTCAGGATGGAGCCGTTCTCTCGCGCCGGAGGCGACCTTGGAATCGTGCCAACCTGACGGACAAAAATACAGACGCTCAAAAACTACCTCGAATTCTCGGCCAAGTTCATGAAAATTGAAAAACGCTTGCCGATATTTCACGATCGATAATCCCAAATCTATCAAGTATACTAAATGGCTCTAATTCTTGGTAGTGGCGTCACTACTCAGCGAGAGCTCTAATTGGTGGGTGTAATACAATTTTGAGTGTTGTGATTCGCTAGAGTATGTGACGTCACTACCTACAATTACTACATATGAGTGTAGATGTAGATACTAGTATATTCAACTCTTTCAAATGTTTCATGTACAATATCTTAAGACTTGTAGCTAATAATGATAATGTTTGAAATTACTCCAATGATCTATGATGAATATCCTATTATCTAATATAAGGCTATTTTATATGACTGTTTATATATTATTTTATTTTATATCGTAGATATTCCATCATATAAACCAATATTTCATAAACCACACCTAATTATTTTGAGACTAATTTATTTGATGTACCTATATAGATCGATAAACAGAAACATTTTCCCCTCGCATAATGACCCTATTACCGTATTTTGTACGATTCCCATAATATTTATATTAGAATTTATTATAATTAGGTATACATATAAAAAAACTCGTACGAGAGGGAAATAATTTAAGCAAACTTTTCCGCGACCATTCGGAGCGTGAGAAATCGCAAAAAAAATCTTCCCGACGATTACGCGGCAATCTAAAAATCGGATAAACCCACGAAATTACGTCGACAAACAAATTAAATCGCTCTCGCACTCGTTCCCGGCGTTTCATTCCGCCCATTCGGGTCCGCATCGCCTTTTTCCAACGGCGACGACGACGTCGCTTTCGCGTTGGAGCGACGCCAACTGGAATCGACGAGAGTCCCGTCCGGATCGGCGTTTCGGCGATCCGGACGCGAGTTTGCGGTTTATTGTACAGAAAAAAAACCGCCAGCGATTTGTTTTCGTTCTGGCCTAGACGTTGGGCCTGCAGGTTTTTACGAGTGACGAGCCGCTACTTTGAAACTTCCAATAAAAATGTTTATTACAAGGAACTGTGGTTGCTGTTCCTTATTTGGGCTCAGAACGCTGATTTTAAATATTTATATTTGTGTAAATAGTGCATAAAAAATTGTGTTTGGGCACATTTGCACTAGATTATGTATTATACAAGTCCAGGTACATTGTTTTCTCAATCAATTGACTATTATAAAAATAAATACTTTGTAAAACTATTCTATTAGGGGAAAATTCTGTATTAAATGAAATAATGACTATACAGGGTGTCCCTGAAAGTGTGGGAAATCTCTCGGATCCACATAGAACATGAAAAAATAAGATGAGAAGTTCCTATAAAGTTTTTCCTTACAGGCCCTCCCTACGAATATATGCGTACTGGAAGTGCGCCGCTGGAAATAGGTTTTTCTTAAATATCTTCTAAAGTACTTGATATAATTTAACAAAAATCTAATATGATGGACACTACTAAGGACCTTACAAAATAGTGTCCTTGAAACATATTTAACTTGTTTCGTTTTGCAGGGCCGGGCTAAGGTTTGCACCTTAATGCCTAAATTTTCAACACCCTGTATGATAAAGACTTAAAAATCATAAATCTGGAAAGCTTGAACCTTAAACTAGAAAAAAGGTACTCCTCTCAATTGTCGATAAAATGAACCGTTTACGAGAAAACCAATAATTTAGGCAACTTCCCATCTTATTTTTTCACGTTCTATATGGATCCGAGAGATTTCCCCACTTTCAGGGACACCCTGTAGATAGGTTTAGGTTTATATTGAATAAAATAAATGAGTATACAAACTTGTTAGTAAGTCTCATAATTTTGTATCAAGATGGTATAAGTTATAGGTGGTATTTTTGGTACAATACAGGGTTTCCCAATGAAAAGTAGCCACTTTCGCGAGTTGATAATTTTTAAACGCTTAATATTTTATTATAAGTTTTGTTAAAGTGGTGCAGCAATTATGCATTACCAATACAGGGTGTTTTATTAAAATCTCCTCTTTTAAATTCACATAAACATAAATTTAAAAATTATAAGCTCATTAAAGGGGCTACTTTTCATTGGGACACCCTGTTTATAAAAATACAGAATACATGCACCTATTCCTGTTAAAATGGACATTCACATGAGTTTTACTGATGGGTATCTACCTACGTAATTAAAAAAAATCGTACTACAAGCCAGATATATCTACATGAATTAAAATAGTAATTTTATAGCGAATTTCGATCCCATTCTCGATAGTTTTCGGACGCGAATTGTGCATTCCAGTTCGCGTGTTTTCGATTTGAAAATATTCGCAAGCGCATTTTTTTTCGTTATTTTATTTCGATATCTGATCGACTAGCCGGCGTGCATGTTTCGTTTCGCTACAAATTCCAGGTATACAATGTTCGACTAGCACCGAATTTGTAGAACGCTAATTGTTACAAAACACATTTTCGTTGATTTATATGCGGGTCGAGGTTGATAAACTCTAGACGGTTGTTTCATGTTTTCCATTGCATTTGCAATCAAAAATGAATTTCTTACAATACGCGGGAGGAATTTTGCTAGTATTTTTCGACGAATTTAGAACTAGGCAGGATAAAAGGATACACAGTTAAATTAGGATAATTACAGGATAAAAATATACAAGATAGAATGATGCAGGATAAAAAGACTCAATGTAAAAGGGCACATGATAAAAGGATGCAGAATTAAAGGATGCGGAATAAAAGGATATACGAAGATGGGATGAAAGGATACATTGTAGAAGTAGGCACAATAGGATTGGGGCGATACAGGATAAAATATAACAAAATAATGTTAGTATAAAAAAATTCAAGATGAAACAATACAGCTTAAAATGGCGCAAAACAAAACGATGTAGGATAAAATAAAAGACACATGATGAAACATGGCATATTTAATATTTAACTCCCTCTCTTTAAATTAGAGTTTTTTATTTACAGAGAACAAAACACAAGGCGAATCGTACATAAACTTCAATATTTGTTTCACTTAGCCGTATTTTGAGTTAAACTAGTAACACGTCCTGCAATATTTACAAGTACAAACCCGCCCTGTGTATTTTGCGAATGGCAAATATCAAACGCTGGTGTCATAAACGCTATATTCTCCATTGCCTCTAGCGGGAGTTGCAACATTGACGTTACCATTTAGAGCGTTTAGGACTGTTGTTTTCGCATATCCGTGTTTATGAAACGGACATGTTTATACGGGTTTTAAATAGGATAAGGTATCGATTGCCGATGTGGCAAAATTTTATCTATCCCGAACGTCGAGCGTTCGGATGAGATATTTTGCAGCAGTTTTTACATTTTACGAAAATTAGTAAATGTGTGCTTTAGTCGAGCGTTACGTTAAAGAGCTTTTATTTGCAGAGACTTTCCTGGAAAAATTTCATCGTTCCAACGAGTCGTGTAATTCATTGCGAGAAAGGCAATAATTTTAGAAAATCTATTTTAAATATTTGTCTGCCTTTTGCTCTCAGTATCGCTTTGTGGAAAAGTAAATAAGCGAACTTTTTTATTTAAGAACCGTTCTCAGACAAAGCAATATCGAAGGAAAATGCGAAACTACAGAGTTTCGTAGACGAAACGAAAATTATAATTCCGTTTACGTTTAATATCAGTGGAATAAATTTCGAATTCGAGCTTTTCTCAGAAAGAGAATATGCTGTGCGCATACAATAAGCAGCTAATTAGACCTGCTTCAAAAATAGATGAACATGTTTGCGTTATATAATTCGTAACGAATTAATTTTGTATAACAACTTCGCCACATATTTATAAGAACATTTCGTTTCGCTTGTATGCCATTTGCGGGAAAATTTTGCACAACTTGTTATGCACCTTTTCGATTCAAAAGTGCATATAACTAACTTCGCATCAGGGAGTAATAACGAACATATTATATTCATTTATGTAAAAACTAAACGTTAGGTAAACTTTCCTCTTTTCTGGCGTTGTGTTGTTTAGAGTTCAACTGTAACTATGTAATTATAATTTCATTGGAACTGTGAACTTGTTTTGCTTCTGTCAAATCCGTTTTGCATAACCACATCAATGGTTTTTCACAAAAACAGTATAACAGTTTCGTTTTACGAGTTTACTAGTTTTTTCTCCTTTTTGCGCTTTTCCTCTATTTGACTTTAAAGATCTACATAATCATAAAAAAATATCATTTTGCGGTGCAAGGAGACAATTTCAAATAATGGTGGATGCATAGAATCTCCTTCGCCATTTTCTATAGTACAGAAATTCACTTGATAGGTAACTACAAAATAAATATGACGGGCATCTTAAAAAGTCTCTAGTTACTAGTCTTATGTGTTTTTTCCTCAAATTGCATATAATACTTCATAGCCACTTAATTAATGTTAAATGTCTCCTCATCGAAATTTGCAAATAATGGTGGATGCATTTGAGCTCCTCCACCATTATTTATAATACTAAAATTCACCTCAATATTTTACGCTACAACGAGCCAATCTCCATTACAATCATTAATATCAGTATCATGATAGGAAACTAATAAATTGTACTAATTACTAAACCTTTCCTCGGCCTCTGGTACAACTTGTTAATCGGTTATAATCCCTAATTGTCTACTTACAGCGATCAAACTGGAAGATAAACTGCCCTTTTCCTTCGACCCGAAGTGCTCTATGACCTGCCAGTTGCTCTTTCTGACGCCGTCGGTGCCGGTGGCCGGCAGGGGGCTGGTGTTGGCCGTCGACGACGGCGACGACGGCGAGCGGCTCGTGCCGGCGTCGAGCAAATCGCCGCCGGGCGCCCTCGGCGCCGTTTTCAGGCTCGCCCATTTCCTCGTGCACCCCTTCCGGCTCGTCGACGAGTCCTAAAAAGCGAGAAGTGTGTTAGAGGATGTAAAATTTTACGATCGGCCTGCTTCGCTGCGATTTATCCGATCGATTTGATTTACTTTCCGGTTTAATATTCCGAGCGTATGATATTTTTCTGGACGCTGAGAGGAATTGTTTTATTACAATGCTGAAATCGTTCTAAAGACTGGATTAAAATTTTATAGTATTGCAGGTATTTTGTAAACACCTACTACATTTCTGTCCCTTAAATAAACGCCTGTGTAAAAAAAATTGAGAATTTATAAAGCATATATTGAACATTGATTACATTGAACATTATATTGCCAAGTCAATATTAGGCTCTTTGGATTAGATTCCGAATCAATACAGTGTACAATTCTACTATACCATTTGTGAAGGGAAATAATAAGGTTGGTTGGGATCTATTTATAGAAATCCAATTCACATTAGTGGTTCTAAATATATCTACCAGGGTGAATCGGAAATGTCTTCCTTAACTGCTAATATTCAAGCAATCACACAGAAATAGATTGTGAGATTTCTACAAATATTTTAAAATTCCAATGAACGTTTGTTCATTAGTACCTAATTCATATAAAACCAGTTTACTGTAACAGAATAAATATCACGCTTTACTGAGTAGGCGGAAAAAACTTCAATTAACTACAGAGTAAACTTTCAATTAAGTAAAAAGTGTTTGCAAAATTAAACCCTCTAAACACCGGATGGGATATTCTCTCGTTAACAATTCATTGGGGTTAATTAGAAAATTCACACAATGCGCTGTTAAGCGTCCGTACGACGTCAAAATGATTTTGAAGTAATTATGCGCAGAGCGGAAAAAAGGGCTTTAGATCCCGAAAGGTGCACACTTATTCAGTCCAGACCGAGACCGGCTCGTTAACTCGTATACAAGGAGAATGGATACGTGGGTAGAGAACGAGAGGAACCGAAAGGCGTAACAAAATCGAAGTTTTACGTCCCGGAAAGAATATTAATGATCTTTTTTGTTTGTACCTTCCAGAGTGTTTTTTCCCAATTTTATTACAATTCGTCTATGTTGTACCTACATAGTAAAGTGATCATTAGCGTATCATTGAGGAAAGTGGAATTCAATTTTTTGATTTTATATTATTTTCAACATTTTTCAGCATTTTTAACATTTATAAGAAAAAATGTTATTAAATTTCCCATTTCTGCTCTGTTCACTAGCATTATTCATAGCTACTTTATAAAATAAAAGCATACGTTTCGAAGAACTCTCGTATAAAACGAAGACGTTCTGGAGATATTTGTAAAATATTGAGTTAAGAGCATACCTACAAAATTTTTGCTATCGACTTCCAAATTTGCCACTCTAGACCGAATATTTTTTCCAACGCGTCCGCGATACACGTATTCCGCAATCGAGTCGGCGAAATAGATTTCGACAAACAGACGCAGGGTCGCATTCTTAATTTCTAAACAGCGATTTAAATTTGTGCTAACGCATTAATATGTGCGAAATTTATTGGATTTTTTCAATATATTTGTTTACATTGTTTATTTTTTCAAATTTCATTTAATCGTATACTATGTATTCTTAGATTTTATAAACTTCAAATTATACCTACAAGATATAAAAATATAAGATTGTCGTTGAAAAAATAGTTAAATTTCTTATATTTAAAGAATTGGTAGAGATTGGAACCTTTGGAAAGAAATGTTAGTAAAATTAAGGGAATTTTATTTTGAGCATTACTTGCCAATATTATTAGAAGAAATAGTGACTGATGGGAACGATGTTTAGTTTATGTATATTGTATTGTTGTTTATTTTTTTATTCTTGTTATTTTTGTTTTTTTGTTTTAATTTTATTATGTACATATCTACTATTTTTTATCAATATTACACTAATACCCTATTCTAAAAGTAGCTTCATTTCTTACAATGAACTTTTTATTATTACCTTTTAATAAACTTTTTAAACCAATATTAAAATAAAAATAGCTGTCTACAATAAGTCTAATAAGTAAATATTTTTAGGAGAGCAAATTTAGAAAAAAATATAAGTATAAATTAATTCTAACAAAAAAATTAATAACTTCTAAACTATTAAAATGTTTGCGAGAAAAATAAAACCGAGTCCGTCCACAGTTATCATTTTAGAAGAGTGTAGTATGCAAGAGAGACAACGTAACGTCTGATATTTTTAAACCATATTTAAAAGCGCTTTCGTATTTCCCATTTTCTATCGAAACTAATTGATATTTTTAAAATCGGTTTTTTTCTTTAATTAATTTAATTCATGAACTAGAGAGGAAAGTTATTTAGATCAACGAAAAGAAGCCCTAAATAGCCAATTTTTTGAATTAAAATATGTCGTCTAATTTACTATTTTCAGTCGCTCCCCAAATTGACTGGGAATTTATTTATTTTTTGACAGATACTTTCCTGCTTAGATTTCGACCTATTCTTTAAGAGGGTTTTTGAATTTTTCAAAAATATTCAGTAGTTTTCCCAGGATTTGGGAAATGCTTTTACATTGAAAGTCCTATACCCAAAAAATTGGAGGTACGCTCTTAATGAAGCCGTCTCAAAGGATCCTAAATCTTAAACCAAAGCTACATGGCATACATTTATTTAAACTTTTCCATTTATTTTTGCACCCTACTACATGCTTTAGAGGTGTAGAACGTATTCATTACCATCCTATATAGACTACTTCAATATTTTATTGTATCCCATTAATTATTTACCTAATATTCCACAGGGTAATTATTCCACTATTTAGCATTTATAATATTAATGATAATACCAGGACGTGTAAAGTTACTCCATTAGCAAATTCCTATAACCCAATAAAATTAGTTATATATATAGGTCATTTTAAAATTTGCGAATTCTACGAGCTAATTCAACGGGAATTTTTAAATTGCATGCGCTTATTACCTGCAAAATTAATATAAAATAATTTTGGAATATTAACCTCAATAACCCGTATACAAATGCTTTATAATTAATGTCATATTATTATGAACAAAAATTCATCTATAAATAACTCTTAGAGTTCACTGGAATAATTCCGGGATATACGGCGATATACCCTGTATCACTGAATAAATCCAACTAACAAATTAATTGCAACAGCATCAGTTATAAATAAGCTAAGTGCCTATCTATGTATATAGGGATTCGTCAAATACCTGCAATTAAATCGTTTCGATTTATACTATGTATTATTAAATGTGCGTTTGACGTTTTTGTTCGTCGGCGTTAAAAGGGCGATCGACAAAGGGGACTCGAACAAGTAATTACTGTACTCTCTGTTGATGACTCGATGCCATTTAGCGATTAACGATTGATTGGCGTTTCGTTATAGAACATGTCTGTTGAATAGATTCTATATCCATTATAATAGGAAGAATATTTATAGATAGAAGCAGAGCTTCAAATCGTGTACAATTATGCCGTATGTCCCGAATATGGGTCGCTTCGGTCGTAAATTAATAAATTTTACGGTTCTGCATGCGCTTCTAATTTATAAAACACGTGCGGGTATTATATAAAAAAGTACTTACATAGGTACATTTCAGTTTTACTTTTCCTGCGAAACGAAACCGCTGTTGCGGTAGCTACTTTATCAGCACTATCATTAATTAAAAAGTTTTCATCCGCACGGCCAACAGAACTTTCTCGATTTTATTTTTCTCGTTTTTATTGTAAAATTTAATCTAGCAAAGACTCTCCTTATTGGGATTTTCCAGTTAATCATTCGAAGGTAAATCAAAAGGGACCGACAGCATCGGCGGACAACTTTTTCGTTTTCTATTTGGCGACAGAAATTCATTCCGACAGAAATTCATTCGTATTTTAAAAGAATTTCTAAAAGCCACTAATTAACTAAAAATTTTTTTAACATTCTATTTGAATTTAATTAATCACATCCGAATGGATATAAATTAATATAAATATTAATTAATTAGGAATACAATGTATTTCAGCATTCAGCATTTATTTTAGCTTGTTGATGATTTTATAAATTATACATTATACAGTATTTCCAAAAATTTAATGAATATAGCAAAAAATAAGCAGGTGTTTTATGCACAAAACAAACAAAAATTTGATATTTATTATTTTTTAGGATTCATTTTTCATCCTGCCGTGAAAAAAAAACGCGTTAATGCCGTATTGTTATTGAAGGAGAAAAGAAAATTCAAAAATTCCATGTACCTACACAATAATTTTTTCGCCCATTGAATTATCGAATAACGCCGGAACGCCTTCCGCTACACTTGAAAATCTCGTCGGGAGGAGCAATCCTCACACTTTCGCTGCGAAAATTAAAAGGGAACGTTTCGAAAAACCTTTTTTAATGAACGTTAAGTACTTTTTCATTATCTTTTCTTTTCGTTTAGGCGACTTGGCGGCCCACGAGCTTTTCAAATAAACCATTTTTGCAGTCGCTTCCTTAATTACGTTTCATTTACGTTTCTTAGGCAGCTTCTCGACGATGTTTGTCTTGAGTGCGAGATTTTTTTGTTCCGAAACGCCTGCTCGCTTTGAGAGTTTCTCTTATTGTTTGAATTTTAGCAAAATGGTTATTAAAAAGTAACTTCCTGCGCTTTGTCTTTACCATAAAGCGTGTTAAAAATTGCAGTTATTTTTCAGTTTAGCTCTTTTCGTAGCATTTTGTCGTTTACTATTTTATTGCTTTTTCGCGCTTTGTTTTCAACGCTTTCATGCATTTTTAAATTTAATCTCTGTAATAGAAGTTTTCAGTAATGATAAAAAATGAGCTCGCTGCAGTAGGTTAATAAAAAATATTTTGGAATACATATTTAAAAAGTGCTCGACTAAACAGGGTTAAAAATTATATCCCAAAATTTGTAACATAAAATTTTTCCACATTAAAAACATCATATTTTTTCACGCATAAATTTGTTTTTAAAACCAAATTCACTTTTTTTTTTATTTCATTTAAATACCTACTAATGCAGCGTATATGAAAAATCTCCACTATAACCTCTTGTGAGTAAACTTTTTAAAGCAAGAATTAGCTAACATATTTTTAATCTAATTATTCCGATTTTTCGAGCCGTTTCCAAAACAACACCCCGACAAAAGCAGGTGATAAAATCCGTGTTTTTCAATTACGTAAACGTTATTACAGCCATCTCGGCCGCGAAATCCCGTTTTCCTTATCCCCTTTTTATAGTCGGCGTTATTTATAGAACCCGCTTTATTGGATCTGCGTTTCGGCGGAAGAGTTTTTCTCCACGACTTTTTATATCCTGCGAGAATAGCAAGTCTTGTGACGCTCGTGCGTACACAAAACTTCTAATTTGTCCTCGAAAAACCCCGGAGTATTTTTCCTTAAAGGCGCATGAAGGACCTTTTCGTGGTCCTCATGTCGCAATTTCGATATAATTCGAATTGTAGGCAACGCAGACTTTTATGAGATGTTGAGCTTTTATTGCAAAAAATTCGTTGTTCTCTTCTTATATTATTAGATAGATTAAGTGCGTCAAATATGGACCGGTCGTATAATATGGACCACCGCCATTTTTAAAAAGAACATGCTTTATTTGGAGTAAATGATCATCACACACTAAGCATCACTCCTCCCTTGACCCATCTATCGTTTGCAGTGATCCAGGATGCACGCATATATTTACAACAGCCTTTATTAGTATTCTGAGATCTAATTTTCTAGCGAACTTAGGAAGATTTTTAATCCAAAAAATACTATTTTATGTGAAAGTGAATAAAACCACGAGGAAGGTGAGTCATGTTGCAATTGTATTAAGTTTTAGTATTCTACAATATTACAATTTTCAAAAATAATCTCAAAATGAGTTAGTATCACAATATGGTCCAGTAGTACGTTTTAAATATGAAGTGACTAAAAATTAATTTTTATGTTCTAGAATGGCTTTTAAAACAATAGAGAAGACCAGACAAGCATGAGATAAAAAATGCAATAGAGGAGGCCATTAAATATGCACGAGAAAAGAAAATTGGCTTTTTGAATGTTTCCAAAACCTACACCCAAAACAAATCACTTAATGCATATCACCACCCAAAAACTTGGGAGACAATCAACATTACCGAGTGAATTGGAAGATGAATTAGTCAATTATTCTAGAAATGGAAAAATCCGGATGTGGTTTATATTATGTATTCACTTTCTGAAAGTTCATAAAAATGATATAGGTTCTTTAGAAAATTTCAAAGATTTTGTTTTTTGGAAAATGTTATTATGAGTTTCTCTTAATTAAATGGTTAAGGAATTGTTTAATGTAACAAGCTGATTAAAATTTAAAATTCGCATTTTTATTGAGAAAAGTGCTTATGGTGGTCCATATATGGCGCACTTCCTCTAATATTTCCTATTTCTATAAAGTAGGGGTAGGTAAATGATATTTTAACACATAGATGGTAACTTGATGGTAATTTGATATAAATTTCAAACAGAACACATCCCGATGCACGTCAAATGCTGAATTTTGCAAACTGGGACGGATGAACGCGGCTCCATTTCCCACAGCTTTTTGTTGATTATAATATCGCAAATTCGACAACATAAAAGCGTCAAGATCCTCTCGGCAAAGCTCCAACCGTAATCAACCGATGTACCGGCATATCTAATGCGCCGGGATTTGGTTACGAAGCGACCAATTTGCGCAACAGTTTCTAATTAGGCATAGCGAGAATTAGGTACGTACGCGAAACGCAACTATAATTACAAGGTTACAAATTACACATTACATATTCCGATGTTCGATTGATTTGTAGGTAACGCGAAATGACGGTGTCAGGTGGAGTTAAATGGAGCGTGAAGTTAATTGCCCCTAATTACGTGAAATCACATAAAGTGTTAATATAATTTGATAGAAATTATATATAGGGTCTAAAATGATTCTTGATTTAAAAAGGTTCTTGGTGAAAATTTCAAAAACATGTTACTAATTTACAGGATGTTCCAAAAAATATAAAAATTTTACCACTCTTTTGTAACTTAAAAGACATTTAATAGATTATTTTATAACTTGAAATATATTATTCGGAAATAACTTTCATATATTTGTATTTTTTGAGCAAATAATTAATCGAAAATTCAAGATAATTTTATTGAAAATGTTCAAGTCAATTTTCCACCGCCTACATTAGACCCTCTGGGTAAGTTATTGGGTTTTCCTCGCGAAGACAAAAAAAACGTTATTTATTTCAAAGCCCCCCATTTTTTATATCAACGACGAATACGAATAGTCCCTTCCGGCGAATCTGGAATCAATAATGCTCTAATCAAATATCGCCTTTGAAAAAATCGAATTATTTCTCTTTTATTCATCCCTATACTGACAGACTGCCGTTTACGTTCGGTCCTTTTTTTCGTCCTTTTTTAAGTAGAAAAAAGGGTTTTGTTGAATTACCGTTCGTGGTTCGAAATCAGATTACTAGGGATTCTCCTTTACGGCTTTTTTTGGCCCGCAAAGGATTAATGTAGACGTAGACGAATTTCGTTTCGCAACTGGAATATTTTAAGTTTATCATCGAGTGCATCGCAGGATTAATTCTCAACAAAATACAATTTTATATAGAATTTGAGGTGTGAAAACTCTTACCGGATCTCTTCTTCGATTGTCTCTCAAACTCAACCGCTGTTTCCAGTCCCTCTTGTGCTCTGACTCCGAACTAAAGGACCTCAACATCGGTGACGACTGCATTCCTCTACAACAAGAACAGTTTCAATGCAATTACCCTTACAAGATCGGTCTTAAAAATTCCCCACCCTGTATAATCGGCAAACCGGTATGCATGAGTGATGTCTGTTTGAATTAACCCCTTCTTAAGGTCCTCAAAACCCCCCCATTTTGCATAGCTTCGAATATGCGAAAGCCATTTATAATAGGTATATCGCATAAAGAGTATCCTCGGCCTATATAGTAGTTTGAAAAGCGGATTATGAATATTCATTATAGGAAAATTCCTGCCCAGGATCGTTTCAGTGCAACGTATCACTCCATCAAATTGCATATCGAAAATACGGGATGGTCAAGTTTATCAACTAAAATTTATAAAAAAAAATCATGTGGAACACCTTGTATATAAATTACCAAAATACTCTAGTAGGAATAATAGCCAATAATGCTAAGGCCGGCCCTGTATTTAGATGTTATTTACCGTGTGCTTTACGCAAAAGTAGAGTTGAAGATAATAGGATTGGGGTTCGAGTATCTCAAAATCTGATTACAATAAAATTGATAATTCCTCTTGAATGATTTTTCACGGCATCGGGGCTACAAGGAGATCACCTGAAAGAGTTCCGAAGGGGAGTTTCAAAGATTTCGGGTTACGACAACGAGATTATTTCGGTACCTGTTTATCGTGTGATACTAAAAAGAGATAGGACCTGTTGTGTTCGAAAATCCCGCGAACATCTCGATGAAAAATAACGAGTCTCGTTCTGTATTTTCCGAAAATTTCACCCCAAAGGAAGGAGCTCGTTATTCATCAATCATCAAAACAGATTTAATCAGCCTAATTTAAAATGCTTCGGTGCCTACGTAGGTAGGTACTATTCTAAAAGACGTAAATAAGAAAAGCCAAGCGAACGAAAGTTTTATTGAAACCGAAGGAGAAAAAGCGAATTAGAACTTCATTAAAAACTCAACAGGCTTTCATCCCCATACAAATATTCCGTTTGACTAGGGTCCTGAAGGCGCATGAATCGCGTCTCCGCCGGGACCTCCTCCTCATTCAAAAATTTATTATCAATTTGCCGGACGAGCGACACAAATAAACCTAAAATACGCGAGCGAAATGATAAAAAAGCGGGACTCGAAGGGAAGAAGACAGGTATTTCGAGAACCTTTTGTGTAGCGTGTTTCAATGGTGTAGCGCCTAATGAAAAATATAAACACGGAGAATCTTGTAAATCTTATCAGATTATTTTTATAAAAATTGAAAGTGTTAATTACACCTAATTAATTTAATGTTAGTTGAAGGAATTTGGCGGACACGCCGTGTTATTCACCATAAACTCGAACATAATTTTAGTGTTAAAGTGTTAGTGTTTTAAAATCTATCAAAACAAACTTGCATTAAGTACCTGTTTAATTATTTTACTGAATCTGTTAATGTGCAATGCGTTCAGTGAGTATTTTTGCACTGACCAAAATAAAGCATTGTAATAAATCGCATGCAAAAATATTTATTTAAACCATCTAATTATAACTGATTTTTTATTGTTTCCTGCAAAGATTCCATTGTCAGTAGGTGAGTAAATTATCTATTTTTGAAACAGGTTTATTTTCCTACACCATAAAATTTCCGCTACGCATTCACCAATGCCCATATTATTCCACATCAAAGTTTTAGCGGGAATTATTAACGCAATTTGTGCAACCGATGTTGGAGTTCAAGAGTTTTGATATATATCGATAAAAAAAACAGTTAGGGTCCTTTTCGGCTTGGGTCCTTCGTAAGCTCATTATTTTGCCTAAAACTCGAATAAGCACGACCTAATGCCCTTTAGGCCTATCCAGAACTTGGTCGTGTTTGAGTTAAGTTCGTAAATTAATTCTAAACAAACCGGGAATAATAAATGTTTCCTCTCCAATTTTAACGTATACCAAGTGACAATTTCATCAAGCATGCTCGGCGAATTTATTATTAATGCTCCCCATATACTCCAGAAACAATGAATGCGTTTCACCTTCTCTCGATCGCTAGTTTGCTTTAGGGGCGCCCGGCTACAATTACAATTCCATAAATAACTTCCTTTTCAGACGGAATCCGTTACGCCCCCGCCTGACGTTTTCCTTAATTTTTTTCTTTTTCACTTTGAAAACCGCCGGCATAATCCAATTTGTCGGCGAATGATGAAGAACTTCATCAATCCTCATTTATCAACGAGTGGAAAAAAGCCAGTTGACGTTACGTCGATCGTCGGGGGGTAACAAGGGGGCAAAAATCAATTTGATATATAAAAGTATTTTTAATGCCGCTATCAACGAAGGAATGGAAATTTTAATTAAGACGAAAATTGATTTTTTGCTTTTGATCGTGGAGATTTTGAGGATAAAAGAAAGTTCAATTCGAGCTAGTAGAACAGTAATTACTTACAGTAAATACTTAGGTACTTTATGAAAAATAGAATATTCCATCAATATTCCTAATAATGATGTTACTTTTCCTACATGCAAACGATTCCTCTATATTTCCTCATATTTTTCTATATAAATATATACCTTCCGAAGCTAACTTTTTTGGAACTTTAACAAACTACTTAGAATACGGAGCAAACATTTTAACATTTTTCCGTAAATCATTCCCCCTAAAGGAACACGTCATGTGCATATTTCGACTGCGAAAACTTTCCAAGTGAGCTCTGAGGAAACTGCTTCTCTGGAATTTTCTTTTATTTCGTCGCAAAAGGCAAACATAAACAACTGGGAAAACGCCGATCGGAATAGTATCTGTTCGAAAAAGCGGCAAAAAATGTTTTGTTTTCGCATCGAATCAACAATCAAGATGTTTATCTGAATTTAAACGTATCGGTGATGTTTGGGCAAATAGAGGGTATTATTTCGAGCAAAATTATTGAATTTAATTTGTTGTTTTAGAATGTTAAATAAGTAAAACGCAAGTTCAATAAGCATTAAAAGCCAAGAGAAAAATAAAAATAACATTTTTTTTCAAAAAACATTGACCATTAACTGATTCAACAAACATTTTTCAACCCTTCAACCCCTTCGAATTCTATGTATATCTGTCTTTTAATTTATTTGGACGAGTTTCGCATATTCGGACAGTTTTATTAGAAGCCGAAACAAAATATCGTCCCTTAACGCAAAATTTGATAACGGTTACGCAGGAAAGCGCTGGGCGCCATAAAGGGGTAGGGGCTGAATCGAACCCTTGACGTGAACGTGGAATTATATAAAACACATATTTGGGTTTGGGGGTTTTTGAACAAAAGCAGGCGCAACTCAAGCGAACGTACACCTACATGTCAGTTGATAATAAAATTGAACTGGCGTAAAATAAATAAAGTTTGTGAAGTTTTTGATTAGTTGTGAAAGTTCATTGGGGATGAAATCACAACCCATAACTTTAGTGCTTAAAATTCGGAAATTTCGGCTCTAATTATGTTGCGTATCATTAAATATTTGAATTGTTAATAGTTGCTTCTCCTCCATTTTCCAACGTACGAGGTTTTTTAAGCGCTCCTCCATTGCGGCCTAATTTAATAAATACCTCATTTAATTGGGATGAATTAAATGAGGTTGAATATGCGAGCTGGAATGTTGAATATGCATTGGGTGTAAAAACAGAGGCAGGTATTTCAAAATTGATATTTTTTTATCGAAAATGTTATATACCGCTATATCAGAAAAATGTATAAAGTCTGAATAGTAATTCAAAAAAAACACATCAACGATTTTTTAATATTCATTTCCCCCACGGTTTATTACGCTGTTTTAATGTCTATTAACCTTTCTGATCGAGCTGAGCGAATAACTGCCGCATTTTTTACTTTAGTATCTAATAAAGTCAGTAAACAGTTTTTATACGTATATACGAACAGGATGATCAAATTATTAAAAAATGTCATAATAAAAAACATTATTACCGCTAAAATCTTTTTTTTTAAACAAAGTCATAGATAAAATCATAGGAAAAGATTGGCAACACTTCTTAATAGAATATAAGTTGGCTTTTTCTTAAATCCTGCAACTTTTCGAAACTTACGAAACGATATTACCAACAAAAATTTTTTTACCAACAAGTTTTTACCAACTTAATAAAGTTTAGTCTAGTTTTAAAATAAATTAATATGATCAATATTCAACTCTAATATATCTCATCTACAATTCTAATTAAAACGCTTACCTATACAGGGTGTCTCATAAGTTGATACTTTTTTTTAACTGCGATTAGATCTTTTAATTCTAAGCAACTTTTTCAAGTATTTTTTTTTAATATTCTGGAAAATAAGAGTTAAAACAGCAGTTAAAACAAAGTATCAACTTATGAGACACCCTGTATAAACATTTTGAAACTCAATTCAATTCACCCTCATTAAATCGTACGGAAAGGGAGAAAAATGTAAGAATTAATACGACTTCAATAACGTTTTAGAGAGCGGATAAACGCTTTTTTAACGGTTAGTCTGCGTGCGCTCTAATACAATTTCGTGCGAACGCGTTTTCCGCTCGTCCTCGAATGAAAATTTCCAGAAAATCCGACAGGTGACAAAACCTAATTTTACTTTTAAGTAAAAGCCCTATTTTTAGCGGAGCCGAAAGGTCGGAAAGGACGAAGGACCCGTCGGTCAATTCGGTTTTCATCTGCGTTCGATTCAGTCTGATCGAACCAATCGATTTCGCCAACGTGAGAATGGATTGGCTGATTACAAAAAAAAAAGAAAAGTAATCAGGTTTTTTAGCCAGTCTCGGATGAGCAAATGGAAGTATCTTTTTAGAAAAAAATGTTTAAGACAGAGCGAAACTTATTACAGTCCTAATGACTGTTTTCATATTGAAGCAAAACCGTGTTATAGTAATCAAGAAAACAATTACCACTTGACAACGCCGCATTCGCCCAATTTCTTACGTCACACATATGTTAGCGTGAATTCATTGTACCTATTACTTTGAAACTTTCGCTATTTATTTAAATGGGACATTATGAACCCTTGCTTACACTTTGGCATACATCTCCATTTCTCCCAAACTATTAGGTAAACGCCGGTGGCTTTCTACCCTGACGTCAAAGGCCAATTCGGAAATAAAGTTTTTGTTTATTCCGAAGCGCATTTGAATATCCGGTATAGAAGCAGAAGTAGATGAAACTGCGCTTGAAGCGTAACCAGGATGCAACGATCGAAGGACAAAGAACAGGAAGGGCTGAAGGGAGAATAATTTTAAATACAGTAGGTATTAATCAAAACGTTACGTTGAAAGATGTAGTAAGCAGGAGAATAGAAGTAAACAAATTTCAAAAAGAATGCGTGTCGATAAATCCTTTCTTCCTACAAAACCCGTTAATGTATTATCTTATCGTGTTTACGACTTTTCAAGCGAAATTAATATTGTGCTATTCAGACACGAGTTCTCTTGAAGCCTTGCTACTTTAGTTCAAAAACTAAAACAAAAACGCGCAAAACAAAGCGGTTTGATATCGTCGAATATTCGAAAGCTTTGGTGTCGACCCAGAACGATTCGTTTTTAATTAGCCTTTTATCCTCAAAGCAGACGAAAGATGACTTGTCGGCTCGAACGCCGAGAATTTTGACGATTGCAGTGCACTTTATCGCATTTGTAATTTATTTAATTAGAGAATTATTTAGTAAAATTTAATATATTAATCGGTTTAAATATGTTTTGGACGAAGAATGTGATATTGGCCGTTATTGGTGGTGAGTTTTTTTATATAAATGTATACCTTTCCTTCAATTACTATATATGTATTTTAACATTTCTAAACGTACATTTTTTTATAATATACGGTTTTATTTGTGTTACACATTTGTGTTACAATTTTATTATCGACATTTTTCATATTCCGAATTTTATTTGGATTTAATTACAAAACAACCCAACTGTGTCTCTAAAAAAATAAATAAATTCTTGCATTTAGCCCAATCAAGTGTTATTTTTATTTTGTATCTACAGTGGGTAAATGTTGTGAAAGGACGGGCGATAATGCAGCTGGCAAACAAAAAGGCACGAAAAACCGATCCGCAGAAGTTTCGGTTTGCTCGTATGTGTGTTTAGCGAGCGAAACAATGCGAAAACTCGTGAATTGATCGCCCTGAATTGGAGATCGCGAGATTTTGATGCCGGTTAAAACCTTCTTTGAATTATATACATACCAAACAATCTGATTTAAAACTTGCCAATAAACAGGATTATTGACGTGAACAGCAAGGACAGTGGTGTAGGCCACTCGAATTTTTATTTAAGTTACTTGTTTTTTAAAAATTCAAATTAGTTAAGTAAGATTAATATAAGATATCAAAGTAGGTATTACTAATTATAATTATTTTTTATTTAATTAAAAACGTTGTGAATTATCATTTCTAAGGAAATGTTAATCCAGCGTTTAAAAATTGTGTTTTTTGACAAATGCTCATTTTTTCTAAAAAAATTGTAGGTAAAATTTAAATTAGATCGCATTATTTAAGGAGTAGTAGTTTATTAATTTCTTATGTTGAATTTATACGACAAAATTTGAAAAGTCAGGTTGGTAACCAAAAAGTGACTTCTTGATAACTGATATTTTCTCTCGGAATTTGACCTCAAAAAGAAATTCTTAAAAACCTAAAGTTTACAAAAGAAAGAGACCTACATTAAACAATAATTTAATCTTATTCGCTGATTGCAACTCAAAACAAATTTTTATCGAAATTCGAAATTTAAACTAAACAAACCGAAATAAAATCTAATTTTATGTTTATTTGTGCACTGATTTGAATAGAAAGGAAAATGAACTATATTCAAATAAATCTCAACTGTGTGAAATGAAGTAGTCATATCAGTTCAGTAAATTAAATAATACTTATAAATACATATACCTAGAGGTTTAATAATGTTTCGCAATTGAGTTATAAATTGATTTGATTCAAAATATATACGGAAAAATTATGATTAATTTCTCAGTCTGGAAAACTTGTTTAATATTAAATTCGTATAAAAATTATATTTTGCGATAGATTCTAGATAAAGAGTTAGAAACGTTATTTTAATAAAATTTTGCAATTTAAAAAAATAGAGTGTGTCCAGGGATGGGGTTGCATATAGGGGAAAAATGTATTATTCATTTTACGACAAAAAGTCATTCTTTATAAAAAAATGTAGCTTCTTTTAAAAATTAAAATAGCACTGACAAACCTTAGATAGATCTACAGGGTGTTAACAAATCAAGAAAACATTTAAATAGTATATAATTATATTAATTATATTAATCTTGTAATATAAATACTTAAAAGAGAAAAGTATCATTATTTTTTGTTTTACATAAAATTTTTATAAAAGAAAATTGTTTTTAATCTAAAGTGAATACAAATTTTTATTGAGATCAAATTGAGTTTAAAATTCCAATTTTGTATGTCCACGAATATGGAGTTGACAGAAGAAGAAAAATGGTTATTATTAAATTTACCACCGCAGAAAAGCCATTCTTTATAAAAAAATTGCTCAAGAAAATGTATAACCTGTATAGATCTCATCTAATGTTTAGATATGGGAATCATTTTTCTAACCATTTTTGAAATTTCAAATTGAAAATGTGTATTTAGACATGATTGTAGATTATAAACAACTCTCTTTTATAAAAAAAATATGTAATATAAAAAATAATGATATATCTCTACCCTGAGTGTAGATGTAATCTAAAATTGTTAATGTTAATCTCATTTTCAAAACAGCAAATATTTTTATAAATTATGACTTTTTGTCGTAAAATGAATAATAAAAATCTTTCTCCTATAGGCAAATCCATCCGTGGACATACCGTATAAATATAGTAGGATATAGCATGGAAGTGCATTTATTGAATTGACAGTATTCGATACAAGTGTCAACTAATTTTCAAAGTTAACTACCACAAATAAAAAATCTAAACTACCTATAAATGATAATTCTAACCTTTTTAAATATTGATATAAAAAATAATGCCTCAATTTAATAAAGAAATTATACTTTTTTACTACTTAAATATAAGACAAAATAAGTATCCCTCATTAAAAAAACCTCTTTGAATTGCCATTATCTACATAATAATTTAATAACTACTTGTATAAATTACTATACCACTGTAGATAATAATTTACTTGTTCCACTCTATCGTCGATCCAACGCTAGTTAAACACGATAACGTCTAAAAATAAAATAAAACTACAAATTAGACAATTTATTTTTAGGCGTGTTCCTGAACTTCGTGCTAGCCATTCACCTAACATGGACCTCGCCGGTGCTACCGAAACTGACGGACCCGGCCCGCAGCCCCTTCGGCAGAGCCATCACCAAGGATGAGGCCAGCTGGATAGCGTCGATTTTCACCATCGGTTCGATATTAGGCTCGCAGATTTGGAACTACATGGCCGAGAAGGCCGGTAAAAAACTCGCGTTGCTCTTCTCCGCCGTGCCGTGCTTCCTCTCCAACGTCATCATCTACTACACCACCTCGGTGGAGTTGTACATTTTCGCCAGGTTTTTGGTAGGTTTGTCGGTGGGGTCGCTGTTCATTTACCCCATCTACATAGCGGAGTTGCTGCACAAAAACCTGAGGGAAATCATCGCCACGGTGTGCTCGTGCGGCGTCTGTTCGGGGATTTTGTTTTCAAATTCCGTAGGGCCCTTCGTCAGCATTCAAACGTTCAGTTTGATTTTGGGCAGCATAACGGCCGTGTTCCTGGTGTTTTTTATAATTTTCGGCCAAGAAGTGCCGCACTTTTACATAAGGAAGAACCACGACGTCCGCGCCAGACGAGTCCTGCAAGATTTGCGAGGAGGATACGAGGATATAGACGAGGCTTTCGACGAGATCCGACGCAGATACGACGAAGAGAAATCGGGAACTTTAAAGGATTTGTTCGTATCGAAATCGTCGATCAAAGCTTTCTTTATTTGTATATCATTGATGTTGTTTCATCAATTTTCTGGGAATAATTTGATTCTGATATACGGGGAAAGCATGATCCGTAACATAGACCCGGAATTATCTTCGGATATTTCCATGATTTTACTGAGTGTTGTTGTATTTATTACTAGTCTTATAGCGCCGCCGCTTTGCATGAGATACCGCAAAAGGATGCTGCTGATATTTTCTGCGATGGGAATGTTCCTGGCCGAATGCGTGTTGGGCGTCTACATTTATTATCAGAAATATTACGAATTACCGAAGTCTTTAGCGGGCGTACCGTTGACTTGTTTAACAATGTTCATTACTGCTCACGGATTCGGATTCGGCCCGTTGCCGTTCGTTATTCTAGGGGAAATATTTCCCAATAGAGTCAAGGCGATCGCGTCGTCTGTGATCAGCCTGATCCTAGGCATAGTTGGGTTCCTTATGAGCAAGTATTTTCTTTTCGTTACCGACGCTATCGGCATGTCCGGGTTCTTTTTCTGTTGCGCCTTTTCCTGTTTGGCGGCGGCGATTTTTACTAAATGTTGCGTCATAGAGACGAAAGACAAAAGTTTGGAGCAAATCCAATACGAATTGTCGTTGTGAATGTTGTTATTTTAACAAATTTGGCAGGACCAAATTGTACTTTGTGTGTGTTTTTATAGTAAATAGAGGATTGTTTGAATTCCTGTGGGGGCAACAAAACATTTTTGTTTTTGAGGTCTCTGCTGTTCAAGCAGTATTCTAAAACGATAACATTTTTGTAATGTTGAGTATGTGCAAATGTAGAGTTATATTCAATTTTTTAATCTTCTGAGTGGATACTAAAAAATATTTTTCTGCATTGTTTATTGTTTATTGTATTTATTAAGTTTAGTGAAGTTATAAATAATACCAAAGTTATTTTAAAAAGTAGGTAGGTACATTAGAGTATTCCTAACATCTCCAATTTTTAATGCAACTAACTTTATAATTGTAATACTGTTTGGTAATTCATTATTACTCTCAAAAATACTCTATGTAGGTAATTAGTAAGTGAAATTATTTATTATATTACAAATATCATATTGACTATATGTATGATGACTTTACAGTTAAAATCACGTATTTATTGTAATTTATCTTTATAATCTAAAAATTGACTGAAAAATTTTAATTGAATACATTTTTTCTACTAAACAATTGGATATTTCATTCCAAAAATATTATGCGTATGATTATAGTTTTAGATTGAGTACACTTTAGTTCCTCAGTCATAATCTGGAAACAAAGAGAATTATGTGGATTATTTCTAACAAAAGAACCAACAAACTCGCTGCTCTAACGGCATTCCCAGTTTGTAAAATGCATTTCGAGTATATTTGCATCTATACTGGAGATTACATCCATTAAATAAAATATACATAATTTTTCAAATATATTTTACAAACTCTTCAACGCCCTGTCGCTTCTATTTATAAAATCCGTTTTCATAATCCAGAAAATCCTGATGTATCAATCGATTTTTACTGCTCTGTACGTACTTCCAGACGGCTGAATCCATCAATGTATTTTTCCGAGCGCGAAAAATTAGATGGTAAATATTAAATAAACAAAGAGTACAATTGAAATTTCCCTTTTTTATTTATCTTTGTTGTTTTCCGCCCTTTTCCATTGTCAAATAAACCTAATCTGAACGGTACTTGTACACGTATTCAAATATAGGAAACGTCCAATTTAACAGTATGTTTTTGTAAAAACCTTTATAGTAGAAGATACGAATGATTAATTAAAATTAGTAAGAGAGTAAATAATTAATTACTTTGCTTTTACACTTATTTCATATGTTTTTTCATTAGATTAGGATTAGATAGAGTGGTGATTAATTAATCCAGCTTAAGTGAAGTGATATATTGTAGATAAACACAATTTACCTGTTTACTTTGGGCTACTCATCCTTACAAGTTTGTCGTTTCTGGAAAAGACGAGAAAAAAAAACTAATCAACAAGTAAGTATGTACATATAAAAATAGAACCAATTTAGCGAAAATTCAATTAAATCATATAAAAAAAGGGTGAAAAATTGAATTGCTAAAATACCGTCATTTAATTAAAAATCGAGAGCACTTCATTTGCATAAAATCAAAAGCCTTTTACAAAAACAACTATAAATTAATTATGAAAACGGTTATACAATTTTCAATTCGTTTCAATTTGTTAATGGACATTTACATCGCATAAAAACCCTGTTACCTAGTAGCTGTAACTCATTTTACGACAACGTTTCGACGTAAATCGAATTACAACAGTCGCTAAACATTTCAACAGGTACCTACCGGAATATGTTGAAAAATGTAAATAAAATTTAGTTTACGAAATGCACTCGCTGAATAATTTGCAGGATTTTCTAAAAACCGTAACGTGACCCATCCTAAAGACTTCAATCCGTTCAAACATATCCCAATTTTCCGGTCTAATTATTACAGGATTTAATCCGGTAGAGTAAAGAGTCGTCAAGACAACGGAGTTGCATTGTTGCACAACCCGAAGTACTCGGAACGTTTGAGAGAGTTTAGCGATTCGTTTCAAAGACGTTCAAATTGAAATTAAACGCTCTATCTGCCTCCGTTTACCTTTCCATTTCTCTGCGTGCAATCTTTATCCTTATCCTTAACAAATCGTCTCTCTTGCTCATCCTGGCTAGCGTACGTTTTCCACTTGTTTTATGTTCTCTCGTTCGTACGGCGAATGAATAAAATTTAAAGGTACATAATTATTCGTCGAGTTAATTTTCGCTGTAAGATCAAATGAAATTCCAACAATTTCAGAATTCCGAATAACTTTGTATGTCACCAAGTTGATAAGAGGAAAAGAATTTGTGGAAATTTCAAATTCCCGAGTAAAATTTCCACTGGTTGCAACAATACAGAATGCAGCTAGAATTCGCACTTAACAGAAATAATAAACTGAGGATTTCCTTTTATAATCGAGATAAAAGGATATATCTCAACTCGTCGCTTCGATTAAATATTTATAGTAATAAAACGTTACAAAATAAACGCCCGGTTCCTCCCGCTATCGAGCGAACTGCAGGTAACGTATATAAATATTAAATTGGAATTAAAATAAATATTTGAGGCGAACGAGGTTATCGCTACGCGTAGGTATTTATTCCATCGCGACGCTCTTTTAAGCGTTAGGATCAAGGCTGGAATATTATTTCGAATTTTCCGGAAAAGTTAGAACGTTCTACGGGGTTGGGAAAATGAGTTGAGGTCATGTGGTAGATGCTAAATTGCTGTAGTTTGCAACAAATTAGAGAAATATTATACTATGCAAAATGCTGACGTAATAAAATCTAAATGTAGACCCAAGGGAGATAATTTATTTAGGTCTGCCTTTCTCTAAAATGAAATTACAGAATTATGCATTCTTCGAAATAACCACTTCAATTTGCGCTCGTTGTGTAATACCTGAAAAAATATTTACTATGGGGGATTGGCGGTAAACTAGCCTCCCGAGAAATTGGATTTTGAATAAATATTTATGTAGAAATTATTTTTATAGAAATTCTGATAAGCTCAATTTTTGCGCTATGTTCCTTGGGGAAATTCTCTCCTTATACAGAATCCTAATTACCCAAGTTTCTCAAAACATCAACCTGTTTGACTTAATGCTAAGTTGAATTTCAAAATTCGAGCTTATCAAGTTTAATATAGTTGCAAGTATGACATCATCATTGCCTTATTCTGAATATACATACTATACCCTACTCTTTGTATAAACATTTCAAATAGCGTATTTTTTCTTTGATCCGCCGGGTTTTATTTTCCCATCTTTGCCTGATATTTCTTCACAGTTTTAATGGGACATTTTATTTGATCCACATGTTTGTGTCTAATACTCTTCTTTGATTATGTACCCACCGAATCCGCCTGTATTTCACACATACCGAACGCTGCAGAAAGTTCTTTTTTCATCACAGGTAAATACATGTACATAGGTTCCAAGTTCCAAGTACGTTTTGCAATTAAAGAAAAATGTCGTGTAGGTGGCATTGAATATCGCGTCGTCGCGACAACGTCGCGTCGTCGTCTAAATGCGAGCCGTCGAAGCATGAATCGTCGATTCCAACAATCGGATATAAACAATTTATGGCGTTTAATAAGCATTAAAACCGCTCGTAAATAAGATAGGAAAGGAAAGTACTTGTTTGTTTTTATTACGTACGATTACGTCGGATTAGGAAATTTATGAAGATTGTAATATTCTGCGGAATGTATGTAAGTATACATCACAAATAGAACATATAGATATTCGAAATTAATGTTGGGTTCACCAGGAAGAACTAATACATAATTGTTTTAACTATTAATAATTCGAAATTTTTTTATATTTAAAAAAACATTTTTTGAATCGACAATTTCGAATTATTTCCATACAAACGTTAAAAATAAACCATATAATTTGAATAAAGTACTTACGATAGTAGAACTACGTAATTTTATTCTCTATCCCCTTCTAAACTTAGAAAAATTTTGCAGAACCATAAACTTAGAACGTTGCAATAAACTTTACATTACGTAAATGCGGTTGCATTTGCTCCAATAATGACGCTTGATATTGATAACTAATGTTTTATATACGTGCAAACAGTACAGGAATGTAAAAACCAAGTGCCTACATAATTTTTTTAATATAGGCATAGAAAAATAATTCAATAGTAGGTACTACAAAATTAGTTTTTTTTATAGATTTTTTCACCTTACATATTTTGAACCTATAAAAGATGTATTCCAAACAAGTCTACTAACGGCCAATTAATATACATAAATAAATTTAGCATAATATACACATTTATTTTTTAAGCGAATCGGTTGAACAATTTTCAGCCTATATGCAATTAAGACGAAAAATATTATTACTAATTGTAATTACAGCGCGGCGGTTAAAACGTTTTTTATTGCTCCGGGGTCATGTTCGGTTTTAACATCAGTTGAAAGTTCAATTTGAATGGTTTCCTTAAGAATTTTAACGAATTACAATTAATTGCTTCTGTTAAACACATCAAGGATAACCATACTGGGAAAGTATGAGATAAAACTGGAAATGTAAATTGATGAATACATACACATCTGTTAAACGAACATTACGGGATATTTATTGAATAATAATGAGATACCCTGTTAATGTATATAATTACTCGCGCCAGAAAATTGACTAGAAAAAGGCGGATTTTCTAATACTTCTCTAAACAGTCCGTCGTTAAAAATAAACTGCCGTAAATCCCAGGAATATTATATCTATCCGACGGGATTCGCCCATAAATAAAATCTAATTTTTACCGCCGCTCGTCCGTTGTAACGCTTTTCGGATACAATTTAATTAGTATTGCGGAAAACATTCAATTCAACATAACTGACTAAAACAATGAACCAATTATACAGACATTATTTTAGCTCGACAATCACACGAACAACTTTATGGAAATGGCGTATGTGCGATATGCATACTCATTTAACCAACCAAAATTCATGAATAAAGTTTCAGCTTAACGGAAAGGAAACGCGACAAAGGAGTACACATACACGACTGGAAGATCCCGGGAAGCCTCCAGTGTCAAAGATAGTAAATTTGCCTTTGTCATATAGGGTGTCTCAGGGTATGATTGCCATACTGTTGAATCAGTTACAATAGGGCTATGGGAGGGTTCCCAAGGGACATCCTGTATTAGAGAGCAGACTTTCCGACTGCGTGCATTGCTAGGCATATTAGTTATGTATGTGGGGATAATGGAACAAATCTGACTTCCAATGTCCAGAATGAAGGTAGTTAGGTGTTATGCAAATTACCAACTGCAGAGCTATTTACTATTATATTGGTATAGTCAAATGAGGCAAATACTCTAAGGGTATTGTAGGAAAATGTAATTTACCGCCCTCGCAATTGTGTCAACGCATTTTAATTCCATCCATCAAGTAAGTATACTTATTTCTTGTATAACGTACAAATTCGTGCGGTTATTAGTAAGAGATTAGGTATTTTTAGTGAGATTAGAGAATTACTCTGTTTTAATAAACTC